AACCGGGGGGGGGGGGGGGGGAAACCAACCCCTACTTATGTAAAAACCAAACCCTGTGAACACCTCAATCTTGAATCAATTATAGATACAACAAAAATGTGGAGACAATTTAAGAAAAATCATGTAGAAATTATTATCAAAGCATATCACTATAATTAAATTAAGTTTTTAAGTGGGTTTAAATTATATGATTTTCTAAATGAAATAACATATAAATTCAAATACTACCATCATTATTCGGTCCTATAGATTCATAATTGGAAACTTGAAATAATTATTGTTATTGGATTTCACAAAATGTTGTTTCAGTTGTAACTAGAGGTGTAAAATTGTTAAATGTACCTTTACTATTCAAATATTCTTAATTTTTTGTGTTTTTTTGAATATCTAAATCAAAAATTTTTTATGCTTTTTCAAATCTATTTATCTTTTATAAGGCAATAACTAAGAAAATATTCATCATTATTTTGTACCTTTGCCATTTTAATAACTAGCATTTTCTGGGTTTTTCTGAATAGCTGAATCAAAATACACTAAGGCTTCTTCAAATCTATTCAAAACATATAGTAAAATCCCTAAGGAAATATAAATCATTAATTTTTACCTTTGCCATAATAAAAGTCTGCATTTTCTGGGTTTTTCTGAATAGCTGAATCAAAATACACCAAGGCTTCTTCAAATCTATTCAATAGATATAAAGCAGTCGCTAAACATATATTATTAATTTCTACCTTTACCATAATATAAGTCAGCATTATTTGGGTTGCTGTGAATGGCTGAATCATAATACACTAATGCTTCTTCAAATCTATTCATCTATGTTAAGGCAATCGCTAAAAAAATTTACATCCTTTACCTTTGCATTTATAATAATCTGCATTTTCTGTGTTTTTCTGAATAGCAAAGTCATTATTCTCCAATGCTGCATCAAATCTATTAATTGAACGTAAGGCAATCGCTAAGAAATATATATCATAAATTTATACCTTTGCCATGATAATAATTTGCTTTTTCTGGGTTTTTCTGAATAGCTGAATCATAATACTCTAAAGCTTCTTCAAATCTATTAATTGAACGTAAGGCAATCGCTAAGAAATATATATCATTGATTTATACCTTTGCCATTATAATAATCAGCATTTTCTGGGTTTTTCTGAATAGCTGAATCAAAATACTCTAAAGCTTCTTCAAATCTATTCATTTTGCATATGGCAATCGCTAAAAAACAGGATATCATTAACTTATACCTTTGCTATAATAACAATCTGCATCTTCTGGGTTTTTCTGGATAGCTGAATCATAATACTCTAATGCTTCTTCAAATCTATTCATCTTTGCTAAGGCAATAGCTAAGAAAATATATATCATTAATTTATACCTTTGCAATAATAATAATCTGCATCTTCTGGGTTTTATTTAATAGCTGTATCATGATAATACAATGCTTCTTCAAATCTATTAATTGAACGTAAGGCAATCGCTAAGAAATATATATCATTAATTTATACCTTTGCATTTATAATACTCTGCAATTTCTGAGTTTTTCTGAATAGCTGAATCATAATACTCTAATGCTTCTTCAAATCTATTCATTTTTTATAATAAATTGGCTTAGAAAATAAACATTTTTTATTTATACCTTTGCCATAATAAAAGTCATCCTTTTCTGGGTTTTTCTGAATAGCTGAATCATAATACTCTAATGCTTCTTCAAATCTATTCATTTTTTATAATAAATTGGCTTAGAAAATAAACATTTTTTAATTATACCTTTGCCATAATAAAAGTCAGCATTTTCTGAGTTTTTCTGAATAGCTGAATCATAATACTCTAAAGCTTCTTCAAATCTATTAATTGAACGTAAAGCAATCGCTAAGAAATATATATCATTAATTTATACCTTTGCCATTATAATAATCAGCATTTTCTGAGTTTTTCTGAATAGCTGAATCATAATACTCCAATGCTTCTTCAAATCTATTAATTGAACGTAAAGCAATCGCTAAGAAATATGTATCATTAATTTATACCTTTGCCATTATAATAATCAGCATTTTCTGAGTTTTTCTGAATAGCTGAATCATAATACTCCAATGCTTCTTCAAATCTATTCATTTTGAATAAGGCAATCGCTAAGAAAATATCAATTTTTATTTTATACCTTTACAATTAAAATACTCAGCATTTTCGGGGTTTTTCTGAATAGCTGAATCATAATACTCTAATGCTTCTTCAAATCTATTCATTTTTTCTAAGGTAATCGCTAAAAAACATACATCATTAATTTATACCTTTGTAATTATAATAGTCTGCTTCTTCTGGATTTTACTGAATAGCTGAATCATAATACTGCAATGCTTCTTCAAACCTATTTATTTGTAATAAGGAAATTCCTAAGTAAATATACATCATTCGTTTAAACCTTTGCCATTATAATATTCCGCATTTTCTGGGTTTTTCTGAATAGCTGAATCAAAATATATCAATGCTTCTTCAAATCTATTAATTGAACGTAAAGCAATCGCTAAGAAATATATATCATTAATTTATACCTTTGCCATTATAATAATCAGCATTTTCTGAGTTTTTCTGAATAGCTGAATCATAATACTCCAATGCTTCTTCAAATCTATTCATTTTGAATAAGGCAATCGCTAAGAAAATATCAATTTTTATTTTATACCTTTACAATTAAAATACTCAGCATTTTCGGGGTTTTTCTGAATAGCTGAATCATAATACTCTAATGCTTCTTCAAATCTATTCATTTTTTCTAAGGTAATCGCTAAAAAACATACATCATTAATTTATACCTTTGTAATTATAATAGTCTGCTTCTTCTGGATTTTACTGAATAGCTGAATCATAATACTGCAATGCTTCTTCAAACCTATTTATTTGTAATAAGGAAATTCCTAAGTAAATATACATCATTCGTTTAAACCTTTGCCATTATAATATTCCGCATTTTCTGGGTTTTTCTGAATAGCTGAATCAAAATATATCAATGCTTCTTCAAATCTATTAATAGAACGTAAGGCAATCGCTAAGAAATATATATCATTAATTTATACCTTTGCCATTATAATAATCAGCATTTTCTGGGTTTTTCTGAATAGCTGAATCATAATACATTAATGCTTCTTCATACCTATTCATTTTGAATAAGGTAATCGCTTAGAATATATATATCATTAATTTATACCTTTGCCATTATAATAATCAGCATTTTCTGGGTTTATCTGAATAGCTAAATCATAATATTACAATGCTTCTTCAAATCTATTAATAGAACGTAAGGCAATCGCTAGGAAATATATATCAATAATTTATACCTTTGCCTTTATAATAATCTGCATTTTCTGGGTTTTTCTGAATAGCTGAATCAAAATATATCAATGCTTCTACAAATCTATTAATTGAACGTAAGGCAATCGCTTAGAAAATCTCCATCATTAATTTATACCTTTGCATTTATAATAATCTGCATTTTCTGGGTTTTTCTGAATAGCTGAATTAAAATACTCCAATGCTTCTACAAATCTATTCATTTTGAATAAAGCAATCGCTAAGAAAATATACATCCTTAATTTATACCTTTGCATTTATAATAATCTGCATTTTCTGGGTTTTTCTGAATAGCTGAATCATAATACTCCAATGCTTCTACAAATCTATTCATATTGAATAAGGCAATAGCTTAAAAATCATACATCATTAATTTTTACCTTTGCCAAAATATAAGTCAGCATTTTCTGGGTTTTTCTGAATAGCTGAATCATAATCCTACAATTCTTCCCTGAATCTATTCATTTTGTATAAAGAATTATCTTAGACAAATTTCTTAATTTTACCTTTCTTAATGTAATATTCAGAATTTTAACAATCACTATCATTATAGAAATCACCAGATCCAAGAATTTGAAAATCACTATTTGGTTTTTTACCTTTATTGTTAAAATTATTAGCATTATTTTAGTTTTAGTTCATTAACTACAAAATCAAATGAATATGATCTTCATTTGAATATTTTAATATAACTTTTTTAACATCATTTGCCTTACTAGATTATTTAAGGTAGTTTAAATTTTTCACTAATAATTATTTCTAATATATATAAAACTTTTATATTGATTTCTTTTTTTGATCTATACATTTATAAGACCCCTTAATACTGTTGTTTTGTTCCCTATTATTTGTTAATCTAAACAATTTGTAACCTTGAATAATCTATTATGCAAATTATTATTGATTTTGTATTTTAAGATTATGAATTCTACCAAGTTAATGAAAAATATTAGTGCACAAATTTAGAGTTTAATTCTCAATAGATTTCCTAACTAATTCTTAATTAAACTCATTTTAACTCATTATTTTTGTCTAAATAATTTTTAAATTTAATTATTAAATTCAATACTAGAAAAATTCTATAAATTTAGAAATTTAGAGTCCAACAAAAGATGGATAATGAAGCTGAAATGAATAAAACTTTTTAATTATATATACTCTGATTATTTAAGTAGAACTACCTCAGACACATTCTATTTTAATTAATAAAACAATAACTAAAATGAAAATATTATAAAAATATCAAGAAAACGAATTGTTTCCAATAAGTATATAATAATATTTAAAATTTCAAAATATTAATCTCTAAAAACAGATTGAATCGAGGAATAAGAAAGTAATTTTGTATATAATCAATATAAAATTATCATTATTTGATGATAACCAATTGCCATTGTGATTTTCCACATTTATTCCCAACTGAAATTAATTCTAATCAATATAATCCGAAGTCTTCAATATAATAATACATTAAGAAATTAACAGTAATTCTGATTATTTTTTTGATTATTTTATGAGTTCATTTACAATTGTTAAAAAGTAATTTACTAAATTGAATATTTATTATATCGAACTAAACTAGGATCTCTTAAATTTGGTTTCAAATAATGAATTTTGGTCTTTATTTATTGATATAGATGCGAGAATCATATTAACTGATTTATTTCAATCATTTTTAAAGAATAGAAATTTAAGTGATTTTCTTAATTAATAAAGAATCACAATCTTTTAATATTTTTTTGGTTTTTATTATCAGAAATAAATTTTATTCAATCTTATTCTTATTTATTTTCTATCAACCAATCTTTTTTTTCTCTCTCAATTTCTTAATTAATAGACTGCTTATGATTTCTAGTTCAAAAATTCATTTTCCCACATTTTATATAATTTACAATTTCTAATTAACATATACAATTTCTTCCTCTAATTTCTTAGTCCTTCTTATTGACGAATAATTATTTCTTCATATTTAATTTGAAGGATGATAATTTTATGCTATCATTCAATTGCCTTAGAATAATATAACGTTCTTTCAAATCTAATTGAATTATTTCACTATATCCTGTTAATCATTAAAATTGATGTCAATGAGTGGTTTATTAGAAAAAAACTTCATCCCAATTCATATAATAACTTTATTCTTTTTTTGGCCAGAAGAGCAATATTGTTATGAATTTTGAATCTTTACATTGAGAAATATTTTTTACAATTTCTATTTCCAAAATTCTTTCAATACAGTTACAACCTTTCTTGAAAATAATACATCACGGGCTATATAACTCTATTAGCTAAGTAAAGAGTAAAATCTCCTTCGCAAGAAATTTATTGTAGATCTTTATTAAATATTTTTCATTAAAATTTTTTTTTGTGAACGAAGCAAATGAAACTAATCATTTAGTTCAATAGAAAAATGTAGAAATTCAGTTTTCCAAAAGTAAATATTTTAAAATCTGAATTGTGTTATCAATGATGTTAAGATTTTGTTCTTAAATCAACAATATAGAGAAAAAAAATTCCAATAAGGCAAACTTCATCCCGAGCAGCTATGCTTTAATGACTAAAATACCATGTGTTTGGTAGAACAAAAAATTACTAAATTAAATTTATGTAGTTTACTTCAAAGCTAGGTTAAATTAAATATAAATCTATATACCATTAAGTAACCCAGAGAAGTTTCATCAATAAAAACAAATTTGATTCGCTCAGAACTAACGCTTGGAAACTTTTATGAATATAGATATCTTTCAGAGAGAATCTATTAATTATAACTTCTTTTGTCTTTTCTGTATGGTAATTTAAACGATGCATAACAGTACTTTTTTAATTTTTTCTGGAATTATCTCAAACTTATGGCGATACTGGATAAATGAAAGATGTGAGAAAAAATTTTTAGATTCCTTCAGCTTTCTATAATTCTATTGGAACATGGGTATCAATATAATTCTTAATCCAGCATAAATGATGCTTGTTCAGATCAAAGTAATTTTAAGAGTTCTAGAACTCACAACTATTGTTTTTGATATGTCTTATTTAACCAGGGGTAAGGCATCTTTAGACTCTACATCAAATTAAAATTGCATTCATTTAACACCAAATTTTTTCTTTACCTCCATAATTTCTTCATTTGTATAAAAGAATATCGCTTTCGTTTAAGGATACCAATTTCTTTTTAACATTCTGAATAATTAAGATCTGTTAAGGCCTCTTATTCTTGATAAAATATTCTGATTGACCTATTCTAAAAGATTTTCATAGCTAAAACCCTATATTGCACAACTCATGCCTAATATTTAATAAGATAAATTACTTTTTTTTTTTCTTAACCGAAATCACCTATAAAATAATCAATTGGTAATCTCTAACTAAATATTTTTATGAACAACTTCTTCATTTCAATACAATAAGGAATTATTATTAATTTTCAATCAAATTTATTTATTGTAGTTTGGAAATTTGAAATAATTTGACATATCAATTTATTCTTTTCAGTTTGAAATTGTTTTTCATTATTTAATGGTATGAATAAGAACCAGATAAACTCATTAGATATTTATCATATAATACCTCTTAATCATATAATTTATAATATAATTTCTAGATAGTAAATCATACAATATAAAAATTAAATTGCCAAAAAATAAATGATAACTGCATACAAACAGCTATTATTGAATCTAAATTTTTAGAAAAGTTTTAATTAAATTTATTAAAATTAACAGTCCAAATTATTTAATTTTGATGGATTATAAGGTTATACCTTTCTGCTATTATTTAGTATATTATACTGTCTTAAATTATCGTTGTTATCATGTTGAATAAAGCAAACTATTAGGTGAATCGATAGTAATACATCCTGAGTTATTTATTACTTAACGAAGATCATACAGAATGTATTGTTAAATTTCTTAAATTAATATTTCCTTCACCATAAGTTTTTAATTCTAAATATAAATGAATTTGAAAAAAGTTAGTAAGAGCATTCTAAGACAGAAGAAATTTATTGTTATATAATCTTGAATTGAGGCTATGAGAATTAAGGCTGTAGCTGAATCTTAAAGATTATCTGTTGAAAACAATTTCAAACAAAAGTTGTTCGATCTATATTATGGTATAACATTTAGAATTCATTGGCATTAATGAGAAATAATGGCCTTAATACTAATGCAATAATATAATCCACATAAATTACAAATTAATCAATTATAGACTTGGAGTTTACTAATTCTATTAGTTTCTTGCTGATTATACAGATATTAGCTTAATTTTTTTTGTTTGATCAGTTGAGATAAATTTGAAATTGATATTGATATATATATCAAAATTTGATTATTCTCTAGTTTTATTCTCACAAGCAAAAATATAAGAAAAGAAAAAACTATGTTTATTTTAATTACAAATTAATGCTAAAAATTTTTTTCAAACCTTTATTTTTGTTAGAGGAATATTGAAGTAAGGCACTGCATTATTAGTCTCAAGATTATCATAAAAGATATTAGATTTATTTAATTGAGGAACTTCACAAATTAGAATATCCAAAGCTAATTTAAATCAACAATGTAATTACCATCAATTTCTAAATTAAAAAATTGTTCTTAAACTAAATCGTGTTGTAATTAATTTCAGTTATTAAATATTTCAAGAATAGTCTATAATTAGTTAAATTAAATTTGAAAATTTCTTAATTAAAAATTCAAATTTTCAATTAATACTTAAAATAGAGTTGAAATTGTAATTCAACAAAAGTTGAAATAATTATTGTATATTTGTATAAAATTATTTATGTTAATATCTCGAAAATTAGTACAATTTCGAATAAATGATTTTACTAATTTACTTGATATTAGTCATTTCATTAATTTCATTAACATTCATAAACAAAATAATGAATGAGGAATTAGCCAATAATATTTAATTAAAAACTATTTCTTCAATCTAAGTTTAACTTGGAAAACTTTCTACTCAAATAAATAGATATATAATTATGCTATATTATTAAGATGATGATCTCTTTGTCTTAGTTGAAAATCAAGGTTTGAATAAATAAAACATATAAATGTTATTATAAAAGCATAACAAATAAGGAAATTATTAACAGCACTTTGATAAATATATTTATTTATTTGGTTTATAAATCATATCAAATGTATCTTATTACATATTAATATATTAATTTAATTGAAAAAATAATGAATACTTTAATAACATAGAATATATCTCATTTAAAAACTTTTTTGTAAGTAAAGACTCCAACAGCAAAAGCAATAATAATGGCTATTACCTAATAATTTCTATTTTTTTTTTCTTAATTATTCAACATCTTAATTTCTTTATTTTCTTCAATAATTGGAGCATTTACTAGTACTTATTTAATTTCTTAATCAACTTAGGCTTAAATTACATCATCATCATTTCCTAATCTTAATTTTTATATTTATTAAATGTCCTGAGTCAAAATTGTGTATATCTAGCTTATAATATTATTTCCTTCAATATAAAATGCTTATTCATTTATTCCATTTTACATATACAATATTGATTTCTTGAGATTTATTAAATTAAGCTATACTCCTTTTTGACCTAATAATTTCTTTAACTAAACTCCAAAATTAAATAAAGACTAGTCATTTACGCAATTGAAAATTATTTTTGATTGTTATTGATTTACTTAATTAACTGCAATAGCGAAACTTAAAAATTAAATCAATGTCTTTAAGTAAGGATTGCCTCTAAAAATTCCGCAACCCCATCTTCCTGTAGATATATAATAATTGGGCTAGTTTCTTAATGATATTTCAAACCCTGCATAACATTTTATTAATTCTCTATCAATATTTTTTTCTGTAAATTAATTTTCACTATAAAATGGTTTTGCATCAATAGCCTAAATAATATTGCTTAAAATATACTAGCATATTATAATTTCCCTAAAGAGTCATAGAAGGTTAGCAATTAAATGATTGTTCATATCCAGTATAATTGCTGTATTTTTTCAAATTTTCAATTAATACTGCTTCAGTTTCATTCATTTGTGGAATAAAAATCATAGATACTGCTGCTTCAGGGAATATTAGCATAACAATCTTGGTTTAATATTTAATTTTACTTCTTCTTATGCACAATTTCTAGTATCAAGAACTAGTCCTCCTATATTTTAATCAGCAAAGTCTACAACAGTAGAATTTTGGTGATCTTCATTTTTCAATTAAGTGAATTCAAAATCAATGTTCTAATAAATTGATTATTCAAACTTATTTTTGAACTATTCTTTGTTAACAGTATTTTTAGTAAATATTAATTGATCATTTTAAATGGCATCAGAATTTAAGTAAAATGTCTTGATATAGTTCTAAAAACATTTCAATTTCTATTTAGAAATGTAATTATTCGTATATTTTATTGAACTCATATCAATAATATAAAATCCACCTTGAGAGAAATTCCTCTCTAATAATCCTAAGTACATTAGCATTATAAGTCTGAAAATTTCTATCCTTTTAATTACAACTTTAGATTAAGTGTTCCATTAATTATAAATATTGGTAAGATGCTATTGTATTTCATTTGGATTATTGAAAATCTTGCTTTTCAAATAAATCTTAAACTCTTCAAATTATCCTTATTCATCATTAAAAATATTTTCTAAGGTTTAATCAGAATCAATGATTCCTTTGATGAATTCTGAGTAGTTCTGTTTAGGATAGCCTTTCAAATTGCACTAAAATTCACCTTTAAACATCTTTAAATGAAAAATAGAAATTATTTTTATTATCTTTTTAATTATTTTTATTAAGTCCATCAAATAAGAGAAGTCAAAAAATCCATCAGAAAATAATCTTAAACATAAAAATATTGATTTATTGTTTTCAATCATAAAAAGTCAAAATAAAAATTAAGTACACAAAAATTTATTTCAATGTCACAAAGTTACTCTGTTTGTCGAGTAAGAGAGGATACTTAATGATGTGTGATACGATAATAAATTAAAAAATTGCGTCGTGTTATAATAGTTTATAATGAATTTTAATAGAAGGTGGTGGTTTTTTTAGGTAATCAATTCATTGTTTTTTACTAGTTATTGCTGGACAGGTGAATATGGATGGATGGGAACTCTTTATAAACGTTTAGAATTATCTAATTAAACCTATAGTGCTAAATTTGTAATTAGGACATGCAACACACTGCAAAAAAAAATATGATCTTGAATTAGAGACAAGGGGACTTAGTACTTATATCTGACCTATAAATGAATATTTTTCATTTATAGGTCAAATATAAAAGAATTTACTTTATTACACAAGTTTAATCTTTAATGTATTATTTCTCTGAGATCCATAATAATTTTGCAATGTCTTTTTAGATCTTTTTCTATTATTTATCATAATTTTTCATTAATTCATGTGTACAAGCTCTTAATTAAGGCATAACTTCAATTTATAATTGATTTCCAGTTTCAATTGGAATCGTTTATGATTTATTTAACCATAAAGAATCTTGTGGCTATTATAATTATTGCTATTAACATTAACAATTATTATGTTTATTGTCCTTATATTGATTATGTTTAAGTTTAAATGAATTTTTTGATTCAATTTATCTAAAATTGGTTCTAATTATTTAATAGTTTAATTTTTCAAATTTGTTAGCATTTCATAATTACTCTAATTAACCACAAAATTAGCATTATGCTGTAAAATCTAGTTATTCTGTGTATACTTTTTCTATCACATTTTGCAGATTTTAATTTCTTTCAATATCAAAGTTATCGAGTGAGTTTGGATTTAATTTACAGGATTAGTCAAATTTTACATTACAAAATCATCATCATTATTTTTGTTAAATTTTTTTCAATTAGATTTAAGCATCTTCAATATATGTCAGTTGCTTAATTTAAATATCCTTTCAAAACTTGATTATCATGATTAAAATATGCTTATAGATGTGCTATTACTTTTTTCATTTTATCTATAAAGTAACTGCAACATTTCTCTACAACTTTAAAAAATTCTTCAACAATTAATTCAGAAGAGCATCCTGGTAAAGCATTACTTAATAGTAAACATTTTTCTGCTAGTAATTCATAAGTATTTTTATAATATCAGGCATCTAGTGATTTCTTTATTTTATCACTCACAATAAATAAATGCTATATACATGATATTAATCTTTTCTGATTATTAAAGAATTGGAAACTTGCTATTGGGATTATTACATTTTTATATTAATAAGGATATGTATATTTGTATAATATTAGAATGCAAAGTATATTTAAATTTGATGTTGATAAATTGTATTAAATAAAATAATAAGAAATTGATATTGTTACATCATTATCATCAAAATTATTATATTTTGTTGCTTTTTGTTATTGATTAAGTAATTTTATTTTGTAGTAATGTTATTAAATTATGAAAATTTTTATTAGTCTGATTACAACACAGACTATTTCAACAATTATAGCCTTTACAGAGTTTGAAGAACCAATAGAAATTATAGCATTAGCATTAGAGCTCACTGGTATTGTGGTGTTGCTTCTGCTAAATAAATTTAATCTTCCTGAGCTTTTATAAAGGACAATGCTGTTGGGTTAAGCAATCTTAATTTTCGTTTTGATGCCGAATTCATAATATAAATATTTTACAGGGGCATATCACATAATAGTTCGTTTAACAGCCTATCAATAAATTTCCCGACTATTAATAATAGAATGGTCAGGTATATACTTCACAAATATAAAAAATAGTTTTACTACTCATTATATTTATATTTGGAACTGAGATAGAAATACATTAAATTTTTCGTAGTATATTTACTTTTCTTGGTTTATTGATTATCCAAGGCTTCAATCTTTATGCATAATTTGAAAAAGATCAAAAGAAACCACAAATCATGATCCACTCAAGAATTTAATATACAGGGTATGATTCGAACCCTAGAAGCTTAACTGAAAGAATAACAGATCCTAATTTCTCAATAATATATCTGGATGATTAATTTAATGTAATAGGATGCGAGAGATCAAGTTCAATTCTTAACAATATGGAAAACGGTTTGTAATCAATTTTACGTGATTTAATTGTCAATAAAATTGACTCTTATTCTAAATCTATACTCTAATGGAAGAGCTCAGGATGTTCTCTACAAAATTTATTAGATTAAATTAGAGCTAACAGAATACCAATGATAATTCAAATTCTGGATTATAGCCATCCATAATTAAACAACCACTTTATAAAAATTATTTATTAACGTGAATTCTAAATCTAATTATTAGAATTAGAGGAAAGAGACAGATATTAAAAATAGAAATATATATTTGCCATTTTGAAATAATTGTTAAGTACAATGTCTCATGAATTTGGAACTTCCTTAAATTATTTATTGGCCATAGCCTAAGTTGCAATTGAAAAATACACTGATTCTGAACTACTTTCATATTTCATGCCCATTAAATCTATGGGATTGATAATGCATAATTTTGTCTTAGATATGGTTGATTATAATAATATTCAAGGCAAGAAGCTAGAATTACAATTAGAAAAGATAGATGTAAAATTTTATAATAACATAGATCAGTTAATTGTTGGAAGAAGTAATGAATATCTTTTTCCATACTCTCTAACAAAAAGGACTCAAAATTACATATGAAATCTTCTTAGCTGAGAAAACCATCTTAACTGATGGAAGAAGACTCAAATAAATATTAATAACATTGATTCAAAATGCTTAAAAATTTACTTTCTCGGGAGGTATCAAAATAATTGTAAAATCAATTGATTAAAATAAATATGTTTAATTTGAAATCGATGATACTGGCATAGGAATGACTAAAGCAGAAATTGATAGTCTTACTGAAATGCTTAAATATGAGTATAAATAGGAGAAAAAGATCTCAAATAACACCGCTGGATTTGGATTAGGCAGTTTCTTATGTAATAAAATAGCCATGAGTTTAAGCAATCTGAAATACGAAGAAGGAGGTGGCATTAGATATTATAGCAGTTCAGATATTAAAGGCACAAAAGTAATATTCAAAATTATAAATGAACCTTTCAGTCTCACTTATACTCTTACTGCACCATAAGATAATTCCAGTGGAATAATAAAAGTAGGAAGGAATGCGGTTATTGATATCAAACAATCTTAGATTGAGTTTGGGTTAAGTGCTCTCAAAATTCCATTTAATAAAAAGTTTAGCACAATAATGGTGCCCAAGGTAAACAGTTTCCATGATGATCCTGTAAAAGAACATTTTATGAAGAAACTCACTACTAAGGATAAATTGGGGACTCTTTTCGGAATATAAATGTAACATACTAAAAGGGATTAAGACAGTATTAATGAGGAAACAAATGAAGAGGACTATTAAAGAAGACTGCAATTTTAAAATATCAGATTATCAACTCTTCCATAATAAAATAAATCCAGTAAGTAATGTTCTTATGATGAAATTGATAATGTTATTGTTAATTGTAATTGTAAATAGATTCTAATTGTTGATGATGAGATGATTAATATCCTTGGGTTGCAACTTATGCTAAAATCATTCAATTTAGAATCAGATTCCTCTTATAATGGCCAAGAAGCACTTGTTAAATTGGAATAAGGTAAATATTGATTCATACATATGACTAGCTCATTGTTAATATAGTTTTATTTTTATGGATATCAATATGCCAATAATGGATGGATTTGCTACTACAAGAGCCATAATTGAGAAATATAAAAATGATGCTCCTATAATTATTGCTTGCACTGCCTTCACTGATAGCGAAACAAAATAATATTGTTATGAGTTAGGTATGTCTCATTATATAAGCAAACCTGTCAATAAAAATGAATTACAAAAACTTCTATGTTATCTTATTAATTGATCTTGAATTAATAATTCAATATTGTATTATTAAATATATCTATAAAAATTATTCATAATTTAAGAACATCAGTAAAGTTACTATATAAATTAAATTCATAATTTTTATTTATAAATTAATTCCCATCCACCATAATTCTTTTTTTTTGTTTTATTATAGATATATTCCACAATGAAATGTCCCAAATCTGTTAACCCCATTTTATTTAATCTTTCAGTTACAGGTGTTGAAAATGCAAACGTTGGAGAAGCATTAACTTCTATTAACCAAGGATTGCAATCATCATCAACTATGAAATCTAATCCAAACACTTCAAAAGTATTCTTTCTTATCTCAAAAGACTTTTTACAAGATTTCATTGTGGCTATAATAATGTTTTTGAATTTTTCTCTAACTTCCCTCTCAAAGTCAAATCCTCTTTCCTTTATAATTTAAGAGAATTCCTCTTAAGTCATCATTAACTTCTCTTCCTAATTGTCTTCATTTTATTTTTGCACGCTGAAATTCGTTAGATGAGCATATCTATTAATTTTCTTAAAACTACATAATACCTATTTTTTAAATCATCTGTATTATACTCAACACCACAAAATCGAATGTAACATTCTTTATACATCCAAATTGTCAAAGGTTAAACATCTGATACAATTATCCATTATCTTATATCAAATTTCCTTTTTTATATTGTCATAATATTTTCTAAGCACTTTTAAGCCACGAAATTCACATCCTTAGCTCCAAAGGTATAAGCTAGTATATCTTCTAATTCCTTAAAATATTTGACTCCTCTTCCTCTAGACAACCCACAAGGTTTTGTAACCCAAATATTCTCACCCTTAGAAATTTTATATTAAGGGTCAATATCACTAAGATTTTATAATATATTTTTAATTGATTCCATTATGTTTGGATTATTAAATTAAATGATTTCTTGCTTTGGTTCAGATTTTTTATATAAAATTTACCATTATTGAGGAGTACAAATAGGATAATCTTCGCAAGTCTAATTATATAGTAAATTTTACAATTCTATTGATTTTATCTTAAATTGGCATTAACTTATAATTTAATATTTCTATTGCAATATTTATCTTTTCTTCATCCTTAGGGTTTTTCTTAAGATAGTTTTCTGCAAATGTAAATTTATATTCTTCCAAAAAATCTTCAAAATCATTTTCATCACTCAAATCATAACATCTAGGAAAGAAAGTATTGGAGTCTACTCCTCCTAAAATATAACAACTTTTCAAAGATCTTGCTAATCCAAACTTTGTTGTCAATAATTTTGCACTAGCAAATCTACTGACAACTTATTCTGGAATAGGTTTATGTAAAAACTTCTTTAAGTAACAAAATTTGAAATCATAAATCTATGTATAAACATCTTCAATTTCTACCCAACCTAATAAAAAAAGTAACCGAATTCTTTACCTAATGAATTAAATAAATTTTTCATATCATTAAAATATTCCCCTTATATTACATATAAATATTAATTTTGATTTAAATTGTGTTTTTTCCGCAATTTTTCAATTCCTTCTCTGACTTCAGATTCAGATAATGGTTATATTTAAGCTAAGATTTTTTCAGTTTCTTCTTCTTTTTTCCTTTATTCTTCACTTTAGTCATCTAAATCCAAATATAATTTCTAAAATTCTTTATCATTCATTGCTTTATTCAAAATGCTTCTTATATCAACTGATTCATAATTTTATAATATTTACTTTTCATTGATTTCAGTAAAGGTTATCTTGTAATTTAAAACATTGATCTAGTTATAAATCGACAACTCAATTCTAATTGAGTAGCAATTTTAGATAACTATTCTTCTAATTTTTTCTTTTATTTATTATTTGATTGGATTGTTTTTTTTAATTTTGGATCAAATTTGCAGTAATATTGTGGTTTCCCCAGTTGAGTAATTAATGTGGCAATCCTATATCTGAAACAAATTGAGATTTTGTCAAAAACATTAACTTTTGTTTATATATCCTACTTAATTTCTTTTTTTTTTATTCTCTTTTCACTTAACTTAGGTTTAATTACTTGAGACCAATCTATTGAAAAATCTTCAAGTTCTGATTCTTACTACATTAATTTAAGAATTTATTTATTTTAGAAAAATCACAATATTTTTGAATAGAAGATATTAGTTAATATTAGGGAACTGTTTTCATTTCACTTGATAACTAATAAATAAATTAAATCAATTGAATATTTCTTGTAAAAATAAATAAAAACTTATTTTTAGAATTTTTTAATGTCCTTTAAAAAGATTCTCAAATTTAGTAATAAGTATTGAAGGCTCTGGATATCAATACTATTTATTGTATTTCAAATATTAATAAAACTATTATTTCTCTTAAATCATCAAGTGCTTCTGCTTCCATACATCTAAATAATGTGAATATTTTTAGGTTATTATTTTAAAATAAAAAGGATAATCGATACAGAGAGATTACTCAATGATATCTAAAGATAATTTAGAAGTATTTATATATAAATAATTTTATAGTCTTAAATAGATATATTCTGATATAATTAAATTAGGTTAAAATTAATGTATATAAAAATCAACTTGAAGAATATATGATTATATATTAAAAATAACTCAAATATATTAATTAAAACCATTAGTATAATTCTTATTATTTTAAGGTAACTGAAATTTAAAGCTATCTAATATTAATATTAATTTAAACCTTTTTCAATTTTAAGTGATTTGATTTAGCATTAAGGGCAATCTAAAGGAAAAATTATACAACAAACTCCAATAAAATGTCTTGAATCTTAACAATAAGCCAAATATTGGATAGTATTATATTCTGTAAATGGAGAATGGCAAAATGAACAATTCTACGGTTCATCAAGCTGAATTATGCTGCATTCTAAAGTACTTACACTTTTGATTTTTATTTAAGAGTTTTCTTTTTTATCACCTTATTCATCATGATACTTTTCAATCTTAATATTACTATTTTGATATGGTTTCATATTTATTTATTAATTTAATTCGTTGTTTAACTCTCTCTTAATTATTTATTATTCTTATTCTGTTTATTCAATTTTTAAGTTTAATATTTTATCAAAGAATCTATTTGCCTCTTAAGTATTTATGCCACGTCCACATTAAGGACATCTCAAATATTGTTAAATTGAAGCCAAAGATTCCAGACAAGAGGCACAAATATAATGATGACATTAATTTTCAAATAAAAGAGTTTCATCAAATATTTATTTACATTTGAAGCATTTTTAATCTTCATTATTATTATTTTCATATATAGATAGTTTTAGATGATCAGTTTCTATATAATCTCCACATTTTTAACACATAAATCGATTTCTAAATTTACACAAATTTATAGCACATTCCTTGCAATAATAATGTTGACAGGGAGTTATTATAAGTTAATTTTATATCAAATATTTTTCACATTTTATACATTGTTAATAAACATCTAAACTTTTATTTTCTATTTCCATTTAGACATTCTTAGTATTATTTTAATTTATAGATTTTGTAATGACTTATAATTTATCTTATTCATTCAACTAAACTAATTAATTCTATTAAATCTAATCCTATTATTATTCATTCTATTCAGTCTTGGAATACTTTTAAACAAGACTATTTTCTATTTTTGAAGAACATTTTTCTTATTTTTAATTATTTTCTTCACATTTCAAACATAATTAATTATCTGATGATATCACTTAATCACATCTACTACAATTGTTTTTTTCGTATTCTTTCTTGAGACTACAATAAAATTCTCTCGATATTTGTTATTTACAATCAGTATAATTGCATGGAAATGATTATAATTATTTTGATTGTTCGAATGATTTCTTAATACAATTATAGCATATAAAATGTTAACATTCTAAAGTGATCAAATAAAGTTTGGTTTTACATTAAGCACATATTTTTTCAATTTTTGTTAAGATTAGATAATAATTATCATCTTTTTTGTAGAATATAATTTTATTACTTCCTCCATTTTACTAGGCACCATATAATTTTTGTTGATTAGGTTATTCATATATGACAAAATTAACTTTAAAAGTATCGCATAAAAATTGATACTAATCTGAAGGACTTGTTTTAAAGTTATATTTCAAGTAAGATTTAATAGCATCCTTAAAGCACTTACCATAAGGATCTTATATTTTAACCTATTCTATAAAAAATTAAAATCTATTAGGTTTATTTTTAGAATTGTTGAGTAAATTATTTATGTTTTGCATTGCAGAATTATTTTAATTAGACTCCAATACTATTGATTATACTATCTAGACTTAGTTGACTTTAATATGATACTCAATTAATCCTACAAGCATTGCTCCTTCTAATAATTAGCCTACATTTAACCATTTTTAAGAGTTAGAAAAGGGTTTGATCTCACTAGGTATAGGGGTTATTTCAAATTATCTTTAACTCATTTTATTAATTTATTTTATAATATGATTCTTGAATATAAATCAATATGCTTAATAAGCTGCCACAGCGCCTGATATTAGACCTCCAAGGCCAATAACTCCATCGTTAAGGTTGATTTTGAATACTTTGGGGAAAAACTCAGAACCTTAACCAGCTGGCATTAAATCACCAAATATCTTTATCAAATTTAAATAAAGAGTCTTATTTTAGTTTTACTTATTAATGATCTATTGTGAAGCACTTTGATTATTTTTATTTTGTTAGATATATTAAAAGTTGACAACCAATTATCTTATAGTGTCAACCAAATTTGTGATTATTGCAATAAACCAAAATGTCATTGCTTTTTTTTGCAATGGTTTTGGATCACTGGTTGTGAATTTGATTGATGATAATACACTCAAGTTATCATAGACCCTAATACATTAAGATATTTGATTACCAATATAATAAAAACCAAACTCTTGTTAATATATTTAATGCGCGAGCAACCTACTCTTAAGAAGTTTTACAATTTTGCCCCAGTTTATCAATGATAGTTTACAATTCATTCAATGATTTGGCTAATCTGAATAATTTTCTGGCATCTCTTGTGCTTTCTATATAAAATGATAAACAAATCAAGTACAAAATAAATTCTTAAATTGATTTGACAATTATTCATTGCCACTGTTGGTTTTGAGATGCCACATTAAAAATCTGGATCCATATTACATGACTTTACATATCTTATCTCTTCCTTCAGTCTTATTGAACCATTTAACAGTTGAATCTAGTGTTTGCATATTTTTTACTAAAAAATTTAATTACTCATAATATTTCAAAGTGCGTATTTCTAATATATTTTATATTAATCTTGATAACGCAATGCACTTCAGAGCTCCTTTTTTTATTAATGAAAAATTTAGTCAATTTTGTTACATAAACATATTAGATTATTGTTAAAGTATATAAATGTTGAGTATTAATATATAAAATCAAATGATATGATTCAACAGATAATTAACTTAAATGTGATATTATTTTTAAGAAGCTTGCATATTTGTGATTAATTTTGACAAATGTAGCATTAACTTCCATTTTCAACTAATGAATTAGAACATTTTGAAATAGAGCACACTCATGGTTCATTATCTAAAGCTAAACCTCCCGTTTACAAATAGAAAGATTAATTGATAGTCAATAAAATTCATACTGTCTAATTGGATCATGAGATTGATGAAGATGTGAATTCTAAATTTCACTTTACAGTCATAATGGTAGGAATATTGTCTGGTAATTTTGGATTGGGTTACTCTTTACCATACTTATCAATGTCATTTTCTACAGTATTTTCTCAGATGTATATCATTTTAATATATTTATGGTAGTGAATTGAAGGGATCAGAAACATCTGAATAAGGATTTTTTAGTGCAATTTTATCTATTGGTTGTCTTATTGGTGCAATTTTTACAAAATTCTTATTGAAACACACAACTAGGAATCAATCACTAATGATAGCAGATTTTTGTGGTTTTTTAAGTATTTTTGCAGTGATTCCAAATCGAGAAGTTATTTTAACTTTCAGATTTTTTTATGGAGTTTGTATTGGTATCTAAACAATAATAATGCCAATATATTTAAAGGAATTGTGTCCATAAAAATATTATGATAAGTTTTCAGTAATGTCAGGATTCTTTGTAGGTGGAGGATTGCTTTTTGCCAATTTTATGGGTTTAGGTTATATAAATAGTGATTTAAGAGGAAAAGACTCTCATTATTGGTAGATTGTTTTTGCAATTCCAGCAATTGTATTCTTATTTAGATTTACAGTATTGACAATAATATACAAAATAGATAGTCCAATATCATTAATAATTAAAAATAAGCCAACAAAGGCAAAGGAAATAATATCTTATATTTATTAATCAGTTTGTGTTGAATAAGCATTTCAAAAAAGTTAATTAAGAGTGTAGTATGATGAAGAACATAAAGAAGGAATAATGATACTTTTTACTAGAAAACATAGAAGAACATTAGCAATTGGTTGTGTATTGATGTTTGTTTATACATGGTGTGGATTATTTGCAATATTCTCATATAGTTCACAATTTTTTGCTTCTATGTCAAATGGAGATGTTACTTTAAATACTTTCTTTACATTAATTTTAGGAATAGTATAATTTACACCTGCTTTCATATCATCAATTGTTTATAGAAGATGGGGAAAAAGAATAATACTATTGACAGGATTATTTTTGATGATCATTTGTTAAATATTAATAATAGGTTTAAGCTATACTGAAGCTTTGGGTGCAGTAATAGTAAAGTTTATAGTAATATGTTTATTTTCATTTTTATATGCTTTAACATTAGGTCCTATTACATGGGTAATTAATTTATTAATAAATAGTCTATGACTCCAGAAATAAATTCAAGTGAGGGAACTTACTTTTGTTTTGTAACTTTATATGCTTGGTAATTATTAGTCTTATACATATTTCCATTTATGCTTAGTAGTTTGGAAATGAGTGGATCATTTGTAGTATTTGCAATTTTAACAATCAGCAGCATTTTATTTTTTTATTGTTTTGTAAAGGAAACAAAAGGATTGAATCATACAGAAATAGATAAAGTATATGGTAAAGAAGATAAATGAGAATTTTGATGTTATTAAAATATGAAATAGACTTAATACTTATAAATTATATAATCAATTTAGATAATAAGATAGTATTTCAATGAGTTAATCTTTTTTGACTGGTTTTTGTATATGATAACTCATTCCACATTTGTAACAAGTGTTTCGAGTTTCTGTATCCGAGAATGCTGTACATGCAATAACTATGATATTGGAATATTTGGATTTAATTCTGATCGTTGTTTGGATTCCATCTAAGATTGGCATATTAATATCCATGAAAATCATACGATATAATTAAGAACTACATTTATTACATCTAGCTAAATGATATATATAAATATATATATTACTTTTCTTTTGATTACTGAAGATTAGATTGACACATTCTTCTCCATTAAATACTGAGTCACTTGAGTAACCCATTTAATCAAGCATCATTGATAAAGCCATAATATTAATTTATTCATCATCAACAATTAAAATTTAAGGACAATTGCATTTCTAATTAATTTATTAATTCTCATTTAAATGTTTAATCCTATTTTGAAACTCTTAATCATTTGTCTCTTAATTAATACTAAATGATTCAATTTTTCTTTCAGATGAAATTGCTGCAAGAAATAATTCTCTTGCTATTTTGGATGGAGGTTTACGTAATTTAAGTGACAATTCCTTATTTAATCCTCTTTCTGATTTGAAATCTTTGATTCCTAAAATCTACGAAAATTTCTATCTCATTGGTAATGCATTGACTCTACTAATTTATGATTCCATTGTGTCAATTTAAATCTTCTTACGAATTCGAACAATGGGTGTAGGATTACTTTATTAATATACAGGACTATATGATTAATTTCTAGCCATGAACCAAGCATGAAATCCTGATTAATATTTTGATTCGAATCTTAATCCTCCTCCCTTATCATATCTAGTTTAACTAAGTACTTCAGCTATTTTATTGGAAATATATAATCCCAATCCAAATCCAACTGTATTTTATGAGATTCTAGCTGATTATGGTATACCTGAAGATAAAAGTTAATGTAATCTATCTACTTCTTCTTATTTCATTCCAATTCCTGTATCGAATACATGAAAAATAGCACATAATTATTTATTATTTATAACTGCTCCAACTTAAATTCTAATTTAACCAGAAAAAGTGAATTTTTAAGCATTTGATATTAAATTGATTAAAATTTATCTAATTCTATTTCTATCACTTACTAAATCATAATTAATAAGATTGTTTTGAAATTGAATTTTAAGATGTTTCTAATTTATTTAATATTTAAATAGATCAACAACTTCACTAATCAATTATGGTATGTTAAAATTACTTACTTCCACATTGAATTATTTACTTAATATTAAATTGTAATCCATTATATCACTAATTAAACTATGCATAATCCTGCCACAATGTAAAATTGGAAGAAAATACTTTTCTGATACAGCTTTAGGTACATTTTCATGACATTAAGCAACTTGAGCTAAAGCCAAGATATAATTCAAAGAAGTATTCAATTCATGACTAAAACTCTTGAATAATTATTTCATAGTTGTTTGAGAGTGTTTCTTTTTTATATAATGAGAATAATCAGACATCTCTTAGAATATTATAGTATATGTTATCTTATCACAATTTTCCTTTTGAATAAGAATCTAAAAGAAATGTTTCTCAAAATCTTGAAGTACATACACATCTAATTAATGAGGTAGAGGTAGATTAGATTTAATGTTATCCAGCAATTCTTTTAATGTAATTAATGTTAAGGAATCTCTAAAATCTTGGATTGATTGTAATTTAATATTGCATTATTCTTAGAGTAACAACTTAGTTTATTTGTCAATTAAAGTTGGGGCTTGCATAATTAGTTCATTTAATTATTTATCTTACAATAAATAACAAGATTTTTTATTCTAGTAAATTATTTCAAATTATTCATTTAATTTAATTACACCCACTATTCCATTTGTCGTATCATTTATTTTATCATATTCTGTTTGAGTTTTTAAGTTACATGTTTCTTCAATCATAGTTAAATTGTTTTGAATTGATTTGGGTTCGCCATCATGATTATGATTATGATTTTTAACTAGAAATAGTAATGTTACTATAAGAAACTGAACCAATGGCTAACCATCATTAAAATCTAGCAAACTATAATATAACATCAGCAAAAAGAGATGTAACAATTTGATCAGCATAAAATATCTATTCACAAAAATCTCTTTATCATTCTATTAATAAATGATTATAGGCAGAAGGAATGTAATGAAGGAATATCTATTATAATTGTCAAAGATTTCTAAATATATATATTCTATTTAATACATATTATGTTAAGGGATATAATCATGATTGGAGAAACAAACATACAATATTTTTTTCTTGTCTTGCCATATTATAACAACAAAAACATTATCAGTATCAAAAACTCAATTATCAATAACCACAACTTTCAAAATTATATATAGAAGATTACTCAAGATCTAAAGAATAAAAAGCATTGCAAATCCATGAACTACATAGCAATATTTCACATAACATATTTTTTGATTCCAATTAATTATTTAAATTATTATATCAAAATCATTGTTAATCATACATATATATATATATATATTTAATCAAAATTAACTCTCTTAACATTAATCTATAACTTATTTACTTCTAGATGGATGTTTATTAGGAATCAAACTTAGTATATTTTAATAATATGGTATTTTATTATTTTCTTTTGAAATTCTATGTATGTATTCATCATCACAAAATTCAATATCATCTTCACTTGAACTTGTTACATGTTATTCTTCCTTACCAAGTCTGGATGAAAGCATTTCACAAGAACTTTGTTCTCTTAATTCCAATATTGTTCTTAAAGATGGTAATATTTTTGGTTTCTCATTTTATACATTTTATTTCTATCTCTAATTTGTTAACCACTAATGAGCTAATGCATTATTTAAAGTAATTCTATTCTAATAATCTGGGTCTAATAATCCACATAATAATTCAATTAGAGAAAAAGAATATTCTTATTATTATTCTTATTTTATTGATTTCAACCATTGATAATCAAATTTAAAATTATCTAATGATTTATAAAATGATAATTATGATTTATTTTTATTTGTATGGAAGGTCAAATAGTACAATAAGACTCCAATTTGATATCCATCAATATTTGAAAAATCTGATTTAATTTATAAATTATTGAATTCAGGTGGTATCCATTATTTTGGAACTCTCTTATTTAACCAAGTTAAATTATATTGATTTGCATCTCTATAAGCGAAATTGAATAATGTAATTTTTAATTATTATCCTTATTGATTCTATGGAGTTGTTACTCTATGTAAAATTATATTTGTTGGAAGTATGGCCCCATGATAAAGATTATTCTAATGTAAAAAACGAATCACTTTGATAATCTAGAAAATGATTTATGCTATCTATGAAGCTGTTAATTTAAAACCTTGTTAAATCAATTTATATAATGTATCACCTACCCAATAATCATATAATATATAGAGAATATCACCATCTTCAAATAAAGAATGGAATTAATTCAATCCATTTTGTTTGAAACACATTAAAATATTTATCTCATTCATCAAAGCTTCATAAAGTTATTCACTCAAACTTGACAATCTTATAAGTTAAACTGTATAAACACGATCTTTATTTCATATAAATAAATTACTATTTTTATTTTTCACACAAGCATAATGATTTTATATCGAAAGTTTCTCTTGAATTGTGTATTTATTGGAAAAATTTTATAGTTTGCAAAATCTCTTTAATTACTTCTCCCACTAGAAATTAATTAATGACTAAGTTATACATTCAATTACTAGACATATGACTCATAAAATAAGAATAAATTGCCTTGACTATTTAGTAATTACACTCCTTATGCTGTAAATTCTTTATATTAGATTATTTTCTTATTCATTATGCAAGATGACAATACTAAGTATTCCTAATTATCTCCAATTAACATATTTGGATATAGTGTAAATTACATCTAAGTGAATTTATTGATTTTTGTATCGAAAGTGTATAAACTTGATTTTAGTAATTGATCACAATCTTGAAGTTTGCTTAATTAAGTTGTTTAAATTTTCTTCATATTTGATTACTATAGCTAATATTTAGGTATTTGATCTAATAGATTGAGGATCCATTCTATGTTTGTAGGTTTTTAATTTTTTATATAGCTAACTCTCTTTTTTGTTTATTTCATATTGCATATCCCCCACAATAGATAATCAGTTATATTTTTATTATATTACATGTCCCTCAATTCACAATTCCCAAAGCAAGTCCCATTCTTGCCTGGTCATGTCTTCTCAGATCCCTTCAAAGAAAATCATCATAAAACTCAGCAATTTTCACATATCAATGGTACTGTCTAAGAGAAAACCAACTTTATTCATGAAGAATTTGATCCAAACCTAATGGATTCAATGAAATTCAATGCTCCTCCCAATCTAACTTATGGAAGTAGACAACCACCAGAAAATGATTACATTCCTCGCATCTAACCACCATGGTTGAAATATGATCGTGCTGTTTTACGTTTCTATGGTTACTTCCAAGAATCTGTTGTTGAAAATCCTAACGAGAACTTTAGAATTAGAAAAGTCATCATTTATTACTATTTATCAGATGGAACAATACATGTGACAGAAGTACATTATATTAATAATTAATTTATAGCCAAGAGTACCTAATGCTGGAATCCCTTAAGGTCTATTTATCAAAAGATAAAAGATTCCAAAAAAATTAGGAAAGTATGACTTTTATTAATGGGAAGATATTCAATTGTGCTCTAACATCAATTTTTATGAAAGAGTATATATAAATTATTATTTATTTAGGTATTCAGAATTCAAGATTGTGATACTTTTACTAGAGAATTCTATGAATATATGGGTAAACCTTTGAGTTTACCAGAACAAATGCCAAGAGATAATTTTGAAAACATAAGAGAAACTAAAGAGCTTAAAATCAATCCACCTGATACCAAAGAATATAAAGAATATTTTGAAGTTAAATTAGGAGGAGGACATCCAAATGGAGGACTTAATAAATATTTATAAAATGATAGAAAAGTCTTATCTTTTGATATTATATGGGATGATGCATCTATTGAAGGCTAATTAAATTATTACACATTAAACTTTTACTTGGCTGATGATACATGTGAAGTCAAAGAAGTAAGAAAATAGAACTCAGGTAAAGATCCTTATCCATTGATGTTGAGAAGATAGAAGATACCTAAAACTCCTATTCTTACTCATTATCCAGGAATGACTCTTAAGAAAGAAGAATTTTACAGTCCTCAAGATCTTATTTGTGGGAATACAGTTAAAATTTATGGTAGAGAATGTTTTATATATGGATGTGATGATTTTACAAAGGAATACTATTTAAATGTTTTAGGAATTCAATAAAAGTAATACATTTATATTTATATCAGACCTGCCACATTAAAATAAGAGAGAGGCAAAAAGTTTTATTAACCTGTTCCTCCATATAATGGTTATGGATATGAAGAGGATTCTTTAGGATCTGTCTATTCTTTGCAACCAAAACCACCAAAGAAGGATGTCAGAAAGAATTTCACTTAAGATCAATTCATACTCAGATTTGAAGCTAGATAAATTAGTGAGGTTAGAGAAGAGAATTCAAGAAGATTTATAATATCATTTTATTGTGGTGATGATACTATATAAGTATATCAAACATCTGAAAGGAATAGTGGAATTTGGGTATATTTTTATGATTATTTTAATAGGGTGGTAAATTCTAAGAGAGATCCAGATAAAAGAATCCATTAACTAATGATTATTATACAGAAAAGGTATTTATTTTAAGCATTAAACTAAGGATTTCTAATTGGGTGGTATTGTTTAATTTAATGTCTATAAATTCTAATTGATGAGAGCAGATGAATTCACCATTAATTATATGAAATAAAAATCAGACGTTTTCAAAGAGGCTGATGTCTCTCAAATAATAGCAAAATTAAGACTATTTGCAGATGGATATCCAAATTTTGATAGTTTCTTGTTAGATTTGATGAAGTATTATATATAATTAAGATAAATAGGAAATTAGATAAATAACTTAAAGGATATATTGATTTTGAAGAATTATCATAAGGATTATAAGAATTAGGATTTAATTTAACTTTGCAAGAGCAATATTTCTTGATGAGAGAATTTGATAGAAATGGAGAATGGAAATTGTGTATGCAATCATTATGGGAAGCATTGGGAGGTAAAAGAGCTTGATCAATTGATTAATTATTATATAAACAGATACATTTATTACATAAAACAAAAAAATAATGATCAAAAAGAGAAATTCATTGAACATAATGGAATTAGCAACTAGACTACCTTCTGGTTGTACTAATCCTGTATTATAGTATTATAATTTTATAGGATGCACCATCTCCAATTAAATTCATAAGGAAACTGACAAGGTAAGCATCAACAGTGAATGGATCATCTACAAAAATTTAGACTTGTGTTTAATCTGTTCCTAATAAAACTTAGGATGTGCTCTAATAATGTATTACAATAGTTGAATAAATCCGATAATAATATCAAGAAAGGTAGGCAAGTAGGTTTTTTCATATTCGTTCATGTTCTATGCCTTGTGACAGAGTATCCATAATAAACTAATTGATTGACACAATTTTGCCTCAATCTCCAAGAAAACAATAAAGATCATTAGAGTAAGGTATATAATTTTATACTTAGAGGAGAAATTCAATCTATGATGAATCAATTGATAGAAGAAAAACAATAAAAATAAAAGGCAATTGATTAAAGAGATAGTTTAACTAAAAGACAAGATTATTGTATAAAATAACTAGTAAGAATTTTATATATATATATTTATAGAAATCTCGAATTGAGCAATATAAAAAGTTAAATTGAGTATATGATAAAATCATTATATCTCAAAAATGCAATATTTTTATTGTTTTATAATTAAATTTGATGGCAAATACTATTATTCCATATTTATAATTAATTTAATGAAAACTTGAATATAATATAAATTGAATATGTAAATTATTCCTTTTTTGTGATATCTAATAAACATTCTTAGTTTCAAATGACATTCATAATATTAATATAAATTATTTTTATTAATATGGGAAATATGTGTTATCGAGATTATGATGAGGAGAAATTGTTGGGAGGATAGGAATTTAAAAAACCAGAATCAGTTTAAGGTTCAATAATGAAACCGAAACGTAAATACACATTTTGATTATGGAGCTAGTGGAGATGGTTAGACAAATGAAATTACAAATTAGAATTAAACTGAAATGACCGATGATCCAGAATTATAAGTGGAAAAAGATGAATTCTACAAATTGTCCAATGTATGATTGTGCCTCTAAGAATTTAAGGAAAATACAAGATAATTAGATATAGCATCTAAAACATAAGAGCCTGAGGGATAGGGCTTATAAACATAGAAAGTAAACATTGATAGTTTCCGATTATTAAAAGTTTTGGGAAAGGGATCATTTGGAAAAGTTATGTTAGTTTAATATAAATCAAATTGTATTCAAATTTATTTAGGGTAGCAAAATATTATGCAATGAAGGTGTTATAAAAAAAGAATATTAAGAATGAAAGATAAAAACGTCATACAGAGACAGAAAGAATTATTTTAGCAACATGTTCTAGTATCTTTTTAGTAAGATTGAGATATGCATTTTAATCATAATATAAATTGTATCTTGTTGTAGACTATATGCCAGGTGGAGAACTATTTTATCATTTAAGAAAAGTGGGAAGATTCAAGGAAGAAGTAGCTAAATTTTATGCAGCAGAAATATTATTAGGTTTACAATATTTACATGAAAACCATATCATCTATAGAGATCTTAAACCAGAGAATATTTTGCTAGATGAAAATGGTCACATTAAATTAACAGATTTTGGTTTATCCAAAATTATGATGGAGGAAGACGAAACTGCATTCAGTTTATGTGGAACTCCTGAATATTTAGCACCTGAAATACTGACCACAAGTTTTTATTATTCTTATAACATTATATTAGAAACTGGCTATGATAAGACTTGTGATTGGTGGAGTTTTGGAGCTTTAGTGTATGAGATGTTAGTAGGAGCCCCACCTCATTACAAAGAAAATAAAAAGGAAATGATTCGGAGAATATTAACATAACCAATACCATATCCTTCATATTTATCCGAAAATGCTCGATCTTTATTGGAGTAATTATTGGTTGTAGATGTAATTTAATATTTTTTCATTTTCTTAGCCAAAAAAACGTTTAGGATATGAAAATGATGGATATGATATTATGAAACATGATTTTTTTATTGGTATTGATATGGCAGAAATCATTTAGCATAGAGTATTTTATTTTTACATTTATATATTTAGATCCAACCACCTTATAAATTCGATAAAAAGGAGTTGAAGTATTTTGATGAAGGAATGACTAAATAAATTGCTAAAGACACACCTGTTAATGGTACCTTATTACCAAATTAAAATTTTTCAAATTTCACCTATCAACCTAGCATGCAATAAGGTGCTACCATGAAAAAATGAAAAAACATAAAAATATAATATTTTAATCAAATCAATTAAATAAATTAATCAACTTTTTAGTTTATCTATGATTGCACGCTTGTCTACAACATTCTTCAAAAATATGAGACAAGCTATTTGTGTTGTTCCAGATACTGAAATCACTTTGAATGATAGAGTATACTTTTTTGAATAGGTAATTATGAATTCTATTTGTAGAATAAAGTTTAATCTATTCCTGTTAGATCTATCTTAAAAGAATATTTATTATACGAAAGTGAATTTGCTGAAGAAGCTAGTCAAGTAGAATAGGATACCAATGAAACTTAAAAATAATAAGAAGAATTTTCTGATGATGAAAATAATGATGATGATTAGGGACCTTCAGGTGGAAGAATGATGCCTGTGATTGAGCTAATTAAAGGATTTATTCCTAGAATTGTTGGTGCAATTTGAGTATTTTAAATTCAAAATTTACAAGCATTTATAATTATAATTAAAATTCATATATATAATAATCTTCTAAAGAACCTCTTATTTTGGTAATAAACTTCTATAAATAAATATTAGTGAGATATTTTGATTTAGCAGATAAAAATTTAAATAATATATGTCATGTTTTTATAAAAATGAAAATAAAATTGAATAAAAATTGGTAAAACAAAAAGATGTATATTAAATAAATAGATATCTAAATTTACATTCTATTTATTTAATTGATTAAGATTTTATCATTAATTTAATGGATTTAATTGTATTGATATTTTTTTTTACAATTATATTTTGAAATAAAAAATCGTAGAGAATAAGTTCAGTTTATTGAAGTAGAGAAATTATATATTTATGCGAATTAAATGAATATTGAATAAAATAATGATTATAACACAAACACTTCTAATAAAGATTATCTTAATATGGATTGAATGAAAATTAATATTAGGATAGTAAATTGGAATTAAATATATTCTAAAAAGAATTAAAAACCAAGCAATAAATTTCAATCCCAAAAATTATGATAAAATTAAATATTTAGAAAGAATTAATCTTGAATGTTTATTTTTATTTTCTTGTTTTATTTCTACATTTTTAATATACTCTATGAATTTTAAGTATCTAGTTATGTGATTCTTTTGAATTTGTTAAAATATAATTTTAAACTCATCAAATTAATGTAATCTATAACTTAAACTAAAAATTTAGTTCAATTTTGATTATATATTAATTTTCATAACTAAAAAATGAATATTATAAAATGATAGCAATAATTTTCTTTTGTCTAATACTCAAGTCTTTAGCTGAGATTATTTCGTAATCTCAAATAAATAAATGTTATTCAAATTCAACAAACAATACTTAATGTTCTGAGAAAATGCTTATATCACTTACAGTAGAGAATGCTTAAAATATTGTGACAGAATATATTAAGATTAGTGAAACAACAGTAGATAATTAAACATCATAACTTAAAACACCAATTATTATTTCAGTAACCAAAACTCCAGTTTATGCTTTTTATCCATTAAAATACACATAAGATTATAATAGTCAACCATATGAAGTTAAGATAGCAGGTGCAATTTTATCATGTGATGATAGTTGGTATTCAAATTCCCCTACTTGTGGATTTCAATATGAAAACAAGAAGAAAATATTTGATAGTCAAGGATTTTGTTGTTCTTGTGGTATACTTGATTTAATTGGTCTTGGTGATGAGTTTGCAAGAGGAAACATATGTCGTTAAGCTGGATTGACTACAGCCACAATGGCATTCTGTCTTCGATACTCGAATTTATGGTATAGGTAATAAATATATATTAATTATTAAGTGCTTACGAAATCTCAACTTATAGCATATTTTATAATATAACAATTTAAGTTACTTATTCTAATTAGGAATCAGAGGAATTAAAATTGGGGAGTGAGGTAAAAGTTGTTTAAGGCAAAACTTTAATTGGTAGAATAATAGGAGACTTCACACCATTGAATCCACCACCATCTTTAGAATCTTTTTATTTTATGAGACCATCTTCACCTAGTAGTAATGCAAGAGTATAGGCAGGTTCTGCTGCATTTATGATAGTATCAAAAGAATAGGTTGGTCGTGGTGAATGTAATAAGATAGGAGTTTCTTATAGTGCATTTCGTACAGAGGGTGAGAGATGTAAGAAATAAGTGAAATCATGTTTAAAGAATTAATTAGAAGATTTTTATTTAGAAGATTAAGCTTTAATTGCTAATAATTCATAACCAAAATATTTATTATCAAGATATGGTAAATTTAAGTCTATTTATATGAATAATGAGACATTTTTGTAGTACAATGTAGAGGGATCTATGTCAACAATGATAACACTTGAGATAAATACTACTGGTCTTATATCTTATGTAGTTAATTTAGGAAAAGGGAAAATAGATTTAGCAGAAATATAAGATTTTGAAGCTAAATCTGGGAATGGATTACTTTATGCTTAAATTACAAATGTTGGAGATATTGCAAGTGAATTTAATACATATTTAAATTGTTCGATTAATGTTATTCCAATTAATACAGTAGCATTATATTTAGAACCATTGGAAAGTTATATTATAAAAAAAGATGTGAATGTTTTAAGTGATATGAATAAATCAAATTAGTGTAATTTTAGTTTATTAAACAATTAAGGTACACTTTTGGATTGGAAATAAATAGAATTTAATACAACAGAAATATAATATGAAAGTGAATAAAATCATGATGAATAAAATATATAAGATAATGAAATTAATGCTTTAGATGAAGTATATAATAATTGTAATTCAGATTGCTCAATATTTTTTGACATAACTTGTTATATTTTGAATGATTGTAATTCTTAGATTATAACATTTTTTACTGTTATTGGAATCACATTTTTCTTTATTATAATATGTTTAACTTGTATAAGTTATAGAAAGAAATTGTGTTGCTGTAAAAAATAACATAAATGTAAATCTCGTCCATTAGAAACAATAATATAAAAAGATTATACTATCAATCATAAATCAAATAAAAGATATGAAAATTCTATATCTGAAAATAATATTGAAAATTCTTCACTTTAATTAATAGAAAATAGAATTATGTATTTAAATTTAGTATCAGGTTCAGATCCTATTTCAAATTAGTTATAATCAGATGTTTCATTCGAAGTATTGGCATCATACCATAAAAAATAATTAATAAATATAAAAATTAAAAAAAATAGTAATTTCTTGAAGATCTTTTAAGATGTATATGGATAAGAATCTTTAGAGAGAAATGTTAAAAAATATTTCTAAAAAAAATGTGAATCAGTACTACTATTTAATAATCTATTAACTGATCTACCATTATTCAGTTTATTATGATACTAAATATATATATATATATAATATCTTTATGTATTTTATTTATTAATAATTTTATATTACACTTAATAATATTCAAATATATAATAAATTAAAAAAACTTTAAAGAAATAATTGATAATTACATATCATATAATAAATTATATTAAAATAAAATACCTAAAGATTTATAGATTTAAAAAATGATAATATAATATTAAATCCTTTTTTTACAAATTGAATTTTATAATTTATGTTAGTAAATATCATTTTTTTTTCATAACCAATTCTGATCTTTTAACTGCTCTTAAATATGTATATTAGAGTGCAACTTCTTATTTTTTAGAGAGCTTTTCATTCTATTTTTAATAATAATTATTTTTTGGTATGTTATTATTATATACATCTAAAACACTTCTTTAATCTTTCTAAGAAGTACGATTAGGATTTGGTTACTCTATTTTATAATCATATCTATGTTTAATTGTATCAACATAAAACCAATTAACATCTGATGGTAGTGATTTTTCTTTATTATAATTGAGATTAACTTCATAAATGTCATTTTAATCAACATATGAACTCCTATTATCCATTATTCTTCTTTTCTAAGGAGATATTGTCTCTTATTGTTATTATTATTTTATTGGTGAACGACTAACTTTTATTTCTTATCCATATATTTCTGAAATCTTTCTACTTAATGGATCCTTCATATTTTCCTTTGGTTTAAATGTACTTAAACTCTTTCTTAAATTTCTTTGAGAAAATGAATTGTCTTAATGATAGAAATGCTCATTTGTATGATCTGGGATTTTGTGTCTGTTAGGAGTTTTATTCAAAGGAGTACTCTTAACAATACATGAACTTTTAATATGATCATGTGCAGTGAAAGTTCTTATACCTCTATTCTGAATTTAACAAACAGTATTCCCTGAGATGGGATTATTTTTTATGGAGGATTGCATTAATTAATTCTAATATTCCCTTTATCGCTACACAACTATCATTAACATTAACAGGTATTAATCAGTTATTATAACAAAGATTCTACGAATAATCAAATAAAATATAGCATTATTGATAACAATTCAAGTATTTAATTGAAAGACAAATACAAGTCAAAACCTAAACATTTCAGATAATTAATAATAAATTATTAAAAATTAATAATACTAAATATTCTATAGTTTGGTTTACATTTTATTTGTGATAATAATTACCATTTTAAAATTTGGTATTATTATTTAAATAAAGAAAATCTAAAAATATTATAAGAAATAATCTTATTTGTACTTAATCTAAAATTAAATTCTTATATAAAAAATTATCTAATGAATGAACATTTATAATAGATTATTTATTTAATAATAATAATAACTCTAACTGAAACATTTTAAAGATTATTTAAGATTTTCTATTAGTCTGATTGATTATAATTATTAATTGAGTACTAAAATAAATATATATCTATATATAATTTTGTATTAATGTTTCTTTATGTAAATAAGAATTTAATAAATCCATTTTATTAAAAAATGAAATTTTTAGATTGAAAATTGAATAAACACAATACATAGAATAGAAATAATAAATAGTTTATTTAGAACTCAATTAAGCAAATAATAAAAATTACTTAATAAAAATAGCAACTCCATTATTTAAGTATTATGAATATCAATAATTGATGGAAAAAGAGGGATATAAATATGAATTTTAGTGATTCTATTATATAAGATTAACTTTAATTTTTATATGTTTTTTATTTAGATTGATTGTAGGATCAACAAAAAAGAGAACGTTGATTTAGTACTTTATTATAATTAATTATAATCAAACTTAATTGTATTATAATTTTTTATAAAATCTAAGCTAGTAAAAATGGATATGTATTATAATATGTATAATAAAGTTTAAAGAGTAATAATAGTTCATGTTATTTGTTAATAATAGTATTTTAGGGAAGCATTACTTATCAAAATTTGATAAAAATACAATTATTTTTTTTATTTATAAATGAAATAGAGCATCGATCCTAGTGATAGTGCAAATCAAACTACTTAAATTTGTATAATTTGTTCTCCGGAACCACAAAATAAGACTTTGCTTAGTCCTAAGGATTTTCGAATAAGGAAACCAGCTCCTTTAGTTTTAAAACCTATGTTATGTGATCAATAAGAGGATTCATAAAAGGCAGTTGGATGTGAATACAATTTCAAAGATTTGAGATTAGGGAAGAAGATTGGTAGTGGAGCATTTGGAGATGTGTTTGTAGGATTCATTTAAGGTAAATTTATTGCTGTAAAATAAATGGATGGAAAATAGTTAATAGAATCAGTGGATAATGAGATTATAATTCTTTCAAAATTGACTCATAAAAATATAGTATAATATTATGGATATATGAGAGAAGCAGGAATGTTAAATGTTTATTTAGAATATATGGATGGTAATAGTATATAAAGTAAAATAGGCGGCAGTTTATCTGATAGATTGAAATAGTTTGGAAAGTTTAATGAAACATTGATAAGAAAATTTACAATTTAAATTTTGGATGGATTAATTTATTTGCATCGTTAAGCAGTTGTGCATAGAGATTTGAAATGTGGAAACATTCTATCAAATTAAAGAGGATAAATAAAAATAGCAGATTTTGGATCCTCATCATGGAAAGAAGCAATTAATTTATCTGATACTGAATTTTGTTAGTCTATGAAAGGGTATTATATAGTAATTTTAACAGTTCTTTCAAATGGATGGCTCCAGAATTGCTAATGAAGGAAAAGAAATATGGTAGAAGAGTAGATGTATGGAGTTTAGGATGTGTAATAATAGAGATGGCAACAGCAGAACATCCATGGTAAATACAAATATTGTATTCAAATTAGGCCTAATATAAAATCTTTAGCTTAGTTATTAGAGGCTATATAGAATTTAAAATGTCCACCTATACCTACTCATCTCTCGAAAGAATGCTAAAACTTTATAAAAAGATGTTGTACTTATAATAAAGACTAAAGACCACATGCTGAAATATTAAAAGATGATCCTTGGATAAAAAAAGAAATTTGAATATTTTCTAATGATAACTTAAATTCTCATTTATAAAATTCGAGAAGATATTAATCTTAATTTTTACATTAAATAAGAAAGCATTTAGAAATTTAGGAATATATGGAAAATTTATATAAATTTAAATAATGTAATAATAAGTGGAACCAACATTAAAGAATGTTCTAGAGAATTCATCTTTAAAGTGGATATTTGTTGGAGGTAAAGGAGGTGTAGGAAAAACAACTACTTCCAGTTCTTTAGCAACATTATTTGCAAAAAATGGAAAGAAAGTATGAATATATATGAATATATTGTAGACAATAATAATTTCAACTGATCCAGCTCATAATCTGAGTGATTGTTTTGATTAAAAGATTGGAAGTCAACCTACTTAAATTAAAGGAATAGAGAATTTAAGTGCCATGGAAATAGATCCTACAGTAGATCCAGATAAATTAAAATTACCAACTCTTTAAGGATTTATGAATGATTAAGCTACAAAATCTTTGTTATCTGAATTAATTAGTTCAGTACCAGGAATTGATGAAGCTATGAGTTTTGCTGAATTGATGAAGTAATAATATATTATTAAATATTAATATAGTTCTGTTGATGAGATGAAATATGATTTAATTATATTTGATACAGCACCTACTGGACATACATTGAGATTACTTAATTTTCCTAATATTATGGAAAAGGGTTTGAATAAGTTAGTTTAATTGAGATATAATTTCTAAAATCTTGCTTCTTAATTTTAAGGACTATTTGGATCATAAGAAGAATTTGATTAATAAATGAATCAAATGTTTAGTAAAATTGAGACCATGAAAGATACTGTAACTAAAGTGAATGCATAAATGAAGGATAGAGTATATATTAATTTATATAAAAAAAGAATAAAACAACATTTATTGGTGTTTGTATTCCAGAGTTTTTATCTATGTATGAAACTGAAAGACTTGTTTAAGAATTAACTAAATTTAAAATAGATATTCATAACATAGTTATAAATTAAGTACTCTTTCCAGGTATTAATAATATATATATATATATTTAGATGATTAATGTAAAATGTGTAATGCTAGAGCTAAAATGCAAAAGAAATATTTAGATCAAATGCTTGATTTATATGATGATTTTCATGTTGTTATTATGCCACTCTAAGAAAATGAAGTTAGAGGAATTGATGGTCTCAAACAATTTTGTGAACTTCTATTAAAGCCTAAAAGTGTGCCATAATTTTGATTAAGTTGTTATTTTAATATATATATAATAATAATAATAAATGCAATAGAACTCATCTTAAACGGCTATCCAAACATAATAGAGTAAAAGCTTTGTAAGGGAGTCAAAATATGTAACCAAAGTTGATGCTAAATTGATTGAAATTCCAGACAATGATGAATTTGAGAAAATAGTGGAATTTGGCAAGGAACGTGAATATGGTCTTTGTATAATTTAATGAAACATTCATTATTTTTATTCTAAAGATTCAAGTATACTCAAAAAACCTGGATTTGGTCTTATCATTGGTCTTCTACTTTTAACATAATGAAATGCTTGTTTGAATGACATTCCTTTCTTCATAATTAAATATGCTATAACAATTGTAGCAGATCTAGAAATCCCAGCAGCACAATGTACTATAAATTAATTTAGTATAATTTACTTAACACATTAGTTGTTTGAATCTCTCTATCAATATCATGAAATACTTTTGAAAAATATTTTTATATTTTAAAATCTGCTTTATCATCTATAAAATAATAATGATGTATTATTTTATTATCATAATAACTAACAGGTTAACCATTTGCAACTGTTATTACACAACCTATTTTATGTTATTTTAGCCATTGCTTAACCTATAACTTCTTAAAATACCTTATTCTATGCGTCATCCAAATCCCCTAAATATAACTTAAATTTCTCTTCCAAAATTAAAGTGGCACCTTCCTCTTTTTTAGCTTATTATTATTAATTATTCTACATTTTAATATATATATATATATAATTCATTAATTTATAACTATTTTTGTATATATTAAATTATAGAATATTCTAAATCTATACTACTATTTACCCTTTAAATACAACTCTTAAAATTAAATTTGGTTAATAATTTAATTAAAAAATGGGAGACAGAGTTGTCTTAGGATATTGGGCTATCAGAGGTCTTGCTTAACCATGTAAATTATATAATCACTATTTATAGTGAGATTCTATTTAGAGTATCTAGGATTACCATATGAGGAAAAGAGATATTACAAACCTGAAGAATGGTTTGCTGATGTCACATCTGCTCCACTCAATTAACATGTTCTAGTGAATTTACCTTACATAAAGGATGGAGATGAATTGGTTTTTGAGAGCTAAGCACTCTATGTTTATTTGGCTTACCGTGCCAATAAACCAGAGTTATTAGGTTAAAATCCAAAGGAATAGGTTACTCTGGCATCTGTAAGAGGAGTTTTGCAAGACTTATTCAAAAGTCTGATTGCATTATTTACAATTCCAGAAGACTAATTTGAAGCAAAGAAGGATGATTTCTTTAATCAAGAAGTGTTATGGATAGCAGAGAAACTAAGTAAATTCTTGGAGAATCAAAAATGGGCTGTGGGAGATAATTTGACATATATTGATTTTTAATTGTTTGAAGCAGAGGAAATATTGAGAAATTATAAACCAGAAGTATTTACAACTTTGGTTGGATTATAGAAACATAATGAAAATTTTGCAAATTTACCTGTTATTAAGGCATATTAAGTTTCAGATAAAATGATAGCTCGTCCATTTTATCCACCTGGTATGTATAGATGGGGTTGAGTTTATAAATAAGATTAATATATTTATAATTTATTATAGATATATATGTATATACCTTTTTTTATAAAATAGGATTAGTATAATTATAAAATATAAAATTTTATAATTTATAATAAATAATTAATTATTAATTTTGAATAATATGGAATAGTGAAACATTATTGATGCATTATGATTAAATAATTTATGGAAAATGGTTAAAATAAGGAACATATAAACATTTAAACAACATTCAGTTCAATTTTATCAATAGGTATTAAATAGAAATTATGAAACAAGTTATTGTATTTCTAAAATAAAAAGTGAGAATGGTTTTTCTAATTTCACACTTTTTGGAACTTACCGTTCTATAGAATCAAAACCATTTTATTAGAATTTAATCGGTTAGATGATTCCCTTCATGTTTGATTCACCTTCTTTTTGAATAACTTCAATCATATCACAAAAAGATTCTTTGATCTAATTTTATTCTTATATATATATATATATACAGGTTTTTTATATCTGTATGACATTCTATCTTTCAACCATTCTGAATTCGAAATAGATGTGTCTTCTTTTAAATTGTATTTATTGTTAGGAGAGCAAAATACCTATCTTAATCGGACAAATCAATTACAGTAGCCTTCATATCGAAATAACGAGAAATGAGTACAATTTCAATGTCACACATAATTTGCGTTCCTTCAATAATTCTATTTTTTTAAGGTTGATTCTATGGTTTGAGTTGTTCATTTAAAATGAATGATGCAAAATGATTCTAAGTAGGTTGTGGTTAAACATTTCTCATTACATCTTCTGCATTTATAAAAGGTGTAGATGCACCAAATTAAAAACTTGGAATTGACATCCCACCTCCAAGATGTCCCATTTATAAACTGTCTGTTTATTTCAATATTTATGGGAATGATTCACCTATATTACTTAAAATAAACATACTTGAATTTCTAACTTGCAATGTTGGAGGTTGATTCATAAAATCTTAGACAACAGGTATGTAACAATTATAAACAAAGAATGTGCTACTAGGATTCTAATTTAATTGAGGAACCAATTAATCTGGTTTTGCTTCCTTAGTTGCTTCTGAGAACATTTATTTATTTTCTTATATAAATGAATTAAATTTTGGAGTATTATAATTATATTATAAAGACAAAATTTAAAAAATATTATTTCGGAGAACAACAGTAAGAATAAGAAACATTCCATATTTATAGAATCCTTCAAAAATGATCAAAAAACTTAATATATGAGGTGATATAAGATCAATACACATAATATTAATTTTTATAAATAATAAAAATTTATATTGATTAAATTTATTTATGTCTTAAGATTATGAATATCAAATAATGCAATTTAAAATTATTATGTTTAATAATATATTTTATAATTAAAAATATTAATTATTATAATAGATAGAGTTCAAGATCTAGTTATATAATAATTGATTAAATATTTTACTTAATAAATATAATAATAATATATTTTAAGATATTAATTATTCTTTCTCTTCTTATTATCTAAGTATTCTTTAAAATTGGTGGAAGTGATATCTTTACATAAGGTATTAATAAGTTCCTTAATATCATGAGTTTCCTTAATTAATAATTACTCAAATAATTATTAGATTTATTATTAATATTTTACTATATTTTCCTTAGTTTTTTTAATAAATTAAACAATTATTAATCTTACTTCATCAACTATTATTTTGCATATTACATCACTAGAAGTTTTAACAATTTCATTTGATTACCATTTCTATAGTTACTCTTTTGAAAAATGCTATTAACCACATATTCTCTTAACAAGTATATCCAAGAGAACTTTTATTAAGTAAATATTCTGCATAACCTAAAGAACCGAAACCTTTGGAACATTGTATGATAGTAAACTATATATAATATACAATTGTAATTACTTTTAATAATGTAGCTTCACCTTCTAAAAACCAACTTATAGCTGCATGTCCTCTTTCATGATAAGCAACTGCTTTTCTTTCTTCTTTAGAGATATTTCTTTATATCTGTCATAACTCTTTCAGCAACCATTGCAGCTTTTTTTCCCAATAACATCAATTTCAATAATAAAAAATTATTTTATTTAGCCTATTCAAATAAATCTCTATATCCATTTTTACCAAGTCTTATGATCATTTTTACAATCTCTGAAATAAATTCATTAAATTTTTTATTTAATCATGCTATATCTATAAATTTAACTTTCACATTTTGTTCTATATAAATAGTTTATGTTTAGATTTAAACATACCCAGCAAATAGTCTGAAAAATTTTCTAAAATTGTAAGAAATAAATAACAAACAAAGTGTTCTCTTATAAATTTATTAATTTTCAGGTTAATTCTATTTTTATTTCTTTTGTATTTATATGTGAACTATAATCTTTATTGTTTTGGAATCGTATTAATCTTATTCCTGGTTGCTCTTCTTCTAATCTTTTTAAAACCTACCTCTACTCTATTCTTCTTAAACTACTTGTCTTTCAAATCCTTTTAGAAGCTTTTTATATCTAAAGAAAAATTATGGAGTTATTTTGTAAAATTAGATCAAAAATTTTTGTTTGTATTGTATAATTGTATCTTTATAAAACACAAATTTTTGATCTAATTTTAAATTTTATTACATACATTTAAATTGATGAATATATTTATAAAATAAAATAAGAGTTCATAAAGTATTAATAAATTCTAAGCAGTCAACTAAAATATAGGTATTTTAAATAAATTCCATTTAGGTTATTTTCAAAGGAAAAAGTGGGAAGGCCAATATAGATTTATAATAAAAATATTTAAAAACAATGCGAATAAAATTAATCATTTTTATTATACAATTAAGTGAACTTAATAATTAACAATAACACATAAAAGTGAGAAGAAATTGGATTTTAAATTGGAATCTTCTTAAAATAATATCTGATAGAATAAGTAAAAAACAAAATTTGATATTTAATTTAGCTTATCTGCTATTATCAAAATATAATAGCCAAAATATTGTAATATTAATATACAAAATATTGTTATTGATAGTTCTTCTCACTAGAATGATTATGAAATTAACAGCTAATTTTAGAATGATTAATAAAGGAATTATTTGTAGTGAGTTTTCAGTCTTATTATTGAAATAGAAATAATCATTATCACTTAAGATAATTCTATAAGATTAATTCTAAATATGTATTATATAAAAATAATATACTAATGATAGAAGAAAATGATTAAAAAAGAAATTCTAATATATAATACTTACTGATTGGTCATATCAATATAAATAGAATTCGAAAATAAAAAAATATTATCAAAAATATTTAAATTGTAATTATATTCACATCATCCTTTCTAGATAAAAAATATACTAATCTATTTATAAAATATATGAAAAATACTTATTTATACTTTTAATAATACAATAATTAAAAATATTGATGATTTTTTAGATTTCATCTTGAAAAATTAGGGAATGTGGATATGTATAAATAAATAAAATACTTATTAATTATTTAATCTATTAATTAGACAACTTATTGATATTTCCCAGAAATAATCAGAATTCATTCATAATTATTTGACAATCTAAATAATAAATTATATTAAATATTATAAATTACTACAATTATGGGTTGTTGTGCCAGTGCTGCCAGCCAAATTTCTTTGCCTACAAATCATAAGCCTAATCAATAGAAAAATTCTAGAGAGTAAACATAAACAAATGAAGGTAAAGAGAAATAATAACTGTAAATGCAAAAAAATCAAGATGATTAAGATTAAGAAATCTTTATTGAAAATTAATAGTAATTTTAAACAGATTAGAAAGATTCTGGAAGTATTCCTTTAAAGTAAACTTCACCTAAAGGAAGCTAAATGTAGAAATTATATAATTATCATCTTAGACCATAAAATCCATATGAGTATTAAGAAGAATAAATAGAGGAATAAATGATAAAATCTAAGAAGTAAAATGGAAATGAAAAAAAAGATTTTAATGAACCAATTACAAGTATTATTATTTTTAATTATTTAGAAGTAAGTTTAGAGGCTAAAAGAATTAGAAAGTTTGTATAAAAATAGAGATAACTTAAATCATTATAATAATAATAAAATGATAGTGAATAAATGTTTATTATTGAAGAAGTGGAAAGATAAATTAACAATAAACAATTAACATTAGATTCATTAGATGTAAGTAAATTTTTAATACATTTAAGGAAATTTGCCAAAAATATAATAAACCTTTGATAGAAGTCTTATCTTTAATTAATTAATAAAATTATTACATAATTGAATTAATACTAATTTACATTAATGATTATGAAATAATTCAACATATCTTACTCAATCATATATTACCAGAAGGATAAATATTATAAGCAACAGCTCTTAGATTGATAAATAAAATGAAACCATTTTATAATACCAAGGAATAATTATAATAAACAATATTATTCATTTAATCAATCTTTGATTCTACAGAAGTAATACGTATATTAAATCAATTGGAATTTAACAATATTGATTCATATATAGATATGAAGGATTAAGATTAATTGAAATTATTTGGATTGATTAGCAAGCTTTTTTAAAAAAGTGAAATTTAAAATAAAAAATTTATAGAATAATATAAAGTAGCTAAAAAGAATTTTAAATTTTAAAATTTGATTGTTCCTAAATCTATACCATTAGGATATAATAATATTAGAATTATTGATAAGGCTGTTTTGGAACATTTAGAATTTAATATCTTTCATTAAATTGCACTCTAAAATAAATGGGATTTATTTATGTAATATTCTAATGATTATTATTTAATGCCAAACATATCATAAGTAACTCCAATGATGATGTTATTTTAAAATGCACCTTTTGATGTCATTAATAAATATATTACATTATATTCAGATACTTTAGAAAAGTCATTACATTTTTTTACACGTAAAGGAAAAAACTTAATACATTGTTTTTGTTTAAATAAATCTACAAAATCTATTGATGATATTTAATCCATTATTGATAAACTAAATTAATATTAAGATTTATTAAAAGATTTATTAATTTAACCTTACAATGAATAAATTCCATTAGTTACTTATTTGGATTTTTGGAAAGAACCTTAAGACATTTTGATTACATTTTTAAGTTAACATTTATAAAAAGAATTTGATTTTTATTAAATTTATTTGGATATGCTACAATCTGCATTTATGAGAAATTAAAAAAATTGGTAAAATTAAAGAATTAATCCTAATACAAAATATTTTTATTCTATGTAAAATTAAAAAACACCAAAAAGATTAAGAATTAAAAATTATGAAGAATAAGATTATTAATTATATGATAAGATTTATTATTAATATATTTAAGTTGCAAAACAAATAATAAAACATAAATTCAAAATAAATTTAAGTTGGATTAATAATTTTGATGTACATTCAACTCATTATCCATATGAATTTAGTGGAATTGTTAGACCACTCCTTATTCAATTGGTTTAATTAGAATAATATGATTTAGTTAAGAAATAAGTTTAATTAATTAAACCATTTTATTAAAAATAATAAATAGAAAATAATAATGAAATCAATATATAAGCATAATACATATCAAAATTAATTTAATTACTTAAATTTACATCAAATCGATCTCAATTAACTCCTCTTATTGAAGATATCAAAGAAATAATAATCTCAAATCCTTAATTGTTAAAGATACCTTTACATGGATATTTTGAGGCAAAATCTAAATTGAATAATTCTATATTTGGATATAATGATACTAGGTCCAAATAATAATTATATTATTTTGATTGTATTTATACCCAACTTATAGATTTAAATGACAAATCATTTGATTAATGTTATAAAATTAAAGGTTTATAATTTAAATAAAATGAATAAGTATGTTTATAAATAATACGTAAACTCTATCTAAATAATAAACTATTATAAGTAGATGATGAATTTATAAATGAAATTTATAGAAATATCACTTTTGTTGCTAATTTTGAGTAAGAGAATATTGATTCTAATGATGATTAAAAGAATGATTCTAATAATAATGAAAAGAATGGAAGAATCCAATGGAAAAAATCTACTGAACCTTCAAAACAAGTTATAAATGGTAAAAACTATTATAAAATAAATCATACAGCAGGTTAAACAAGAGTGATTTTAGTATTGAAGACATTTAATATTAATGATGGTCCAACTTATAATTTTAAGGAATTCATTTAATTCTTGAAAATTAAAGTTTTTAATTATAATATAAAGAATGAAAGTATGTTTGATGTAATATGTAATCTAAATTAAGAAGAGAATGTATAAACATTAATTGAACTATATTTTAATGATAACTTTCGTAATTTCCCATAAGGTTTGCATCTATTAGATGATTATTTTGATGTTAGTGTTAATTCTGAAATTTGGTGTACTTCACTTTTCATTTATGCACAAAATGTTAAATTTGACTTTAATTTTATTCTAGATGATGAAAGGACTATTAGTTATACTATATTTAAAATGAATGAAAATTAACTTGAAAATATATATAATTGGGGATTAGGTGGAATGTTTTTAAATTTAATAATTTCTCCAAAAGAATATCCTATTCCAAAGAATTATAAAGAAAAAGCTGCTTTGTATACTATTTAGAATCATAAACCTTTTTTGGCCACATTGATAACAATTAAAGAGTGTTATGATGATTTAACATAAATATATCCTGAAATAAAAATAACTAAGGATATAGTTTATAAATTATCATTAAAGGACATTGTATAGAATAATTCATTTTAGAGTTTAAATTATATTTTAAAGTATACAGAAACTACTAGAATAGTTTTAGCATCTATTTTGGCTTAAAACTTTTTTCCTTTAAATTATAATTTTAAGAAAAACATGGAAGAAGTTGAAAAATTTAATAATACTTTAGTATAATTGTTTGATAATTTAAAATATGATGAAGATTATTCAAAAAGAAAATTAAATTTATTAGAAAGTTGTCATCTTTATTCTGTGATAAATCTTAAATCATATCAAATACTTAAGCCAAGTTAATAATATATAAAATTTAATCATTTTGTAAAAATTGTGCTTTCTTGTAGTTATAAGGAAGTGAAAATGGCATTATTAAATGATATGCCAGATGATATATTAAAATATCTTAAGACTTCATTAAATAAAATATGTTGTAAGGATTAAGAAATGATTATTCCAATGATTAAAAGAATTTAGCTATTAAATTAAAATGATGGAACATTGATTTATATCAAAACAATATTATCATTGCTTTTCAATTAAAATCCATCTAAAGCTATTGATATATTATTAGAAATTCTTGATAAAAAAGAATTGAGATATAGAATACAATTTATTTAACATTTATATACAAAAGCATTTTGGAATAAAGATTAAGAAACATTAAATAGATTATTGGGATATTTGGACAAAGATCCAGAAAAAAATACATATAAAATGAGTTTTCTATTAAGAAATTTATTTAGTATTGATACTGAATATAATAATTATATTTTAGCTTTAAAATATCATCCATGTTTAGTATTGAATACACAATAATATCAAAAATATTTAAAATAAAATAATTTTGGAAAATTGAAATTAGGATTAGATTATCAGTTATGTTTAAGAGAAGGTTTGCATGAAAAGATTGAAATATTAAATTAATTAATTGGTCCATTTGATTAAATTAAAGATAATTAGACTTTTTGTGAATTCATTGCTACAGTTTTAATAGAAGCTAAAGTTTAACCATATAATGAATCTTTAAAAGATAATTAGGTAGATTTTTTAACTGCATAATTACGAAGTTTAAATGAAATGGATAGATTTTAATTTTTGAGTTATGTTTAACCATATACTTTAGAGAGAAAATAATTAAAATAAAAGAATTCATTATAATAAATAATAAATAAGGCATAAGAATAATTTGAATAATCAAAGAAAATAATTAATCATCCAATTAAAAAACTTGAATAAATAAATAAATTAGAAGCATAATTAATTTATAAATAAAATTAAGCATATTCAAAATAAAATTAAAATTATTCTTGTTTATTTTAATCAAGTTAGAATTCATAATCATAAAATTATGAGAAATGTTTTGAACTTGTTTAAAAATGGGCTAATTAAAAAGTTATGATTTCAAAATCTCCATTTTATGAATTAATGTATGCTCTTAGATATCCAAATAAATAATAAGTTTAATAAAAAGAATAATTAGTTGAAATGTTGATTAAACATTTTTTATTAAAAAAAACTGGACCTAATTTTTTAAAGTATAAATCAAAAGAATATATTGAATTATTGAAAGCTAATTGTTCAACATCAATTAATAAATATATGAAATATAGTATTAAATAAATAAGACCTTAAATGCAAGAAATCTTTGTATCTGAATTAATATGTGAAGATTAGAAATATGATCCTAGCAATGATGATTTGGATTATATCATAATGACTATGAAATATTAGAATATTAAATTAGTACCAATATTGAAAAAGAAATATAAAGGATTATTAGAAATAAAATTTAATAAAGCAACTTTATTTTATGCTAAAAATGAAGTAAATCTATTACCACTTTCTTAATATGATGTTTCATGTAAAAAATTTGAAAAAAGAATGTAATTCTATTGTAGATTTATAAGTGGAGTTGGAGCAAATTTAAAAAAATTAACACCTGATTAAGTATTTTTAGTTTTTGGTCAACATAATCATATCTTATAGAAACCATAATTTAGTTATGAAAATTTAATACTAGCTCTTATAAGTGGAAATATGGAAACTATTTTATTTATAATTTAACTTCATTAACAACCAAATAAACTTGTTTATGAATAGAATTTATTTTAATTAATTATTTTAGGAAATTTTAGTGATAATCTTGTTATAAAATTCTTTAATAAATATATTAAAGATTATGTAAAATAAACAAATAGAATATTCTAATTTGATAATTAACCTATTTTATATTATTTAATGCTTATGAAAAGATAAAAATTATTTGAAGATATTTATTTATAATTTATGATTTAAATTCATGGAGAATAAAAAGCTTTATAAATTTTAAAAGATGAATTATTAATTGTTATAGGTGGCAATAATAATTAAGATATATTAGGTTTAGCATTAATGAGAAAAAACTATTTTATATTAAATTATTGTACAAATATCATAAATAAGGAACATTTAAAATTCATCTAACATTTTGATATTAATTATTTCAAATCAATCAAACCTTAAAATAATAATACTCCTTATTCTAAATTTATTGAATTATACTAAAAATATCTTCCTTTATGTTGTATTGAATTGAAATTTAAATAATTTGATAAAATGAGAGTTTAATTATCAAATGGAGTATTTAGTATTAAAAATAATAAATAAATCAATGTAAGAGAATAATAAATAAATTAACTTATATAATATGAATAAGCTTGTATCAATTATATATTTAATTTGAAAGAAATTTATTAATTTCACAACAAATCTTTATCTATTTAGATGGCTTTAGATAAATGGACTATGATAGCTTAATATTAATTTGATCCCATTCTTCTACAATAAATCTTATAACAATATAAATAATCTGATGGATCTTATAATATCAAAGTAGAAGAATATTAAATGATTCTTGAATAATGTTAAAAACATAGAATATATTAACATCCAATTTTTGATGAACTTGCTGTTATAAATCCTAAATTATTCATTTAAATTACAAATCCAATGATTCTTAATATTTCATCAGTTATTGTTGTAAATCAAACTTTGTATTAAACTCCTGAATTGATTAATTATATAGAATTCCACTATAATCAATATATGGAATAAATTAAATAACAATAAAAAAAGAGAAATTATCTTCAAAATAAAAAGAAAAAGTAATAGAAACTCCTTGAAAAATAAGCGAAAAGCTAAAATGAACAGTAAATTGTATAAGTAGAAGAAGAATAGGAAAATCTATAAGGTGAAGAAGATTAAGAGGGAAATCTATAAGGTGAAGAAGAGAAAAATATATAATAATAAGAAGATATTCAATAATAATCAGAAGATATTCAATAAGAAGATTAAAACATATCATAAGATAAAAAAACATAAGATTTGAATTAAGAAAATTTGTAAAATGACTCTGAAATGTGTGATGAGGAATAAGAAAGGGAAGAAGATGATTAAAGAGATATACTTAGTAAAAATAATGAGATGCAAAAGAATATTCTTTATGCCTTTTATTTATTACTGTGTATCTAATAGGATCAATATTAAGGATGGCTTTCAAAGTAATAATAATTAAAGGTTATTGTGGAAATGTATTAAATTTTATTAAAAAATAAATTGAAAGTCAAATAGCAAAAACCATTTATTACTGAAAATAGTAAGATATTCATATTGTCATAATTAAATAAGGATTATAAATTTAAAGACTTTTCTTATTTTGAATAAATTTTAGAAAAGGAGGATTCCAGAGAATTAGCAATTTTAAGAGGAATAATGTATATTTAATAAATTAATGAAATCATAAAAGGGTTTATTGACAGATTGAAAGAAGAGATTACAACAATGAATAATTTTAAGAAAAATGTATTTCTTGTATTTGGAAAAGAGTAGATATCTTATGAAGAAGATGGTTTTACTATTCCTCTATAATATGGTGATAAATCATTTTACTTATCTGAAGAGAGTATTGCATAAGCTATTCCATAATTAAAGATAGCAAATTATTAAATGAATATAGATGTAGAATTGGTACTATATCAAGAAATTTAAGAGAATTGGAAGAATTTTGATTTTAGTTCAATTACAACAGTTGATTTTAATGAAATCATTATAAATTCAAAGGAGAATGTTTTAGAGAAATGTTTATTTTTTAAGAATCTAATGGAATAATAATTTGATAAGGTAGGAATTTATTAAATAGATGATGTATTTGCTCCTCATTAACATGAATAAATTAGATAAACTGATATGCAATTATTTTAAACATAGGGACAACCTCCTTCTTTAATACATTAGAGTCAGAGTCAAATGGGTTTATCATAAGGTAATTAGATGCAAAGATAATCAACAATAAATCAATAATAAATAATGAAGGAAGATTTTCAATTTATGTTTGAGCTATTACCTGATAATACTTATTAAGTTAGATAATAAAAGAAATAAAAGAATTAGAAAGAATTAATATTTGCTGAATTTTATCATTTCATTCAACCATAAGTAGTAATTAATTTAATAAAATTAACAGAAGAAGAATTCATTGCTAATTATAATGGTAATGCTGTAATTTCAATGATAATATAAGATTTTTATAAATATAATGAATATTTAAGTAGTTTAATAGAATAAAAATAATAATAAGAATGGAGATTAGAATTTCCATTTTATATAAAAAATCAACATTTTATATTTTAAGATTAATTGTTTTCAACATATAATATTTAGATGATATTTACAAAATTGGTAGGATTTATAGAAAAAGTATAATAATTATTGGGTAGAAGTGAAGATTAAAGTAAATTGGTATGGAGAATAAATACAATATCATTTTTAGAAGTAATAATAAGTAAATTAGTTGAATTGTAATAAGCTACAAATAAAATAATTAATATATATTCAATAATTGAATAAGTATTTAGTTGGGATACATTAATCATGATTTTACATTAATTACTCTATAATAATTTGATAAAAGCATAGCAAGTATTAAAAGTTATTAGAGGGGTTTATGTTGAATTTAATGAATAATAAGGGATTTAATTTGTATAGAGTGATTAAAAGAAAGGATTAGATAAAATTTTCTAATTTGGAAATACTACTTATCTTCTTTACAATCATATATTAATTATTAGATTGAATATAGGGATATGCAATTAAAAAGAATAAATAATTAAATAAGATTAATAAATAACTTAAATTTAAAAAAGTAGTAGAAGTGTATTTAAACCAGATCCAATGATATAAGAATATTTCCACAGTATCATAAATGAATATGATTTTTATAATTAAATATTCAATCCAGAATAATTAGTGTAATACTTATTCAATAAATTGGATATTGATAGACATTTATTAAAATATTCAAATCAATTAAGTAAAATTCTTAATAAAACTATAACTTTATCAGTTGATCATTAATCATTAGCTTCAATCTTTTCAAGTGAAATCTATAAAATTAGTCAAAATAAGAATAGTAAAAGTAGATTAAAAGAAATGGAATAAATTTGGTATATTTTATTAAAATTAAATAAATATTTTAAAGAAGATTTGTATAATTATTTATAAAGATAATTGAAAGCTGAAAGATTTGATGAAATGTTTAATATTAGATTATCATGTTTATTATCTGCATTAAGATAAAATCAATCATTAATGAATATTATTGTATCTAATACTAGATAATTATAATTAAAATAGAAATCTAAAATATTATAAAGATTATGTTATGTTACTCAAAAAAGTAATATAAAATTATCATATCATTTTGGATTTTAGATTTCTAAAAATTATTATGTAAATAATAGTAAATTAGGAGATGTTTGTATGATAGTTTATTGTGAAAATCAAAAAAATAATTTAGTAGCATGTTAATTAGTTTACAATTCTAAACCTGGACATTTTTTATTTTCTTAATTAGATTATATGAATGAAGAACTATTAACACATGATCGAATAACAAGAAATCAAGCTCAATATACTGGATATACATATTCTCATAATGAACTCAGATATGTACAAATTGAAGACTTAATGTCAATAGTATTATTCCAACCAATTTGGCCATCAGATCCTGTTTTCAACTAATCAATATTAAATGTATTTTTCACTGATTAAGATGGTAATATTTCAATATGTAATGAACAAAAATTCTTGACTCTTATGAGTCAAATTTAATGTGAATAAGATGAATTCAGTAAATAAGAGATGCTTGATAATCTGTTTGGAAATGGTCTTGTTTCTTCTTATAGTGATTTAAGTCTAACTTAATTGACACCTATTTTTCCAGATTAAATTAATTTTGATTTTGCTGCTATTCATTAGTTGAAAAAACAATAATCTTTAGTTTAAGGATAAAATGTTTTTGTTAGAATTAATGGAGATAAATTTAAACTTGATTAAATTGAGATTGCATCTGTTAGTATGGCATGTCATTTTGAAACTAATATTATAGCTCAATAAGCATAGAAAAACTTCATTAAATTCCTTAAAGAACATACTGAATTATCAAACATTTACTTACATTTTGATGACTAATTGAATTAAAATCCAGAATATTATTTAGATTGTTTTCTTGTTGGTGGAACTATATTCGAAGCCTTTTAATATGGTTATTAAACATTTAAGGATGGATACACATATCCAAAAATGAATAATTCATTATAGTTTCTATTTGAAATTTAATCAATTTTAACAATCAAAATCAATTTCATTAAGACATTTATTGAAAAAGTTGAATTTATATTTGAAAAAAGCTATGAAAATTAAAAATAATTAATTCAATATGAGAATAGAACATTAAAATGTTATACTCTTATAGATGAAAATGATAATATTTAAGTACCAGACTCAGGTTAAATTGCATAATTTTTATTTAATTTAATTTTGAAATTTTAATTGAATAAGATGAATTCATATTTCACAGATGAAAATTTAAATATAGTTGAAGTTGGAGAAATATAAATAGAAAATATTAAAACAGTTGTTGATATAATTTTATTGGCAAAATATCTATTTAAATTATTGAAATTAGATGATGAGAATATTAAATTAAATATTTCTATATTATCATAGAAAGAAATTAAAACTTAATTTAAAAATACAATCTATTAATTTATTGATGATGGATCTCATTTAATAATTAATTATGAAACATTCAGTGATTTTAATATCTGTGATTTCTTCTTAGATTATCTTAACAATAAATAATTTTATATTAGTAATAGGTATAATGATAAAATCAAATATGATGGACCAGAAATTATATTAGAAAGATTAGAATTAAATCCTATAAAATTATTAAGTGGTATTGAAGATAATCAAAATATTGAATTATTAATCTATAATTTAAATAAAGGGAAATTATTAAATTTAGATGTAATAGATCCTAATTAATTTGATTAACTCTACTTAATATTTAAAATAGATGGAATTTATTAGAAATTTTAAGCAGTTAAATGTTGTACTTATAAACTATTAAGTGGTTATTTCAAATAAACTTCATATGAATAAAATATTAGCAATTCTTTGTTTTTATTAATATTAGATTTAGAATCTAATAAACCATTAGAACCTTAATTAGCCAAAATAGATGTTTAATAAACTAAAGAAAGAACCAATCTTATGAATTTAATTAAGAAGGAAAAAAAGAAAGAACAATTATAAGTTTCTTATAAATTTATAACTAATAAATCATTATTGGTCGAATTTTTTAGTGATAAAATATTAACGATGAAATTAAGTGTTTCTTAATCACTTAGAATATCTATGATCTAAAAAGATATAGTAAATTAATTAACATTCGAGTACACTACATAAAACACTTAAGATTTGAGTAAAACTACTCATGGAAAAGTATTAATCTATGGAGTTGAGAAAGTGATTGAAGTTGAATAAGAGGAGTAAGTACCTTTTGGTATTGGAGATGCCAAAATGATGAAAATTTTATTAAAGAAATCAAATTAAAAAATGGATGAAATACTGTTCCATAAATAATGTGAACCAATAATACATTCTAAAGATTTACAACTTAGCAATACAATTAATATGCTAAGTAAATAAGAACTTCAAGCAGCATCTAGAGCTGGAGAAGAAAGAATAGATTATCTAGAGTTTAAAGATAATTTAGGAAATCGAATCAATAATTTTTCATATTCTTCTTTAGTTTTTGTGCATTCCTTATTTAATTAGATTCAATATGTTCCTTAATAAGAACATAAAGATTATGGATTAAATTTAATTTGGACTCCAATTTTCAAAGGAGTCTATAAACTGTATATTGATGATGTTAGAATTAAAGGTAGATTTATTATATTGGCTAATACACCTAGTCTATAAGAAAGTGAAATAGAAATTCCTTAAGAATTACAAACAATACCATTTTATGAAGATATTCCATTTACATTTTAATTAAGGGATTCATACTCAAATATATATGGTGATATTGAATATGATATTTATTTGGATTGTAAATGTGAAATAGTTTGTCCTAAAGGTGTTACCTTGTAAGTTAATTTCTAAAACTTAACTAAAAGTGGATCCATTAATGCAAAAGCTCATTTCGTTCCTGATAATGTAGAGGCAAATGAACTATTAACTGAAATATTGATTTTAATAAATAAGGAAATTAAAAAAGGTATGATTATATAATTTTATTTTTAAAAGTAAAACCAATTAAGATTTCAGGAGTATGTTTAGAAAAAAGAAGAAAGAAATTTGAAGCTGAATTAGAAAAAAGTTTCAAAAGAACTGAATATTCATTAGTAATTAGAAGATTGAATTTCTTAAAAGATTTATTAGATTTAGCAGATAAAAAAATGAATTATAATTTTAGTATTAAGTTTTAAGATGAACCTGGTATTGATGCTGGAGGACTTAAAAGAGAATTTTATGATATGATAGGTAACACTCTAAAAGATGATACATATAAATTCTTCTAGCCTGTTCAAGGTAATCTTGGAAAATATTTTCTACATAGTAGTTTTAACAAAATAAAAAATAAAAAAGAATATGCTTTATTATTTGGAAAGGTATAATTCATTTATAAATTTATAGTTAATTGCTAATTCAATTGCCAATGGCTATTTAATTGGTATTGATATAATAAGTCCATTTTGGAAGGTTGTCTATGATGAAAAGATAGTTTTTGAAGATCTTATTTTAATATGGGATAAATAGACATACTCCAATTATGCTAATCTAAGAGACATGAATCCTGAAACTATTGAATCTCTCTATTTAGATTTCACTTATTAATTAGGCAATTCTACTATTGAATTAATTCCTAATGGATCTGCTATGCCAGTTACATAACATAATGTGGATTAGTATTTAGACAAAACCGCTGAATACATTATTTACAAATAATTCCAAGAAATATATAAATCATTTATTGAAGGCTTTACAACTGTTGTTGATTTAAAGGTATTTTACATTCTAATTGGTTTAAGATTTTCTAAAAGTGGTTGAAACCTTCTGAGATATCATTGTTAACTTAAGGATTATTAGAAATTAAGCCAGATGTAGTGTTATAAAAAATATCATATTCTGGAGGTAAGGCAAGTCACAAATCTTACTTTGAAACTTATGTTAATCAAGCAGATTCATAAACATTAAAGAACATGTTAAAATTCATTACTGGTATTATTTTTATCAATCTTATTTTAGGTTCCTCTGCTATTCCATTTGATTAAAGTTCTTATATAATATCAGTTGAATTCAAGAATAATTTGGATATAAGAAAATTGCCTCTAGCTCATACATGCTTTAAATCTATTGAAGTTCCATTATATGCAAATTATGGATAAATGAAATAAAAATTAGATATTGCTTTTACTATTGGTTTAGAAGGATATGGATTTGGTTGATATAAATTTAAATTGAATGAGTTTTAAAAAATAAATTATAACGTATTAAGTTTTAATCTTATAATTCATGTAAATAGATCATCGTCGAAAGGTGTTGATCTTTTTTATAATGGAGGCTAAGTATTTTACATTGGTTGATCAAACATGTCTTCTAATTCTTTTGGCATCTGTTTTTTTGTTTCTTGATATGATGATGTTAAAGGTGTTAATGATTGTGATGTTCTATAGATTGGGTATTAAAATTATGCCTAATTATTATAATAGGATTAGAATTAATTATTTTAAAATGCATTTTATTAGATTGGATTTTATTAATTTTAAAAATTCATTGAAGTATTATAGGATTAACTTAAAAGAGGCATAATAAATGATTAAGAATGGCTCTTATTGAGTTATTATTATTAAAGTGAAAAATTAATGTTATTTTGTTAATGTTAATTAGATTCAAAAAAATCTAATAGATTACTTTATGATTATATTTATTAATTTTATGGTTTGATAATTTAAGAGTAGACTATTTATTATTATTATTATTATTATTATTATTATTATTATTATTATTATTATTATTATTATTGATTACTTAAATTGTATTAATTAAATTATTAATTTTGATTTGATTAATTTATTGTTTAAGACATATTCATATTATTAAATTGTTATTCTATAATAATTTGAGGTTTTATATCTGAATGATATTATTTTTTCTATTAAGACTAAAAGGGTTGTTAATTAAAATCATTATTAAAAGTATTTTTTGATTAAGCTGACCATGAATTCTAACCAAATTCAAAGAAAGGATTTGGTTTTTCAATTTACTTTTGATTATTTTATTATGATATAATTGTATTTTTAGGTTCTTTTTATGGAGTATCAAATGTGAAACCAAAGTTACCAAGATAATTGTCTGTACCATTAGTTGAAGTAGTTCCAAAATTAGCAAAGTCTTTATTAAATCCTTATTTCCACAATATTTCTTATTATTTACTTTCTGTTTTGTTTTAATTATAATTAGTTTGATGATTAGGAACAGTTACTTTAAATTTCTACAATGGCTATTAAAAATTTGTTTTTTGTGGTTCAAGATCTTTTAAAGGACTTAAATCATACTCATCATGATCATCATTGTTTATAGTACAATTTTTTGGATTCTCTGTTTAATTTATATTACGAGTATTGAAATATTCAGCAAAAGGAATATTGTTCAAATAAAGTTGATATGATTCATATCTAGGTGCTATGGTGACAAGACAATTTTAAATTTTATATAGGTATCTGAAATCACAAAAAAGACTGAAAATAAATGATATGGAAAGAGTATTACCTAGATTCTTAATGAATCGGTCTTCCGTTGTGTCTAACTTCTTTTTTGCCGGAAAGAGAAGAAATTAAAAGTACAATTTCTTGATCTACACTATCAATTGAGAATTTCCAAATATACTTCTTTTTCGAACTAAAGTTGAGATTATTATAAAACTTACCTTCTAACATTACGACCAACTTCTTATTCTGAAGAATTAATAGCTTTGATCAACATATGTATAAATGAAATTAAAATATAGAGAAGTCTAATATATGACACCAAAAGAATTATATAAAAAATAAGATAAAATATATGAAGTAAAAAAGAAGGATCAACAATATACTTCCATTTAATTTATAATATAATGTATATATAAAGAATAAAAACCATTCGATTTTTTTTAATTTGACTAAAAAAACAAGTCTAAAGGACTAGGATGATATAATCATAGTATTTAGTAAACTTGAATTATGAATAATATCACTAATCTTCAAATTAATTCTCTTTTTCATTTTAGTACAGGGTCTAATTAACAAACAAATCAGTATAATAGTTCAGGTTAATAGGAAATTATGGAAGGAAACCAAAGTTGTATAGAAGACTTCTGTCTGATGCAATAGGTTGTGGATAGACAATTTCTTCAGGGTAGGTTGTTTGGAATAATGGAAAGTCTAATTGATGTTGAGAAATGATGGGTTATTAATAAAATGGATAGAAATGTTAGATTGGTTATGTAGTTTGGCTATCTTTCTTTTTTCTTCCTGCACCTTTTTATCTTTTCTTGACTTAATGAATGAATGGATTGAATTTTTAATGATGTGATCTAATTTGATAAATTGAATTTATGATACCTACATTATGAAGGACTGCGACTTCCAATGATTTCACTCATTTATTTGAAGATTTTATTGCTTTTCTTTTAATCTTGTGATTCCATAATTTCTTTGTGTAATTGTAGAAAGTCTAAGTATGTTTAGTGTTCTTATTGGCTCCAATGTCCAGTGTTTTAAGAAGGATTCACAATTTATCTTTTTTTATTTTTCCTACGAATAGGAACAATAGAAACAGGTTGAATAGGTTAGATAACTGCTTCTTCTTCTTCTTCTTCCTTTAATTATTAACTCAAACTCATGAAAATATTTTGTATTTATTATTTATGTAATAAATAATATCTTTTCACCATGTTTTTTCTGGGGCATATTTTGGAATTGTGCTTCCCTCATGTTATATAGTTTATGATGCTGAATAATTACCAGCCTTAGCACATTTAACAAGATCTGGACCATTCAACAATTCAGCAATAAATCTAATTAATATATAAAATTAATTAATTACCCTCCACAAAAAGAATCACCTGCACTATTTGTATCAACAATCTTAGAAACATCAACCAATTAAACTTCAACTGTTATAACTTCATTTTTTTTAGCTATTAATGTTGGCTTCTTGCCTTATGTGCATACAACCACTCTTTCTCTTTGTCCAAGTTTTTCATATGCAGCTATTTATTACATAACCTATTATAGATCTCCTTCCAATTTCAAATTCTTAGCAAATTATTCAACCTCTTCTTCATTACCAAATAAATAATCAACATATGGAAGAACAGCCAAAATATCATTAAATTTATCACTAACTGCATTTACACTTGAAAGAGTCAAACAAGTGTTAACTCCACTTTCTGAAGCAATTTTATAAATATTTTTTGTAAGTTCAGCTCTTGGATATAAGAAATAAACTTCACTAAATAATACAGTAGCAGTTTTAATATCTTCAATATGTTTATTAACATAATCCTCAGATAAATGAGCTGCAGCACCAATCAATGGAACCAAACATCTAAATATAAAATATATAATTACCTATCCTTATTACATAATAATACTCCACATTTACCTGTAGGTTAATCTTATTCATCAAATAATGTTGTCACTCCATCTTAATTTGTCACCTCAATTAACATATTTGCAAATTTATCTTTCTTTCCAACACAACCAATAAATTTGACTTGATCTTAACCTGCTTAAGCCATCCATCTAGCCAATCTTATAGTATTAAGTGCAGATCCTTTGAATAATTTTTATCTATACCTCCTGGAACATGAGAGTGAGTTGGAATATTAATCAATTCCTCATAGAGTGGTAAATGTTTCTCTTCTGCAAAATAAGTATTATTGAGTGTCAAACCATACTTCTCAAGGAATTCAGCTGGAACTTCAGCCTAAATATCTAACAATGGACTGCCTAAACCTATGATCTTCTTTGCTTCCATTAATTATTTTATTTTATGTATTCACATTAAATTTACTAAATACATAAACATATGAAGAATCTTTACAATAAAAATGTTTTTAAATACATTATATAAAGTTAATATTAATCAATCATTTATAATCTATTTATATCACTTATAATGATACAATTCTTTTATTCGATTTCTAAGTATTTTATAAACATGCTATTTCTCACTTTCATCTTTCTCTTTACTTACAATATATCATGAAAATTTAGTTATATACAAATTTATAGTAACTATTAAAAATTCAATTGAAAATATCCCAATTTTATACAAATTACAAGCTTTATAATCTACCTAAGTATATCGAATTTATTTCATTATCACCCAACTCTTAATACCATATCATCAGTTATATTTATCTACTCAATTAACATTGTTTTATCTCATTCATCTAAATATAAGTGCATCGATTTCATTAATCATCCATTTCGTATTCAATTAAATAGTATTCCCTTATTGGATTTTATAGAGTACTCTTGTATATTAATTCGAATAATTACTTATTCTTCCTCATTAAAACAATTGCAGATATAGATGACATATCATAAAGATAATTATTACATCTCATATTAATATCACATTTCAATTCAAGATACAAACTTCAACTTGTGTATTCATAACCCTTCTTTATTTGTGTTTTATTAAATAATGAATCCTATTTTCTGATTATTTATATGAACAATATAGAAATTGATACTAAAAAATTATATATTTAAGATTATGAGAAATGCATTTTTTTATTTTATTAAAGTTTAATGTAAAACAGCTACCTTACCTAATTAGATTGTAATCTATTATTCTAATTAACTCTATAGAAATCTAAGAGTAAGCTATTCAAATGGCATATTAATAACCATAGGAAGGTTAATGGACTAAAGAACATGATAAAAATGATTGCATCATTTATTCTAAATTAAATTAAGTTGGCCTGAAGATGACAAGAACTGAACTAAAATTAAATGTAGATCCAAAGAAAGCAATGGATGTTATTTTTGATATGACTAGGAGATCTGAATTTGATGAGAATTTCTTGGAAGTAAATAAATTGATCATTTTAGGGCAAAATTGTAGAAAAAATAGATGAAAATAATGTTATTTATTATGGAGCTGGTAAATCTCCTATTGTCTTAGTCGATCCAAGAGACATGGTAGCTCTTACTAGAAGAACTATACTGAAAGATGGAACTCATATAGTTGTTTGTAAAATTAATATATAAATTCTAGCTAAATCTGTCTAATTAGATTCTGTTCCTAATAAGAAGAATTATACTCGTTGTGAAATTATTATTTCAGCATTTTTGATTAAAGAAATAACTCCAGGAACATGTTAGGTTATTATCATTGCTAATGTTGACCCAAAAGGTAGCATTCCAAAGATGTTAATCAATTCTGGAGTATCTATGTAAGCAGATGCTGTTAAAAAATTGATGGAAAAAATGAGATAATAAACTTTGAAAGTTTGAATTTTATATTTACATTCATCAATATAAAGATATTTTTATATTTCACTTTGTTGATTATTATATAAAAAAATAATACTTTTAAAAGGATTATTATCTTTATATAAAATTTTAATTATTAACAATTAAAAATGTAATAATTAAACTAAAAATTTAAATAATATTTTATAGAATCAGAATTACAATGTTCACATCAAATTTCTTTTATTGTATCTAACTATCTTAAGTGTGAAATGAGAGAAGAGGAACTATCTTAAGTGTGAAATGAGAGAAGAGGCTTAAATGTTTTCTATTTATTTTATTATAGGTTTTAAGGGGAATAGATTACATGATGTAATTTTTACTTATTAAATCATCATCATTTGAATTGGTTGAAATCCTTCAAGAAATTAAGAATCGTACTAAATTGAGATGTACTTAAAGAAAGGATGTGTTAAAAAAACATGATAAGTGTATAATAGCTATGTTCTATGTTTTTTGTTTTTTTTAAACAAATTGTTAATTTCTAATTATATATTTTTAATAGAAATTGCTAATTATATATTTTTAATAGAAATTGTTAATTATATATTTTTAATAGAAATTGCTTTCATTTTAATGCAAGTCTTGATTCTTTGTTTCATATATAATTTTAATAATGAATCAATAGGAAGCCATAGAAGTTTACATGGCAAAACAAGGTAAAGCAGTTTAATCATATTTGATTACCTTGGTTGACGGAACAGGTTCAATGAGCAATGAATATGAATCAGCAATCAAAGCACATTAGGATGTTTTTTCAGATTTAGGCAATAAAAAGATGGATTATCAATGGGAAGAGGATTTATATTCTTTCCTTCCTTTTAGAAGTGCAGGAAGTGGAAATATTTCAAATACATTTAATGTTATCTTTCAAAAATTATTGAATGAAGCCTACCCTAAAAATATTACTTTTTTATTTGTAAGTGATGGAAGAGAGCATTTTGAAATGAATGAAATATCAGCAAAAATTGAAGAAATTAAAACAAAATATTTAATTTAATTCATGTGTGTTGCTGTAGGTGATTCTTTTCCTGGTTAGATTAGCAATCAATTAAGAGACAAAATTCACAATTAAAATGAAAGCTGTCCTGCTGTCTTTAAAGTAGAAAGAAAACGTTAATCTTCTGATGTCTTGTATTAGGAATTTAGTAAAATTTTTAGAGAAGTTAAGGGTTTATTAAATGTTCAAGAGAAACATTTTGAAGTAAATTAGCCTGTTTATTAAACATTGGTATAACAATAACCAACAAAAAATGTAGCACCAAATGAACCTTTTTTTAGAAGGGTTGATGAAAAAGCAGAGCCATTAGTAATAGAAGATGAAGTTGTTAAACCAACAGATAAACCAAGTGATATATCAAAATTAATTACTAATTCTGTGGAAAAGGAACTCATNTTTATTTTATTATAGGTTTTAAGGGGAATAGATTACATGATGTAATTTTTACTTATTAAATCATCATCATTTGAATTGGTTGAAATCCTTCAAGAAATTAAGAATCGTACTAAATTGAGATGTACTTAAAGAAAGGATGTGTTAAAAAAACATGATAAGTGTATAATAGCTATGTTCTATGTTTTTTGTTTTTTTTAAACAAATTGTTAATTTCTAATTATATATTTTTAATAGAAATTGCTAATTATATATTTTTAATAGAAATTGTTAATTATATATTTTTAATAGAAATTGCTTTCATTTTAATGCAAGTCTTGATTCTTTGTTTCATATATAATTTTAATAATGAATCAATAGGAAGCCATAGAAGTTTACATGGCAAAACAAGGTAAAGCAGTTTAATCATATTTGATTACCTTGGTTGACGGAACAGGTTCAATGAGCAATGAATATGAATCAGCAATCAAAGCACATTAGGATGTTTTTTCAGATTTAGGCAATAAAAAGATGGATTATCAATGGGAAGAGGATTTATATTCTTTCCTTCCTTTTAGAAGTGCAGGAAGTGGAAATATTTCAAATACATTTAATGTTATCTTTCAAAAATTATTGAATGAAGCCTACCCTAAAAATATTACTTTTTTATTTGTAAGTGATGGAAGAGAGCATTTTGAAATGAATGAAATATCAGCAAAAATTGAAGAAATTAAAACAAAATATTTAATTTAATTCATGTGTGTTGCTGTAGGTGATTCTTTTCCTGGTTAGATTAGCAATCAATTAAGAGACAAAATTCACAATTAAAATGAAAGCTGTCCTGCTGTCTTTAAAGTAGAAAGAAAACGTTAATCTTCTGATGTCTTGTATTAGGAATTTAGTAAAATTTTTAGAGAAGTTAAGGGTTTATTAAATGTTCAAGAGAAACATTTTGAAGTAAATTAGCCTGTTTATTAAACATTGGTATAACAATAACCAACAAAAAATGTAGCACCAAATGAACCTTTTTTTAGAAGGGTTGATGAAAAAGCAGAGCCATTAGTAATAGAAGATGAAGTTGTTAAACCAACAGATAAACCAAGTGATATATCAAAATTAATTACTAATTCTGTGGAAAAGGAACTCATCCTCACAGCAAGTGATCCCATGCATAATTATAAAGAAGGATTCAGCAAAATATTTGATTTAGGTTAAAAGATATTAGATTAAGCTAAATTTGATAATGACTAAAACGAGGACATAAAAAAGATAGCTTCATCATAAATCTTATTAGCAGCTAATATAGCAGATGGTAATCTAGATTTAAAGAAAAATGAGAAGGAAATGACAGATCTTCAAAAAGATATTAGAAACTTTGATAAGGTAATTGAGTTTGTTGAAAAAAATGCTTAGGAAATTGATTAAAAAGATATAACAGGTGAAAAAGCCAAAAAGAGAATGTAAGGTTAATTAAATAATGCTAAACTTGGATGTTTTGTAAGATCAAAAACAACAAAGAAAGAATTAGATTTAATAGAATCTATTTGGACAATTACAGTAGAAGGTTTGAATAATTATAAAAAAGTTATTGAAAATGATCCATAATCTAATTTAAATAAATTATTAGTTGAGTTTAAAGATTTATTAGATAAATAATTATAGAAAATATTTGAATAGCAATAAGTTAATGAATTACTAGATAAACATATTTAAATATTAAAAGAATTAAATGATACCCTTAAAGATATACATTAATTAATTCAAAAGAAAGATAAAGTTAAAGCAAATGAAGTACTATAATTTATTAAATTACGTGCAAAACCAATATCTGAAAATAATATTAATTAAACAGGTGCCATTTTTGATTAAACTGATGAATTTTCTTTTTTACCAAAGTCTATTTAAACAATATTGAGAGATGATGAAGATGAACTAGAAAAAATTGTTATTATAATATTTGATGATAATGATAGTATGATTGGTGAAAGTTAATGTGCTAAATCCAATTATTTAAAAATATTTTCTAGATTGCCTTAAACTTAGAGAATAGCAATCTGTTGGAAAAATGGTTAATTCTCATTTTTGGAAAATAATGGATAATAATTTGATACTCTCTTTAAACTATTAGAAACTCAATAAGCTGCTTATGATCTTAAAAATAAATGCATTCATTTATGTCTTGTAAGTGATGGTAAAACAGAGTATAATTAATTACATAAAGCAATTAAAGAGGTTAAATAGAAATAGTATCTAATTAAATTAATTTATATTACAGTTGGAAGTTATCTAAAAAATTATTTGGAAGATGTTATTTTATCAAAATTCAGAAATAGAGAAGTTAAAGGCAAACCATTAATTAAAGTTATACCAAGATCAATAACAAATAAATTTGAAACACAAGAATAATCTTTAAAAAAATCAACAACTGTACCAAAACTTGATGAACAATTTATAAAAGTTTATGATGATATCTTAGACCTCATTTTGAAAGAAAAGAATCCAGCAATAAAATAAAATTAGTTTTGATAATCCCCTCACATTTTTATACATAAACATATAATTTATTTCATTATATTATAAAAATTATATATAAATATGCTAAACGAAGATCCAAAGATTTAACAACTCTATTCTAGTTTATAATTTTGTATAAAATCACTTGATCAGATATTATAAGAGAAAAAGAAGACTCCATTATAGTCAAGCACTGCTGAAAAAATAATTATTAAACAAGAAAGTGTTGAAATGTTTAATCATATAATATTCTAAGTTCTGAGGAGTTCTAAAACCTTACTAAAGAATTAGAAACTATCAAATTCTAATATGAATCAATGATGGTTAAAATAATGAAACTAAGAAAAAATTTAGCAAGTTTACAAATTAAGTATTCTCAACTTGATGAAGAATTTTAAGCTTAAACAGAACTTCTTAGATAATATAAAATTACTAAAATAAACCCAAAGTATATAGAACTTCCAAGATAAGAAATAAATCTTTATAAATCTGTTAAAACTTATATAAACTTGAATTAGTCAAAGTTTTCGTTATTTTTAAAATCTCTATTACATGAAAACAAAGATGAAAAGTTTATAAATTTAGATCAATTATTAAACTCAATTCAAGATTATTATAAAAACTAATAAATTTATATGAAACCGAAATTTAGTTTAAATAGCGTTGAGAGAGTTCGTTTACCAAGTTTAGAAATTAGATATTTAACAAACAGAAAATTGAAGGATCATAATTAAAATAGTATGAGCTTTGATTAGGATTCTAAGTCTCTATCATTTGCTAGCTGAAATTCTATTATATATAAATATATATAAATTCAATAATAAATATACAAAGTTAATTCATTATTAATAAATATTATTTCATTCTAATATATCTTTTTATTTTACTTATTATTATTCTAATGAGATCTTGTTAAATTTTAATTTATATCTTTTATCTAATTTATTTTAACTTTTATTCTTTTGTTCTTGGTTATATTTAATTTATTTATGAATTTCTATATTTACAACTGTTTCATTAAATTGTTCTTCTTTGATAATTTCAATCTTATTTTAAGAAGAATGTTTTACTATTAATCCTTTATCAGGTTTTTGGAGATAGTTGATATTTATGAATTTTTATCATCCAATCTTAAATATCTATTTGCTTCAAGTAAAATACCTAATTAATTTTTCAATCTCTTTCTAATTTAATCACTAGGTTTCTCTTTTTTTCAACTACATTTTTATTATAATTTTTCTCTTATTCTAATTTTTGAATAAATTTATTAGGATCTATCTATTAGATCTATTTGATATCATACAGCATTATGTTTTTTTGTAACATTTTATTATTATCCTTATACATTGATTTTCATTTTATCAATTTTAGATGCAGCCTACAAATTTCTCAATATGATTAATCGACATAGAATCATTTTGTTATGTAGAATTTTCTCTTGATAATTTTAAATTAGATGATTGTTATCTCATAAATTATAAATAGTTTAATGAGACAAAATGTTTATGAAATTAAACTCACAATTTTTTATCATTTTTATAATCATTTCAATATCAATTAGTAATTTTTGCCAATTTAATCAATTCTATGTACACTAAGGTTTCTTTATCTAAAGGAATTTATAAATTAATTTCCAATTCTTTTTCTATTCCTTTAATAAAATATTGAATTATTTATTCTTCATGATCAGAAATCTAAAAAATAATATAATTAATTACTTTAGCACTTGTCTATTAATGAAGTTTATATTGTCTTTTAGAAATTGAAACTAATTACAATAGGATATCTGATATTTAATCAAATAATGTGTTATTCATTTTTACTTACTATTCTAAACGCTTAATTTAAGTAATAAATTTATGAAATGAAGGTATGTAAAATAGCTGTTCATTTTTTTAAATTTCATTAAAATTTGATTTTATGTGTTCTTCATAAAAAGCATTAATACGAGGTATTCTACTTTAATCTCTGAATAATATTGGCATAGTTCCTATATAATCTTTTAATAGTAATTGAATGCCATATTTGTATACAATAAATAATCCTTCTAAATCATAATTTTTTTATAATTTCTCTGCTAATTCTATCCAATATCTCAATGCATCTTAACGATCGTGTTTATTTGGGCTTCTTACTACTGAATATATGATAAATTAAGATATTGTATTGATTCTTCTAAAATACTATATTTAGATATTTAATTTATACGTTATTTAATCCACCTTTAACAATCACATTTTTTATTTATAATCCTGCATAAAAGGATTAACTCATAAAACTTAATACAAAAGCTACTTCATCAGTTGTCCATGGCAATACTGAATTGGGTTTAACACGAATAGAAGTAATTTTAGGTTAAAATAACCCTACTGATAAGTAGGATCTCTATGTTTCTGAACATTCCTTGAAAATTTGTTTTTCAGGAAATGGTTACACAATTTGTTCAATCATTGTAATGAGTTGCCATTCTATCCTAAATTCATTAATTCTTAAAGTTATCATTAATACAATGAATTCAGTAATGGAATTAGAATTCTAAACAAATTATGACATGTCTTATTGATTTTCATTTTAAATCCATTTCCAAAGAAGAAAGAAAGTAAATGTGATTAGATTAGTAAAATAATCTAAAGTAAGAACTAATTTTCTTTTCATCTTCTAATCATCACTATTAAAAGCAGTTTCTACTAAGGAATTGAAAAGGGATTCTTTGAAAAAGCTATTCACTCTCAAACATTTCTCATTAAAATTTGCAAGCCATTCTTCTGTAGATTAATTTCCTATAAGGAATACAAATCTAGCCTGTTCTGATAGGATTTCAGGATCTTTTCATATATATTGTATTTACCTAGACGCTTTTAATAATTTTGCAATAATGTTTCATCTGCAAGTGTTCTAGAACTATGAAGACTACTTGAAGAGTACGATGAATCACATTGATATCGTTTTCCATCACTAAATTATTCATGTTCATCCGATATGTTTGAATAAAAACTAGTACCATTACGTTGAGACTGTGAATCAAATGTCTTTGCCTTAATAATCTCGAGATCATTATCCTCTAATAATAATTTCAGAGGCTGTTTTCGCATGTTTAATCTCTTACAAAAAGTATATTAATATAAAATAATTTTTATCAATAACACTATTACTCATAATACTAACAATCTAAGTGTCTTATCTAAAGTTCCTATTACTCAATTAAAAAATATTCAAATCTTAATATCATTATTGTTTATTATTAAAATGTTCTTAATGTATTACATTATTATTCTTAAATAAAGTAGCAATCAATGATTAATTTTATATAATTGATAATCAATTAAACATCTTAAATCATTAATTATAATACTAAATTCATAAATATTAATCTTTGTTTTTTTCAAGGTTTATAAATTTTAATATGTTAATTTAGAATTTTAAAGGATTTATTTATAATATTAAATAAATAATTTCAAGTGAATTATTTATTTAATATAAATATTTCTAATTATATTACCAATTAAAATAAAATATTTATATTCAATATTAATTATTTAATTTTAGGTAACTTTTTTATTCTAATTTAACAAATCATATTTGCATTTCAATTTACATAATGCTTATTAGTTTTACTTTTAATTATAAATTTTTATCATTACTTTCTTGTTTAGATCTTGCCTATGAAATTGAAAATCACAAAATTAAAATCATTATTTTTAGATATAATTAAAATATATGTTAAAAAATAAATAATAGAAAAATTTTAAATAATTTAAATCTTATATTGAATTAGTTTAAAGTAAATAAAGTTTAAATTTAAAGAAGAATCGATTAATGATATTATTTAAATTTGATTTAAATCTAATTAATATCATTAAAGTTAAAATTTTAATTTCTATTTTTAACCTAAAGAGATTAATAGTAATAAAAAGAATATATTTAATATATATTATGATTGTTGAAGTATATTTTTATTATAAATGATATTATTATGTAGTATTTTTAGAATAAACAAATAAATTTAAATGAAAATTATATATCAATATTAAATACAAGAAGATATCAAAGATTTAAATTCAAATGAGTATGAATGTTGGAAATTTGTATTAAAATATATAATAATAATAATCAAATAATTAAAAGGAAAATAAGTTTAAAAGACTATAAATGTGGCAAGTTAAAATTACTGTAGTATTTTTAAAAACTATGTGGAATGTATCATAAAAAGAAAGGATATAACAAGAGAAAGGGAAAAACTTGATTTGAATCTAATAAATTATATAGATTTTTAATAGCTATGATACTATCTTTAAAATAAAATTAACAATATTTGAGTATAAATACAAAAGACATATCAATTTCTAGATTCATCAGATTATTTGTGTAAAGCAAAGTAGCTTCTGGCATATTGTTTGGATCTCCATAATAATCTTGTATTCTTAGAATAAGATTTGGTCTTTTATGGATTAAATTTTTAGTGATGCGATCTTATATTATGGGTTCTTACCTGCATTGACTTGGTGTACGAGTGGCAACAACTTAACTCATTTTCTTGAATAATCTTTAGCCTTTTGTGTGATTGGCATTCTCCTATAAAAATTTGAGATAGGTATTGTGTTCTATCTGATTCCAGTGACCTTATTGTTTGGTGATTTTCTTGGATCCTGTTTGTAATTCACTGGATTACTTTGTAGCTTCAGAATCATTTTAAACCATTAATTAGATTTAGAATAAAAATAATAATAACTTAATTTGTTAAGATCAACTACGTTATAAATATTTGGGATTGCTAATAATATTAAAGAATTCTATAATTCTTAAGTCGATAAAAAATTTGATTCAGAAGAAATTACTAATACTAAAGTAGATTTCCATAATATATTTAGATTTAAATAATTGTATAACAACAAATCAAGCAAATTGGATGTAAAATCTATTAATTTAGATTGTAATTGAAAAATCATTTCTTAATAAGTTTTGTTGATGATCTAGAAAATTCAAATTTGTTTAGGTTCTATATAATTATGATAGGTTTAAGAAATCATTCAAAGTATTTTTGGTAATCAATGTAAATATCTCATTTTGAATGGAATTTTTAGGGAATCCAAAACTAAAAATTATAAAAAGAGGACATTGTATATTGGAAGTATACAAGGTTTTTTTGAGTAGTCCAATCAAGAAGCACTTCAAATAATTGTGAAAATAAATAATAGTTTTGATCTAAAAGGCTGAAGAAAAATATAGTGAAAAATCTTATTATTACACTGAAAACTTGTGCATAAAGTGTTTTCCATTAATGAATTCTAGGAAATAAGTATTAAATGTTATTAAAAGATAAGTACCAACTCATTATTATTATCTAAATGATTATTGGTTAATAGATGTCAGTCCATGAATAGATATGAGTAGATCCGATTATGAAATATGAGTTCTCATTACTCTGTGAAATTGAAAACAATTGTACCATAGATATAGACCCAATAGTAAATTTGCTTAGGAGTTTGAGTGGATGCATTCATTACAAAATCTGTTTTCACCAGTTAATAATTTCTTGATTTGAAATTATGCTGTATTATTCATAATAATTAATGGAGAATAGACATTCAATTCCAATATTTTGACAAAGCTTCATACAATCTGAAAAAGAAATTAAGAATAGGAGATACTAAGATTTGATGGAAGTGGGCGAATTATTGTTTTGGCAGTTAGGAGAAATTTTAATAGTACTTGCTTCCAGAATATTTCAGACATAAGAATTTAGACTGTTTTTTAAGGTATAATACCATAATAGAAGATAGAAAATTGAATATATATGAATTCAAGAAGACAAACAATAATAGTGTGTTGGAATTTAAAGATTAATATTTTAGATGAGATGGGAAGTAAGGATTCTTCATTAAGGAGGATAATTTTTGAATGAAATTAAGAGAAGAAATGATATTTGAAATAGTTTAGCATATTCATGATCAAGAAGATATTAACACATCAATTGATTAGCTGAAATAAATATAATATAGTTTGCAGAGTCTAATTCAAAATGTGGCAACATAAACTTTATGATTATGAACACATTTATGCATCATTAATAAGTATGAGTTTTAATAATTTAAGTAAATGGCAGAATCTAGTACTGCTAATTTTGTAAGGTTTACACATTTAAGAGATTTTATCTAGCTGGTGGTTTAATATTTCCATATTGATGTTGCCTACAAGATTAAGAGTTCTCTCACTATTCAGAATAGAGAAGCTTAAAAAAGCCTAGAACACATTATAGAAGATACGGAAAAATGATTCTAATATATCAATTAATTAAAGTGTTGTAGGGGAGCAGATACAAATGGCCATAACACAACAGATAATTAAGTGGACATACTCGGCTAAATCTCAATCCAGAATTAATCTATCTGTCTATCTTTAAGGTTTCTTACATTCCCTTTCCTTTTAATATATACATATATATTGTCATACCGGGGTATCAAAGGGCGTGTTTGATTCCAAGATATTTAAGTATTATTTAAAACATGACAACCATCGAGGAGTGCCCTGTATTACGCCCAACACCTTAAGAGTTCGAAAACTTCTATGATTACATTGAGAAAATAGATAAATAATATTCGACGAACTACGGGATGGTGAAAGTAAATTATATTTTTAAATTAATTCATAGATCATTCCCCCCAAGAACTTCCGAATTCGCTAGCAAGATTACAATAAATCTCTTGACAATCTTATTATTTAGGGTCCTATTGAGCAGAATGTTTATGGTAAAGGTGGCAACTATGAATGTTTACACATCTTAAAAAAGTCAATGCCCCTCAAAGATTATAGAGCTAAACAAACAGAAATAGATAAACAACATGAAAAACTAAATTCAGACTAACTTGAAAAGCTTTATTGGAAAAGTTTAGCCTTTAGTCCTCCTCTTTATGGAGCCGATATTAAACTAAGTCTTATGGATGTTAACAATTCTTGGAACCTTAACCAGATTACAAGCTTACTTAATTTTGGACTAAAGAACCGTATCCCAGGAGTTAATGAACCATATATTTATGTTGGTTCATGGAAGACATTCTTTGCTTGGCATAAAGAAGATCTAGATCTTTGTAGTGTCAATTATCTTCATGTAGGCAAAGACAAGTAAATATTTAAATATAAATATTATTAGATTCTGGTATTCCATACCTGAAGCTGATAGTCATCTTATTGAAAAATATGCTAGATAGCTATATGGAGATCACTTTAATAAATGTTCAGAATATTTAAGACATAAAACAACAGTTATTAATCCATATTTACTTAAAGAGAAAATTCCTGAAATTAGAATATCAAAAATGGCTCATCATGAAGGTGAATTTATGTTTATTTTTGCTGGAGCCTATCATTAAGGTTTTAATTGTGGATTCAATATTGCTGAAGCTGTCAATTTAGCCACTCTTAATTGGTTACCTTTACTTTTGGAAGCAAAAACATGTTAATGTCTCAAAGATAATGTCAAAATAGATTCAATGAGTTTTGCTGAAAATCTTAAACGTTCCAATAAATTTAAAGAAGATGAAAGAGTCAAAAACTTTTTAGAAAAGACAAAATCCATGTAATAAATACTACGGAAAAATATTAAGAAAATTAAAATATGATTTAATTAAAATAACTATTATATGGGAATATTCATAAATCTACTAATATATATTATAAATTTTAATAATCAATTTTCTTCCTCATATGATTATTCATCCTTCTTATGATTTTAAAAAGCATCAATTTTGATATTCTTATCATAATTTATCTTAGGTAGAAGATCAGAATCCTAACTATCTCCAATAATATCTTATTGTTTAGACTTTAAATAATAATTATTAATATAATACAGCTTTCAAATCTCTAACATACTTCCTTAAAAGAGGTTTATTAGTGAGTTTGATCTATTCTGAATTGAGTTTATCAAACATGCTTTACTCAAGTACATTTCCACTAATTGGTATAGTATAAATGGAATGTTTTGACATGATTTAGACTTCATCAGAAAATTATCCAACTCTTTCTGCATTTATGTGAACAAATACTTCTCTCACTAAACCTAGAGATATCTAAATAAAATATATATATATAATAAAATACTGAGCCCATTTATTTCATGAATACTTTGATGTTAGTATTTAATGGTTACTTTAAAACTATACGTTATGCCATAATATCCTCATTTTTAACAGAGATCTTGAATTCATATTATCCTGCTTGTTTAAGTTCTCCAAATTAAACATTTATAGGATAAATTAACAAATCCTTCTTTAATCTATCATTGATATCACCAGTAACCATAAGATTCTTTTTGTCAATAAGATCATCTAAATTATTTTTCTTATCTAATGTTCTTATTATAGTTTGATGCATGCCTTCATTTCTAAGTTGACTAATAGGAGCAGCTTATTAATAAACTCTAGTAGCCATAGAACTTATTTTAATTCTATTATCTGTACTAGCATCTGTTAGAATATACTTTTAATTCAATTCAGATTTTGGATTAGTTTTAAGAAGACAAGGTACTAATTTAATATCTTTTCTCTCTTTTCCATAGACATCAAAATCCTTCTTTTTTACTTATCTATATCTTATTGATTCATCAAGTTATTTTCTTTATTTAACTTCATCATCAATCTCTGCTTGTGTAAATACAGAGGGTTTAATAATCACTTTTGTAAGATTGTTTGTATCATTATATTATGGGGAAGGTAATTAAGGTTATTCTAATGGAATGATTCCATCTTGTATTGTCTTTTACACTTCTTATTAATTGTGTATTTATTATTATTCTTCTATAGGTTATACTATTCTTTCTCTTGGTTTTTTTATTGGAGGATTTTCAGGAGCTGTTTTTAAATATTCATGTCCTTCTTTTGTATCAAAGTAATTTTATACAAAACCTTAGGCTTCAACAGATGGTTTGATTGATTTTTAGAGTTAAATAGTTTGTACTTTTCTATGTATATCAATAAAGGCTTATTAGACAACTTACTATACTTTAGCAGTTCTAACTAGAGTTTATTCTAGAGGTTCAACAATATTGGATGTTGTATCTGGCAAAGTAATTTTACTTTTGGCTTAATCATAGGATTCATATGAATAATCAGTTCTTCTGCTTTCCAAGATTTTCATTTAAATAATAAATTCAGCATCTCTTTCATCTTCTGATTTTTGTATAACACCAAATTCATTTTATGCTTTTTACATTGCTTTTTACCAAACTTCATATTTTTATAATGATTACTCATGAAGAGCTCTTTATTCTTTATCAAATGGAAGATATTCTAAGAAATTTCGATAAGTAAAGACTTTATGAGGAATTATTGTAGTTTTTTAAACAGTTTTTGGTACAATATCTAATGTTTAAGGTATTTTGACTTCAATGAACTTTTAAGATTAATTCTTTAATTCAGTTAGGAATGAAATAGATTTGACATTATTTGGTAATTCATCAATTAATTTAGTACAGAAAGGATTTTCTGATTTAAGTCTAAAGTAATCTTATAATTGAGTTTGATTAAATAATTCAATACCAGTATTATCATTTTTAACTAAAAATAATCTTGGAGGAACCCATGATTTTGGTGGTGGAAGTACTTTATTTTCTTCATCTACAAACAAACCATCTGGAATATAATCAGGAGTAGAGGGTTCTTAATTTAAAGATACTGATATCTTAGATGTAACAGTTCCATCTTCATCAATTTAAAAATAATTAGATTCTTCATCTTTTGTAAAAATACATTTTCTAGTTAAATCAATTGTATAAACTCCAGCTTTACGTTCATCTGATACAGAAAACAATTATAACCAATAATCTAAATCTTATCCTAATGGTTTCTTCTCTCCTTTATTATTGAGTCTTACTCTCTCTTCAGCAGTTACAATAACAATTTCTCCATCATCAACTACTTTAGCAACACTTCCATCTTAAGTATACATCAAATGAATTCTATTGGTTTTATATTACTTGTATTCTGGTAACTCTTATTTCTCAATATATGAAATTATTTTGCATCCTTAATAATAGGTTTCAACTACTCTACCATCATTACTTCTTTCAAATATATTGTCAAAACCTACATTTGCATAAGCACTACCCATTCCAATAATAGTTCCAGTTCTTTATTTCACCTTGTCTATTGTGACTACAACACTGGCAAAATTAGGATGTTCAACAATTACCTTATCTCCTTTTATAAGCATTATGGTTCCATCATAATGTTATGTATATTGAGATCCATCCTTGTAATAAATAATAAGAGTTTGATCATCTCTTNATGCTTTTTACATTGCTTTTTACCAAACTTCATATTTTTATAATGATTACTCATGAAGAGCTCTTTATTCTTTATCAAATGGAAGATATTCTAAGAAATTTCGATAAGTAAAGACTTTATGAGGAATTATTGTAGTTTTTTAAACAGTTTTTGGTACAATATCTAATGTTTAAGGTATTTTGACTTCAATGAACTTTTAAGATTAATTCTTTAATTCAGTTAGGAATGAAATAGATTTGACATTATTTGGTAATTCATCAATTAATTTAGTACAGAAAGGATTTTCTGATTTAAGTCTAAAGTAATCTTATAATTGAGTTTGATTAAATAATTCAATACCAGTATTATCATTTTTAACTAAAAATAATCTTGGAGGAACCCATGATTTTGGTGGTGGAAGTACTTTATTTTCTTCATCTACAAACAAACCATCTGGAATATAATCAGGAGTAGAGGGTTCTTAATTTAAAGATACTGATATCTTAGATGTAACAGTTCCATCTTCATCAATTTAAAAATAATTAGATTCTTCATCTTTTGTAAAAATACATTTTCTAGTTAAATCAATTGTATAAACTCCAGCTTTACGTTCATCTGATACAGAAAACAATTATAACCAATAATCTAAATCTTATCCTAATGGTTTCTTCTCTCCTTTATTATTGAGTCTTACTCTCTCTTCAGCAGTTACAATAACAATTTCTCCATCATCAACTACTTTAGCAACACTTCCATCTTAAGTATACATCAAATGAATTCTATTGGTTTTATATTACTTGTATTCTGGTAACTCTTATTTCTCAATATATGAAATTATTTTGCATCCTTAATAATAGGTTTCAACTACTCTACCATCATTACTTCTTTCAAATATATTGTCAAAACCTACATTTGCATAAGCACTACCCATTCCAATAATAGTTCCAGTTCTTTATTTCACCTTGTCTATTGTGACTACAACACTGGCAAAATTAGGATGTTCAACAATTACCTTATCTCCTTTTATAAGCATTATGGTTCCATCATAATGTTATGTATATTGAGATCCATCCTTGTAATAAATAATAAGAGTTTGATCATCTCTTATATAAACTTTGGCACCACTTTCAGGATCATTTTTTGTAGCACAAGGAATCTTTTCTATTCCCTTCTATGATTTTCTAAATCCTTTATTATTTGTTGTTATCCACATATCATTTTTGTACATAGAAACATTACCATTTGCATATAATACTATGATTGATCCATCTTTTTTATAAACTATTACTGTTCCTTATCCTGTAATAACTCTTTTAATTTCTAATTCATGATTGATTTCTGCATTATCATATAAATTTAATAATGTTTGAGTTTATTCTTATTATTTTTAATACAAATATTATTAAACTACTTCTCCCTTTTGAGTAAACCTTAAACAAAGACCATTCTTAAATGTCAAATTCATTATCTAATCTTAAGCACTCATTCTCAAATCTCTAAATTATGCATAAAAACCTCCTTATATTCCAAATACAACATTTTCTTTAATAACTCTATATCTTAAACGTTCAACTTCTCCTACTGTAAATTTAGTTGCAATTATTAATGAATTATCAGTTGGATACATTATTTTTGATCTTTCAGTAATAGCACCAATTTATTAATAATCAATATCATAATAGTATTCACTATTAAAATTACGAACTTAAATAAAGTATTCCAAATTTGGTAATACTCTCCATTCAGCTGACCATTTCTTTCTTAATGTTCTTCCAGGAGGATTCTTATAATAACAACAAACCATAAGAGCATCATCATCAGGTAAATATTTTAGAACTACTTGAGGATCATGTAATAATGCTTCATAAAACTATTATCTAAGAGTATTTTTATTATGTCTCTCTAAATATATACGATCTCCCAAATTCCAATCTTATTCAGGTTCATTTTCTTTGAGTAATTCTTCAAAAGATAAAAGTAATTGTCTTCTTTCAAATTCACTTACATCTACATTTATAAATGGATGCAATTTTGCCTTATTAGCTTTTCTTAGTTTTTCTGATTTCTCTGCTATTTCTGGCATGCCTTATCTATCAATACCAGGTAAACATAAATTATCAAATATTTTGTGTTCTCTCTCTACTATAAATTATTAATCATGCAATTAACCAAAATGTCCTCTTACTTCAATATAATCACATTCATCTAATATCAATTATTTAGCACTCTCTATTTATTATTAATCTTTTTTTTGATTAGCTAAAAGTCTATTCACTTGTTCTGCATCTTCTTAATCCTCTAAACAAGGAGGTACTTTAGAACTTTATATATAAGCAGCTTCAGCAGATAACTAATCTAATAAACATTCTAATAAGATACAAGGTCCTACTTTTGACAATTGTACATCAGATAATTATCGCTTATAATATTATAAATGTAATTTGTCTTTCATTTTTTATTGTTATTCCAAAGCTTCTTCAATTTATTATTTTCTCAATTCATTTTATTTATTCTTTTCTATTTCAGCCAATCTCTCAGCTTCTAATTCTGCATCAGTTTTCTTAGCCTCTTTCTTAGCTCCTTTTTTGTTCTTCTCTGCAGCAACTGCTTCTTCTGCTGCCTTCTATTATTCTTCTGCTTAATGAGCTTCATGTTTAATACGTTCAACTTCTAAATCAAATGGATCTTTTGGTGCTTCCTTAGTAATCAAAGGAATTGGTTTTTTATTCACAATCCATTCATTAAATTATTATTGATCTACACTAAATTAACATATTTCTTCAATTAATTATTCATGGAATTATTTAAGTGTTTCTTCTTCAGCTTCTAAATCCATTTCCAATATTAATTCCTTAATTGTAAGTTATCTAAGTGGATCTGACTTTTGAGAACAATTTCTTTATTTTTTGATTTCTTCTATGATTGCTCTTTCTGCAGCTGTATAATGTAGAGATTCTTCTGAATAAGATCTCTTAATTGTAACTGGTTATACAAATTCTTCCATTCGCTTTTCTAATTCTTCTTAGAAATCCTCTCCTTATTCTAATAGATTCATATCAACTCCACCCCAATTAATTACTTTCTCTTTGACATGCATAATAAATTCAATCTATTCTTATGGTACTTGAGGGAATCCTTATACAATAAAAACAATATCAAAATTCTTAGTGTACTCTTTCTCAGGTATAACTTTTTCAGGTTCTGTAATTGGTGCAACTGCCACTGCTTCTTTGCCTCCCTTCTTTGCATCTTTCTTGTCATCTTTCTTTGGTGGAGCAGCTTTCTCTGCTGCTTATGCTTGAGTTGCTTAATACTTAGCTTTCCTTATTTATAAGACTTAATCTTAAATGAACATCTAAAATCCCTTATTCATAACTTCTGATGTTAGTTCTGTAGCTACTTCTGCCATAAATTTAGAATCCTATAATCAATAGCAACACTGTACTTTCTTTTGTTTATCAGTTAAAGTAGCAGGATCAACATACAATTACTTCTCTTTACAAAAATTGATTATTTCTTCTCTGGTTATATTTTTCTGAAATGATTTGCATTCTTTGAGTAAATTTAATAATTTTCCAGCACGAGCCTTTCCAGCTTCAATTCTAATACCAACACAAAGATGCTTGAGTGGTGGTAATGCATTCAAATCAACTTCATCCTTTTTAGGTGGCATTATTATTATTATTTTAATTAATCTTATATAATAATATAAAACTATATCTTCTTTAGAAACATCAATTCACTTTTTGATAATATATATATATCAAAAATATTGTAAATTCAAAATATATTTTATTAGATTATCTTCTTAGTGATCTAAATTAATAGAAATGATAATTAAATTATTTAAATATGATTTATAAGATTGACTTCAGAACATTGACAGCCATTTTATAATGTGATTATATACAAATTAAAACCAGACAATTAATAGAGTCATAAGTAAAAGATGTTAATTAAGGGCGCCATTAATTTAATTAAAGATGTCTGGTTCTCCTGTGTCAGTATCCTCATAAGAAGAATATATGGTTGAGGCTATAACAAATAAACGAATTAAGAATGGAAGAACTGAATATGAAGTAAAATGGTAGGGATATTCTGATAATGAGAAAACTTGGGAACCAATAGAAAATTTACAATCTGTTATGACTTATGTACTTGATTTTGAATAATCATTAAAATTAAAATAACCTTAAGAAGTTGGAGAAGGAAATTATGATGATGGTGATTCTGCAGATGAAATTTTATAAATTAGAAAAGATAACGATGGTTAAAACCTCTTATTTTAAGTGTCTTGGAAATAAAAGAATAATCGTGCACCAAAAGTATCATGGATAAATTAAAACACACTTAAAATGCACAATCCTGAAATATTAATTGATTATCTATTAAAGAAAATCAAATGGCCAAATAATAAATGAGATAATATTATAATTATTATAATGAATAATTCAAATGAATCTATTAGTGCTTTAACTTAATGTTTAAAGAGTGTTCCAATTTAAGAGATTCGAAATAATCCATCTATCATAGCTAATCTCTACAATAAAAAAATGGGAACTAATGTTACTGCTGATGATGTAGTCAAAAAATTAAATTCTGATCTAAAAACTATTGAAAGACGAATAGAAAACAATTGAATATCTCTATTTTTTATTAAATTAACTTTACTTTCATAACCTAAATTCTCGTCTCCTATATCAATATACACATTCATAGTTTTTGTTATATAAAGGATTAATTATTTATATTGATTATACCAATACAACAAGAAACATAACATCATAATCTTGTATTCACAGAATATACTCCTTACAATACTTCACATCATTTCCAGTTATTGAAATGATCTGTAAACGAGAAATTCTACTATCAACCAATTCAGTATAACCACACATTCTTATTCCACATTTTCCCTTCTCTATACGCTTAAGTCTTCTATGGTACACTATAGTTTTTGCTGTTGCATACTTGATACCAAGAATTTTAGCAGCCTATATAAATGTCATATAGTTAAAAATCATTACTTCTTTAATTTTCATTCCTTCTCTCTAAACCATTTAATGTAATAGCTATTTAGTCTACAATGACACCTTCATATACTTCATTTTAGATTTCTTCATTTGGTTTAAATTACTATTTCCAATCATTCTAATTTCATTTCCAGAAGCTTTTGTTGGACTATGAACTTCTGAAATTTCTTGATTATCTATTTTATTTTGAAGAACCATGATGAAAGATTATCTTATAATAATATTATTGATCAACCTTATCAATCATAATCCTATTTAAATTTACAATTAATCGTAAGAGTGATTCATAAAACCATTTTAATAATATATATCCATGATTGAGTAACCCAAACCTGGATAGAGTAACTACTAACTCTAAACAATCCTATATTTCTTTATCTTTCTTAAGTTTCTTTGGATATAAAAATATGGATTCATTTTTAATATATGAACTGAACATCTATTATAATACAATATATTTAGATATTCATTTCAATAAATTCAAATTTATGGTTGTCCTTATGATTTCTATTGATAAAACATGATATTTATAAGATAAAAGAACTTTCTGATGAAATATAATACTGATATGAATTATAGAATTATTGCAATTCGATTAAATATTATTTTGACTTTAGTTAAGTAGGAAAAACTATAAAATTCATATAAAATAACAAAGATTAGACATTTGATATTTATTCATTGAGTTCTTGCTTTTAAAATTACATCATTTAATTATTAAATTAAGAATGAGAATTTTTCGACAAGCATTTGAATAATTAGGAGGTAGTAGATCACGCACTAAATCTGATCCTCGTTAACAAGAAGATATGTGCATTGTACCACCTGAAGAATATTTTAAATAAGATCGTCCTTAACCACTTACTAGACAATTTTTCACAATGCTCTCTACTCTTGAATAAAAGATTGTTAAAGAATGCACTATCGAACGTGTTAATCAAGTAGTGCAAATGTATTAGCAATGCATAGAATTTTATGACAGTCGTAAAGATGACATTAAGTACTACTTTGTTGATAAAATCTAAAATGCACTTTATGAAATGCAATAAATTAGTTGTCTCAAAACTAAACTTGTCACTTAAGTATAATCACCTGTTAATTAAAAAATTAATAATCTATCACCAATTCCAATAGAAGAAGATGAACATTATATACGCAATAAAAAAAAAGAGAAATCTATTAAACTGGCTATTTAAGAATAAGTGATTTAAGTTGTAAAATACTAACCAGAATAAGTATAAGGCATGGTTGATGAATATCATGAGAAATTGGATTAGTAATTAATTAAATAAATGTTAGAAACACCTCTATGATTAAAAAGAGTGTCAATTAACAAGAACATTAATTTAATGAACGTTTGCGAAAGAGAAGTATAAATAAAAAATCACTATCACGATGTAATTCAAGTGGAATATTAGAGTAAAACAAATGACTTTATGTTTATATTTATATTTATATTTAACATATATCAAAACATTTATTCCTTTAAACTAATTTCTTTAAGACTTTATTTATATATAATAATACATCATTTAACAATAATATAATAAAAATTTATATATCTCTAAAATTTAATCTATAGATAATACATTCCTCGAAGATCAAAGAAACAATATCAACTTAACTTTTGTATTAAATTTACAATTAATTTAGTAGTTAAATAGATAATTGATATAAATATGTCTTTTTCCCTATCATTTTTTTAAATTCAAGACTTTATTCTGCTTTAAAAATTTGCTGAAATTTTAAAAAATTGTATAAATATATTAAAATTGGAATTTTTATTAATAAAGGTATTATACTCATACGTATTATCAATTTATATGTAGAATAGTTTAACTAAAATATAGAGTCTATTTCATATATTTTCATATATGTTTGAATGAACTATTCAAATATCAATGATCCTAAATTAGTTTTATATAAGTAATACGATTGGATCATTCCAAATCAAGATTAAATACTTAAATGAAAATAAATGTAAATAATACTAATTCTAAATAATTAGACAAATATGATAGGCTTAAAATTTGTACTATAATTATTTTAATTCATGAACAAAATTATTAATAATACTTATTTAATATTAAAATAAATGAAAGAGAAAATTAAAATAATTATTGATTTTCTTATATTGTTTAGAATATATATATATATATATTATATTTATATATACATGTAAATTTTACTTTCTTTTCCATAAAACAATTTATAAATGAAACCTTTGATTTTTAAATTTATTACAAAAAAATAAAAATATTTATTAACTATTTTAATCAATAATGTAGTCAAAAGAATTTATTTAACAAGCATTAGAAGATCTTTACTATAATCATCAAGGAAAATTAGAAATGGATGAATTATATAATCTTCTGATTTCAAAACATTCTTAAGACTAATAAGATATTACATAAAAAGTACATTCAGTATGCGGAGCACAGATTGATAAAGGTAGTTTGAGTTTTCAATGTTTTGATTGTTCTGGAGATTTTAATCATATGATTTGCATCAAATGTTTCGATATTAAAAAACACATAAGTATTATGTATGATATTTTAGATCATAAGTTTGCACTTAGAGATAGCAGTGGTTGTTGTGATTGTGGAGATATAAATTCTCTTAATTTAGGAATTTGTGATCATCATCAAGGTCATGCTAAGATTAATAAACAAGAAATTATAGCTTAAATATCTGAGGATGTCTAAAATAACACTTAAATTTTTCTAAAATGTCTCAATAACATATTAAATTAATTATACCTTGAGATCAAACCTAAGAGTACTAATATTCCATTTTATGTTAAAATTTATCATTTAGCTGTGAAGAAAAATTTCACAAAATTGATAGATATAATTCAATTATAAGACTATTATGAAAGTTTTAACAAAGCACTATTTTATCACAATATATTAATTTAATATATATCTTGGTTCATTGAAGTAAATCATAAGAATCTCTTTTTAATAACTTCTATATTATAATAAATTGATGAGAACTCCAATTAAATGATATTAGAAAATATTTTTGAAAGATAATTAGTATTAGAATCTTTAGGACCTTTTCAAGGAGAAAAAATAGAAAAAATTTTTTATGCTTTTCATGCTGATGATGAATTTAAACAGTTAACACATGTTATTTTTATGAATAATTATCACAAATTACATTATTTTTTATTTGAAAATTAAAAAGTTTTTAAATTGTTATAAGGCATATATGAAGATTTAGAAAATTATGATGAAGAACAAAATAATATTAATCTCTAAACAATAGAAAATACAGTAGCATAATAAATTTAATAAGAAAAACTTGATAATAATCATAATTTTGTTTAGATTTATATAACCACTTTTAGAGGTTAACATACATAATTTTGTACTTAAAAAATGTTAGAAATATTTTTCTTACCTTAAAATTGTTCTCATTATCTATAAAGCTTAATTAAATGTTAAGATATATATTTTAAAGATATAGATTTTGGATAAGATTTTTCCTTTTTACATTTAAATCTTTTATCATTTAGATTAGATTGCACATGGTTTAAATATGCACTAATTAATTCATTAAAATAAGTATTAGATGATAAATTTGATTCTTTTTAAGAAAATATCATTACTTAAAATGATTATGAAGATTTTCAAAAAAGATAATTTATTTTTACTTAATTGATTCATTCATTTTATAATGTAAAAAAATAATAGTAAAATTATTAAATAGATAAACTTGGTGTTTAATAAAATGACTTAATTAATGCTGCTTTAATAATTAGCTATTAATCACTATAACTTAACATATTTAATAGAATGTTTTAAAGTTTAAGAAGTCTTATGCCTAAAATTATTGGAAAAAGAAATCTATCAAGAATTATTTTGTAATAGTGTTATTAAAAATTAAATTAAGATATTTAAAATTATATGAATTTTGAATAAATCGATAATTTTTATTTAAATTACTTAAATACTGAATTTACTTCATAAAATCAAAAATAAATATGTGATTCATACAATAAATTAAGTCTAAAGCTTTTAAAAAGACCAATTATTGCAAATCTAATTTTTATTGAATTATTAGTACTTGAATATTTTGAAGGCTCTTTTAAAGATAAATAATAATTTCTTAACCATTTGATGTAAGTTCTTAGAATAGAAAATTTGTAGGATTTAAGGCTATTGTTTAATTATTTATTAGTTGATTCTCTTTAAAATCTGATTACTTTTAATTTTGATTAGTAAAAGAGGTTATACTTTAAATATTCAAGCATAAATAAAATTTAAAGTTAGATGGAATCTATTGATCTTGCTTGCATAAAATTATACCTATTTTTATTTGAATAGGATGGATTATAGTTTTTTGATGAAATATTTAAAAAATTCAGAATACCTGATAAAATTATAGAATCTTAAATTTATAAGTAATTATTCATATAAATTTTAGTTTTATACTCTTAAGCATAATGGCATCAGAATTAGAATTTTGGAATGTTTTATAAATGGTTGAAGAAAAAATAGATATATATCCTGATGAACTTAAATCTGCAATTAATTATACTATAATAAATATATTCAATCTATCATCAAGTTTAAGTTATACTGATATAGAGAAATACGTATAATAATTAAAAATAAAAACAGATTAATCACTGTAAAATTTTGTATAACAAGTATGTTAATTAGATTAGATATCTAAAAAATTTACTTTAAAAAAAGATTTATAATTATATTTTGATCCAATCTTATTTTATAAAAATAAAACTATATATGGACAACTTTTAGACAGATTAATTGATCAAAGAAAATCATAAGAATTTATCAATTTTGGAAATTACATTCAATACAGAGCAGATGATATCATAAAGTAAATGAAATAAAATTCAAATTCAATATTTTTTGATATTTTTATCCTACTTACTAATAAACCATTTATTACTTAGTTGATTTAAAAAATTTAATAATAATAAACATTATAAGCTTATCAATTATTGAATTATTTGATAATTATTTTATCTAAATAATAAAATAAGATTGATGAAGAATTATTTGAATTAATTTAATCACTTATTTAACATTAAAGTTAGAATGATTAAAAAGGTGCTGAATATTTAAATTAGATCATTAATAATTTAAAATAATTATTTGAAAAAGAATCAAATACCTTTAAAGAATAAAATATTTAAAAATAGGTTTTTGATAAATCTAAGATGAAGAATAAATATCTAGAGAAATAAATTTAATTTAATAATTAATTAGATGTCAATCTTTAATCAGAATTACTATAACAAAAATTTGATGAAAATGACTATTGTTAATCATGTAAATTACATTTAAACAACAATGATAAATATACTCCAATTTTTATCTAAACATTTGCAAAGTAAAGTCTATATGAAATTATGCCAACAGCACTACATAATGAATTAAATGCTTAAGCTTTTAATCTATTAAATATATCTAGTTGTAAACATTAGTTTCATTTTGAATGTTTAACAAAATCATTTAAAAATTTATATCAACAAAATTTACCTTAATGGATCAGTTCTCATTGTCCTATTTGTTAATAAAGTTGCAATATATTATTACCAATGACTGAACTTGATATTCATTTTGATTAATTTAATTTAGAAGTATAGGCAGTTCTGATTGAATTAAATTTAGATTAATAATTCTTTTAAAAATATAAAGATTAAGAAAATTTGATTTTATTTGAAATATTCTATTAAATACTTAATAATATTTTGATCTAAATTTTTGTTTAAAAAGTTGACTTTTAGAGATCTAGTAAAATATAGATTTTCTAACAATTTTTCAAGATTTTATAGTATACTTATAATAAAATAAATTATAAATAAAATATACTTAATTTTAAAAGAGGATAAATATTTATATTGGATTTACTTTTATTAATTGAAAATTATGTGATGAAATTAATTAGTAAAAATGATTATGAATAAGAAATATCAAATATTTTATTATCATTACCAGTTTAAAATGATGATATAGTTAAAATTTTATTTAGTTGTTTTGATATAGAATTTAATGAGAAACTATTTAAATAAGAAAAAAATACAAAATAATTAAGTTTTATAACAGATTTCTATTAAATTCAAAATGAAATATCTAATTAAATAGCCATACTATTAGGAAATAATTTTGAAATATTTAGACATAGATATATTAAGAATTTATGTAAAAAATGTGGATTCTTTAATTATAATTTTTAAAAAAGTAAAGATATTGCTTTATGTTTATTATGTTTAAAAACATTCTGCTTAGGATCATGTTAGAATAAATAATTTGGAAATTTAACTATTCATATTGAAGAGGAACACAATGGCCATTCAATTTATGTTTGTTTAAGTTCAGGTAAAGTTATAATAACATCTTATCCAATATAATTAGTTAATTTTTTAACATTATTTTATAATAACCTAGGCTAAGAATTAGAATAAATTACATATCATAATCAAGATTGGAATAATTATAAATTAGATATGGAAAAAGTAGATTAAATTTCAAAGATTATTTTATTAAATTAATATTAACATATTGTAAGAAATGCATTAAATGATCAAAATAGATAGAATATTAGAAGGAATTTATGAAATTATGAGTAATAAATGATTTCTATAAAATTAAATAATAATAAATCAGTTTATATTATAAATATATTTTATTAAGAATTAGCATGTATCTTCTTAGTTGTTTTTATAGAAGTTTTTAAATGATTCACTTGTTAAATATTTAAATCATCAATTACTATAGAATTAACCTAAATTTATAATTTTATGAACAAACTAATTATAATTGAAACATGAACTAAAATCACTAAATATTTAATTATGAGAGGTTCATTTCATTTTCATTTTCATGCTATTATTTTTTCTTAAAATTAATTCTACATAATTCTAGATATATATCTAATTTTTATGAAATAATCTAGAATTTATAAACTTATTATTGATTACAAATTTGAATTGATTAATAAATTTAAATTATAATGGCTTCTGCAAATTAATAGTTTTCTTTTTTCCAAGAATATGCTCTCAAGAAAATACAATTTGTTGTGGATAATATTAGATATGAATTTGATAACCATAAAATGTTATGGTCAACAGATGTTATAGAAGAAGATGATAATCCAGATGATGAGGTGAATAAGGAACAACTTAAAAAGAGAGGGTTAAAATAAATAGAATTGAGAGAATAAGTAAGATAGAATGAACATACTATTTCTAAATTGGCATCAGAGATTTAACTGCTTAATGATAATATAAATAAATATTAAGAAAAATTATAACAAAGTCAAGCAGAATAAAATTAATTAATAGATGAATATATTCATGAACATTTAGAAACTGAAAAGATTAAGGCTGCTAGAGAGAGATTAGATAAATTAAAACGTGAATTAGGACTATGAATATATAAATTATTATGAATTATATTATCGATTTTATTAAACAAAATGGGAATCAATTTGAAACTCTAGAGATTAATATGACAAAGATAAAAAGTAGATTAAAATTATAATAAAAAGATTTAGCTATATACTATTATCCAGATAAGAATTTAAATACTAAGGAGAGATTTATAAAAATAAAAAAGCATATTAATTTATAATTAACAATTTAGAAGTAATTCATAAATATGTAGTATAGATCATAAGAACAAAAGAAAATGATTAGTAAATAGAAATAATATGCAGATGTTAAAAAGAGAAGAGAACTATTTCCAGTTAAGAGAGATAGAGATAATCAGAAGAAGTAATAAGATAGATGAAAGTAAATGAAGAAGAAATATATATATATATATTAAATGTTGTGATTAATAGACTTGAGGAATAAAGAAAATTTTAAGAATATTTCAATAAATAGAAATAAGAAAAATTAATTTAATTTGAGTTACAAAATTAAGATCTTTATAGGAGATTAAAAATACAATAAAGGTAGTAGATTAATTATATACACTAGATTTATTCAAATTATTATTTAAGAACTATGTAACTATTCAAGAAATAAAAATTAAGGATAATAAAATAAAATCCATTATCACTTTTCATACTACTGAAGCAGATGTAATTAGATTATTAATATAATTTAGAATAATGCAGTAATTTAATAGAATAATGAATATTTTGAAAGTAAAACATTTTATCAAATAAAAAAAGAGATAGTATATTCAGAAGTAATTATATACAGAGAAGGAGTGAATAAATAGAAATGATTAGTACATATACTATGAATTGAATTTCTGATTTTTTAATAAGAATTTTAAGATAAAGGAAGGATTGGATAATCTTAAAAGAGAACAAGAGATATTAAAATTAATAAATTAGATTTATTAAGAGGAACTAAAGAAATGAGTCTAATTTTGTAATATTATTTATGTGAAATTATATGATCAATAATTTACAGAGTTGTTTTAGATTGTAATTTTGTGAAGTTGGAATTAATATTGATATATATATATAGGTTTTATATTATATAATAATTAAAAAACGAATACAATTATGGATTAGTAAAGGTTTTAGATATCTTATCCTTAATTGTAAAGTATTTTTGATACAGGCAACTTGTAATCTGGTCAATCGACCTAAATATTAGATGAAATAGGGTAAGTTGTCATGTAAATAGAAGGGGTGTTGAATAAATATACAGAAGTTTAGAAAGTGATCCAAAAAGTGGAATATAAGATGTGAGCGATAGAGTAGAGTAATTTGGTAGTAATAAGTTGGATCCACCTGCTTTATCTCCTTTTTATATGTGTATGTACAAATAGAGCAAGGATTTTTGTATTCGAATATTAGCACTTGCAACAGTAATAATGTTTTTGATGGCTTTTTTCTCAGAAGAACCATTTGAATAGATTGTGTAAGCATTTTCAATTCTGATTGCTATTTGTGCAGTAGTGATCATTGGAGCTATGACAGATTATAGAAAGGAAAAATAATTTAGATAATTGTATTTGGAATAGGAAGAACAATAAAAGAAATTGTTTTAAGTTGTTAGAAATGGTATTACTTAATAATTGAATCATCTTGATCTTGTTGTAGGAGATATTATTACAATAAAACCAGGAGATAATGTAACTGTAGATGGATTACTTATAGATGGTACTGAAACTATAGAAGTGGATGAAAGTATGATTACTGGTTTAACTGATTCATTATCTAAATAACCTATATCAAGAGGAAAGAATTGTTTTGTAAGAGGAGGTAGCAATATTTTTGAGGGAACAGCAAAAATGATAGTTTTAGCAGTGGGTAAATTTACATATGCAAACAGAATGAAAAATGATAATTAAATAAAGGAGGAAGGGGAAGAAGAATTGATTCATGATGAAAGATCTCCATTAGCAAAAGCATTAGAAACATTAGCTAAATTTTTAGTATTTATTGGTTGCATGAGTGCATTAGCTATGTTTATTATTTTAGAATTATATATGGTTAGAGAATTATAAGAATTACAAGTTAAAATATTCTCTTAATTTGCTTTAAAAAAGGTTTTATCAGATTTTATTGATGCTTTTCTAATTATAGTACTCTCTATTCCAGAAGGATTACCATTAATTGTAACATTATCATTAGCATTTTCAATTGCTAAATTGAGATAAAAAGATATTGTTATTAGAAATTTACATGTTTGTTAAGTTTTGGGAGGTATTGATACTATATGTTTTGATAAAACTGGAACATTAACTTATAATAATCTCAAAGTTAGTAATGTTCATATTGCAAGTGAAGAAAGATATCATAATTTGCAATCTCATGATCCTATATTTAGAATGTTAGCAGAAGCAGTATTATCTACAAATTCAGCTTTTTTATCAGAAGATATTATTAATTAAATTAAATAGATTGAGTAAGAAGAATATCAATCTGAACATAGTGGAAAATCAAATAAGAAATCTTAAAAATCAAAGAGTTCATCTTCAAAATCTATTAAATCTAATAGTATTTTTGATGGAACTATGAAAAGTGATTGGAGTGGTAATAGATTGGATGTTGCACTAATTGATTATGTGGAAATGAAATTGAAAAGAGAATTTGTTTATGAATATTAATAAGATTTAAAGAATTAAATAAGAAAAACTATTCCAATTAATAATTATGGATTTCATACTGAAATTTTATAGATAAGAGGTGATAAATATAGAATCATTTTGAAAGGTAAATCCAAAGAAATTATTGAAAAATGTAGTTAACTTAATATATCTATTCCAGATAATAGGGATTTTGAATTATATGAACCAGGACGTTTTAAATTGTAAGATTGTTGTAATCAAGTAATGACTTAAGAATTTTTAGATTTAGAAAAGAAAGCTGTTTTAAATTATAATTCTTAATCACTTAAAACAATATCATTTGCATATAGAGATGTTTAAATAAATAATTTAATTGAATAAGATTGGAATTAATTAATATCTTAAAATAATTTTACTTTTATTGGAACTTTAGCAATGAGAGATGATATTAGATAAGAAGCAAAGAGATTAGATAGTGCATTGAAAATGGGTAGTATGAATGTTATGATATTGACTGGTGATACTAGAGTAAATGCAGTTAATGTAGCCAAATAATTAGGTTGGGTAAGTAGTGATTAAGCAGATCATGAAATATAAAGAATTAGTGAACATTTACCTAAATCTTCTTAAATGGAACATTAACCAATTATAATAGAACCACCATTTATTCCTATTGATGAATAATAAGCAATCAAAATTACATCAGCAATTATGGAATGTCCATAAGATGAAATTGCTCCACTTTTGAATAATAAATTTGATCATTAATAAATTTCATCTTCAGCAGCATTAAAAACAATATTGATTTTGAATTTCTAAGAATATGTAATTAGAATTAGAAAGATATTAAATGATTCTAAAATATATTATACACATTAAGAAGTTAATGAAAGAAATATAGTATCTAAAATTCCAGAAATATTAGATGATGCCATAGCTTGCAAAGTATTTTATTTATATTTAAATCTTAGTCTGTATCTAATATGAATAAAGTATTATAAATATTAGCAGATCTAAATTAACATTAAAAACATTAATTTTTGGAAGTTTATTCTAATATTAATGAATCAACTATTGGATATGTTGGAGATGGTAATAATGATGCTATTGCTTTATAAACTGCAGCTGTTGGAATCACATTAGGAAAAACTGCAACTAATATTGCTAGAGAATGTAGTGGAGTAATCTTGATGGATGATAAATTAGATGGAATAGAATTATGTATGAAATATGGCAGAAACATTTTCTTAAATATCAAAAGATTCATCTATTTCTAATTGAGTTTCTTTTTGAATTCTATTGCTATTATGCTTACTGCCTCTATTGTTTTGAAATAATAACCATACACTGTATTAGAAGTCATATGGTTGAGTTTGTAATATTATTATATCATTTTTAGAGTATAAGATATTTTTTCAGCTGTTGCCCTAAGTACTGAAATTCCTTAAGATGATATATTAAATAGAACAAAACCTGCAAAAAGGGGAGAAAATATTATTGACAAGTTTTTATTATAAATGACTTGTACATAAGCAGTATTTTAATATTTGGCCACCTTAATTGTTCTATTTTTAACTCCTATGATGTTTGGCATTGAGTAATATTTTTTCAATTATATCATAGGCCATCTTATAAACATGATTTGCATGCTTTAGGAGCAGAATTTGTTTCTGAATGGGCTGTTCATTATACTCTAGTCTATCATTTAACTGCCAATTTCTAGATTGTCAATTTAATATGCAGTCGTAGAATTGGTTAGCATGAATACAATGTCTTTGAAGGTATCCAAAAGAATAAACCATTTACTGTGATGATTATTGGCTTGATAATAATTCAATAGGTTATCATTTATGCTGGAGGCAAGTACTTTAAAACTGCTCCTTTAACAATATTTGAAAATCTATTTTGTTTAATTTTATCTTTTGGAGCCATGATCGTCTTTTGGTTGTCTAAATATATCTATTCAACTGCAAAATGAGATATCAATATAGATATATATGTAAATAAGAAAATTATTTTATTTTATAATCAATACACAACATATTACTTAATCTCCATATTATTCAATTATTCTTATTTCATTATCTCTGAGGATAATTGTTCTTCCCTTCTTATAAAAATTAGACTGGCAAATAAGATTAATGAAACTAAAAATTAAGACACAATCACCCAGGCTTGGAGATCGTAATTATTAATAGCCGACATCAAAATAATTGATAGTACAAATAATGTTATTGCTGATACTGCAACTGAAATAATGGATACGTAATTGAAAGTGATTGTATTCCCTGGTAAATTGGATTATTTTAATAAACACATTGTTAATGCTATTACAATTAGAACTATATCAATTATTGTAATAGGATAAGCAGCTAAAATTGTATTACATACATATTAATCATAACAGTCTGAACCACTAATTTTTATTTTAAACAATAATTTGTCATTTAACTTGCATTTCTTATTCCCATCATATTTTAATTTGCATTCTAGCTATTCTCCATTCTACTCCAATTTTGAAAATTGATAATTTGAAAATAACAAAATAATTAACCATACACCAGCAGCTGCCAAAAAAACTATCTACATTGTCGTATTAGTTTTTGGATTTATCCTATTAATGTATGTGTTCATAAAAATTTTATTTAATCAAACAATATTTTGATGTAATTAGTTAAATATAATTCAGCATATTAGGCTTGTTCTTATTAACTATTTATATCTAATTAATCTCAAATTGATAACAAAGCTTTAGATAGTTCTATAGATAGATCATCATATTAAAAAGAGTATATAGTATTTATTAAAACCTGAAAATGTTCAAGAAAGTATATAATGATTTGTATTCAAATTAATATGGAATATTTTATAGAAATAATGATTGATGAACTACATATATTTGAAATATTGTGGTTTGCATAAAGAGAATAGAAAAAGAGAAAAATTAAATTAAATTGAAAAGTTGAGGGAGATAAAATAAAACATAAGAATATCAGTCAAAATTAAACTAAGTTGAAGTAGAAAAAATGGAAGGATTGTTAAATATTTAAATAAAATAATCAGTAATGGTAAGTTTTTAATTGTAAATTGATTTCAAATTAAAAAGAACTTTCTATAACTAAAGTAACCTTTGATTCTATCATAGGATAAGGAGATTGATTATTGATATAGAGAGAAAATAAATTATTCTCCTTCTTTTAATGATTTATTATATATCCTTTTATTTCAATATATTTTTATATATAGAATAGTTTCATTAATTAAATAAATATATTATTTAAATAATCAGAAGATATCATTATGAACAGAAATTATTATTTTAATCTAATTATAATTAATTTTTATCTTTATTTATGTAATATCCATGTACAGTTTTAGTAGAGAGTATTTGTAAATTAAATGTTATAGTAACTGAATTAGTAATTGTAGCAATTTGATCATTAGAATAAGTATTTTTACATTTAAAAACCAGAGATAATTATTAAATTTAAAATTGTATTAATTATGAAAAATAAAAAATAAAAAAGAACCGCCCTCCAAGGGGGTCGAACCCTTGACATTTGGCTTAAAAGGCCAACGCTCTGACCAACTGAGCTAGGAGGGCTAGCTTAACACATTTTTGATACTTTCATTTATGAACTCTCCATAATAACAATTTATAAATTCTAAATTTGTGAAATAATAAAAATATGAATTCTCGTATATATATGTATTTTTTAATATCATCTTTATCTAAATTATGATTAACTTATATTTGTAAAATCAATTTATTAGTAAATAATTAAGTTAGTATAAATTATAGAAATAATCAGTCATTAATAAAAATTATTAATCTTATTATTTTTTTATATTTATAATTATTAATCATTATATGAAATTAAAAATAAAAAGTTTGGAATTAAAGAACTATTACTGAATGATCTGTCGCACAAGTGGTAGTGCAACCAACACATGTTGGAGGGTTGGAGGTTCGAATCCTTCTGGGTCAGAAATTTTTATTATATTTGTATAAAATTAATTCAATTCCATATTTTGAATTATAATATGAATTAATAAATTTTTTTGATATAATCTAATCTTTCTAAATATTGTATTAATTCAAAACAATTTAGAGTTATAAATGATTATAAATAATTGATCAAATAAAATTGAATTAGAATTCATTTAAAAATTTTACGATATTCTATTATCAATAATCATTCCATAGATTATCTTATAGATTTATTCATTATCTATAAGTATCCATTATTGGATTGTATAATATATTTATAGAGAATTATAAATCAACGAATTGATTTATAATAAGTAATATGTTTTGCAAAAGTGATTTCAAATCTAAAAAAGTTTTTGTAACATTCTTTAAATTAAATAATTGATCATCATAGATAGAAAAACTCATTTAATATACTTCCATTTTATAATTTACATTAGAGAATAAATTTATATTATCAAATATATACAATTTTTTAATTATAATTATTATATATCTACTTTACCTAATCACTCTATCCAATTATAATTATCTATCAAATTTAACAACATTTATGCAGCCTATCTAAATTATCAATAATCAAATATTTACATTTGTATTATTACATTTTAACAATTAATTCTTTGCTTCATTTATTTATTTATCATTTGGTTTATCAAAACATTAGTTCTGAGATAATTGTTATTTAAAATCAATCTACATTTACAAATAATAATTATGTTCATTATTTAATTATTCTTACATTTTCCATAATAAATTTTTTTATGAAAATCTTTGATACAAATCAATGCTTGTCTATTTTATTCATCAAAATTACTTATATCAAATATACTGATTTTTTAACAATATTTTCATTCAAATAATTGATCAATATGTTAATACAGTCATTGTTCTCATTAATAATTTATTCTGTATAACATTCAGTCATTATGAAGTGTTAATAAGCTAATTGTTTTCTTAATTATTATAATTCTTCTATCTATTATAGTTTCTGTTCATCTACTTTTTTGTCTTATTTTTATTAAATACTAGGTCTTTAAATCCAAGTAGGTAATTTTTAAATACTTTCTTCACTAATATCTTCAGAAGATATTGATTTATATAACTCAGAATTATTAGAGAGTTCAAAAATCTGATTCCATGAAGCTCTGTTTTCTTCTTCAATTACAAGAGTCTATCAAAAATAGAATAATATTTACTATGGTAAGAAATTGTTTTGAAAATGTACTAAGGTCATTTTTAAATTGTAATGGTTAAGTTTTTATATTGTGTAAAAGGTCCTCTTCATCTCTCCCTTTCCATGGTACATCAAAGTGTAACATTTCATAAAAAATTACTCCAAGTGACCAAATATCACATTTGGTACTATAATGATGTCTTTCTAAAACTTATGGTGCCATATAGAGTGGACTTCCTACACAAGATTTAAGTAATTATGAGGAATAATTCTCAACATATTTAGCAAATCCGAAATCAGCAATTTTAACAGTACCCTTATCATTGAGAACATTGGCTGGTTTCATATCTCGATGAATAACACCACTCTTAATTAATTCTTTGAAACCTTCTAATATTTATAGCATAATGTCAATAGCCTATGACATAATAGGATTTACATACTTGTTACTCACTAATATTCTTGCTAGCAATTAATGATTTAAGATCTCCATTATGACAAATTTCAGTCACTATAAATAAGGATTTCTTAGTAGCCAAGAGCTCAACAAATTTTACTATGTTTTTATGATTGAGTTTACTCATTATTTCTATCTCCTGAACTTTGTTGATATTGAATAGATGATTTACCTATTTGTTTACGTAAATACTTATCCTTTTCAAATAGAATCAAGTCTAACTTCTTTATAGCAACAGTTTCATTATTGAGAGTATTTAATCCTTCATAGACTTTGCCATATGCTCCTTATCCGAGACAATTTATTTCATCGTATGTATAATGACCAATTTACTTCATTATTAAAATTATGTTGTTTGAGAAACTCAAGATCTACAACACTCCAGCCAAACTGTTGGAGAAGTTACGTGAAGTTCGCAAGTAATAAGAACAGGAAGAACAATAAGGATCCTAAAATAAGGAGCCAGAAACATAGAAGATCGGTACTACGACATAGCCCTTATCTAGTGCGGCAATCAAGTTTACGGAGTACATGGACAAGCCTAAATCAAAAGTCTCCCATTGTTAAATCACAACTTGATATTGTGAAAATGCGAATGCCATCTACCAAAATGAATTCATGTACTCGTATTACAGAGATACCTATACGATAGAGGATGTAGATGCATACTGCTCGCATCAATGACAACGAAGAACTAAAGGAAATGCAATAGAACCTAAGAATGGAAACTATGTATGATCTTTATCAAGGAGATCAGAAACTTATTGATCAACTAAACGAAGAAGCTTAAGTTTTATCATAAAGGCTTACAATTAAGGAAGAAGCTAGTCCAGTTCGACCATTTAATCGTAAACATCATTAACCAAACCAAACTTAAAGGCCATAAAGAAGAGGTGCTACACTGATAGCCCCTACTAAATTAGAAGATCTCAAGAAATAATAGCCTTATCTCTATGAGGATCGTCAAGATCAACCTTATGATGATTTATCAGATCGAGGAAAGTTTCTAAAAAATTATAGATTAGGAAAGTAAGTTACTTTTATCCTACATGAATAGTAAAAACCTACAGAAGATTAATCAAAAGGACTTTAGGAGCACTACCAAAAATTTTAAGAGACTTGAAGAATATGCTTAATTCTATAAACAACAACCCAACATCTATTTATAATTAAATAAGAGCTCCCAAGGTATTAATTTTATATTGAGTCTCAGTCTACAATATCTTTCAAGCTGGCCTTGGTTTAATTAATTCCAATTATACTATATAAACTGCTGAATCTCAAGGGATGCTGAGGAATGAATCTAAAATTAGAGTATTCACAGAAGCTCTCTAATCTCCTCAATGTAAATCAATTACTCAATTGAAACTCAGTCATAATCAATTAACATCACCAAAAATAAAGAGTTTGGTTGACAATTTTCCTTAACAAATTCAGGATCTAGATCTCAATAATAATGGATTAGATTCCAAAGCTTGTGAAACCTTGGCTAAGTACATGCAGAAATCAAGAGTAAAGAAACTCTCTTTAGAAAACAATAAAATTGGAGATTTAGGTGCAAATTATCTTTTTGTGGCTTTGTAAGATAATGATTACTTGACTTTGTTAAATCTAAGTCGTAACAATCTAACAGGTAATTCAATTATTATTCTAATTTTTAGATAATTGTACTAATGATTTATCAAATTATTTGAAAAAGTCAAATGTATTATTTGAATTGTATTTACACTTTAATTCCATTAATAGTAAGGGGGGTATTAATATATGGAAAGCCCTTTATAAGAATTCAAGTGTAAAGGTTTTTGATATATCTTATAATCGAACTGCTTCCTTTGAATGTGCTCAATAGATGGCCAGAGTGATTGCAAAACCATATCCTGAGTTAATGCACATAGATGTATCTCATAATGGTTTTGATGAACCATCCTCTATTGAAATTATGAAGGCATTGAATGTTAATCAAAATATTTATGGATTTCATTTTGAAGGAAATTGCCCAAAATTTGCTGTTGATGCTACTGGCCATCTTAGAGATAGGGAAGCAGAAGAATAAACAAGATAAAAGAAAATTGAAGAATGCAGAAAAAACCCATAGACTTCACTTAGATTATTGGATGATGATGCACCAGTTTAACCAAAAAAAACTATAAACAAGAAAGAAGAAATTCAATAGGTTCATAGATTTAGAAGAATATGGGGTATGAAACCGGTTAAATAGAATTAATAATTTGATAAATAAAGAGATTCTTGTTGGATATGTGAAGGATGGGAAGAAGTCAAATTTACATGGAGTCCAGGTAAATCTGGAGGTATGAATAATGATCCCATCTTTTTACATGTTAATTTTGATGGTTATCGTCCTGTTTTAATGAATCCTCATTAAGGAGAATATCATTTATATAGGATGTGTCCACCAAATCAAAGGATTCTGTATTTCTTCAGTAATCCAATTCTTGGAATCTAAACAACTGCAAAAAATTAAATGATAATGCAAACACCTTAAAATGATCCAATTGCTTAAGGATTATAGGAATTCCTTTATAATGGAGACATATTAATAGAAGGTAATAAAATGACTTTTGTGAATGAAGTATTCACTGAAGGTAAACATACTGTGGTTGATAAATATGTTCCTAAGATATTTAGTAAACCTAGAGAGGAGGAAAGAACTTATGATTTAACTTAATACATGAATAAAAAATAAGCATTTTGGAGTTACGAAATTTCTATATTTAAAAATTATTAACCAGATAATGATGAATTAATTGATGAATGTTTTGAATATGATTTTCAAACTTCAAAAATAAACAGGATAGTACGTGATCCTTAAGAATTAATGGAAGTAAAGGAAATCTTAAGAGAATATTATCCATATATTTTTGCTAGTTATAAATTCTATGCTTCTACTTTAATTGGAGCAAGTGTAAAATAGTTGATTTATATGAATAGATTCCTTGTATATCATCAAATGCCTTTTTTGATTTTATTGGTTAAACTGCAGTGTTGACTGATAAATTCAGACCTGGAGATATTGATTTGAATTTCATAGCGACATCAAATGTTAAGGATATATAATATCCAAATGTTTATGAAAAGGCATTAGTAAGATACCAATTTATGGAAGTACTCGTAAGAATTGCATTGGATAAATATACTCGAACAGGAATATGTAAATCAATGAAATTAAGTGTTTTGAAATTATTTGAAGATGATTTGGTTAAAGCTAGATTATAGGAAATTGATAGAGCTTAAGATTGGAGAGATATGAGATTATGGAATGAGTAAAGTGATATGTTAATAAGTAAAAAAATATAATAATATAAATTTAGAGGATCGATTACCTATGCTTAAATTATTATTTAAATTTACATCCAAATTGAATCCTAAGTAGAAATTTTATAAACACACTTGGATTCAATTTAAGGATTTTAGAGATTTAATGCTTAGATGTGATTTGTATTGTGATATCTTTGTAGAAAGAGATGCTTATTTGGCTTTTTTGTTATCAATGCAAACATAAGTAGATGAATTATTTAGTTTGAGACATTTTTAAATGGAATTCTATGAATTTATTGAAGCTTTATGTAGATGTGCTGAGAAATTATCATTAATTAGAACTAAAGATATTTTAAGTATTGATGATAGGAGATAAGAACCACTTCATAAGAAAATTGATGCCTTTTTACTTCTCATTTATTTAAGGGCTGGAGATGCTATCAAATAGTAATTGAAAGAATCTGAAGATTTTACTGATTTTGATAAGTGTATGACTAGAAAATAAAAGACTTTATAATAATAAATAGAAGAAATGGGAAGTGAAGAAGAAGATAAGCCATATAATCCAGCTATAGAGGCTGTATCACTTGAAGAATAATTAAAATAAGTTCCTGTTTAAACAATACAAACAGGAACTAAATTAAAGAAAGCTTTGTCATTCTTCTCAGTTATAAAGTAAATGCAATAATAAAAGCAACTGAAATCAAATTTCTTATTGACAAATGTGGTTTAATATTTCAAGTAAAGAGAGGAGGAAATGTTACAAAATGAGATGGAATAAGGGTGATTTTTGATTATATATATATTTATTTATATATAATAATAACATGAAGGATGATTATTCTGAACTAACAACTTTGGGTACTTCTAGTCCTTCTGCATATCATAGATTAGTTATTTTGTAAAAGAGTGGCGGTTCAGAATTATATACTGATTTAACAAATGAAAGAAATGTTTAGTAGAAAAATAAGAAATAACTCTTTTAGAAGAGATTCCAAAATAAACAAGAAAAAAATGATAGTTTTGAGGTCTAAGACTAATTGTTAAAAATGGAAGTTAATGATTGGTAAGGATTCTTAGAAAAAGAACATCATGCCATTTAATAAATTAATAATGAAGATATAACAAAAACAGAAATCAAAACACCTTTAACATTAAAGATGAAGACAAACCCAACTATGGTAAGTCCAACAAATGATAGAACTAATTACTTTTATAAGATGAAACTAGGCAAGTAAGTTTTCATTAATCATCTTAAGCAAACAGTTATCTGTTATCAGTACTCAAGATTTTTTGAAGACTGTTCGATACTCCTAGAAATTGGAAGATTATTCTAATTTATATAAACAACAACCACATAATCTTTACTTAAGTCTAAACTTTTCATAACCTGAAAGAGTCCCTAAAACTTTTGGATTGATTCAGAATACTCGATCTTTAGTAACTGCTAATGCTAGTAGATCAATAAGAAATAGTGAAGATGGTAATGCATTCTCAAATGCCATGCTTACTTAATAAAGTAGATAAATTTAAGTTATGTAATTAAATCATAATCAATTTACTCCAAAATAATTAAGAGATATCTTACTTACATTTCCAATTACATTGAAAGATTTAGAATTATAAAATTGTAAATTAAATTATATGCATATGGAAATTTTGATGTCATTTGTAGGAAAAAATCAAATATATAAATTAAATCTTGAATGTAATAATATTCGTGATTTGGGAACACAAATAATAATGAAACATTTACTTAACAATAATACATTATAATCACTTAATCTTAATAATAATTAAATAACAGATTGTATTAGTACATCTCTTTCTAATCTTTTGAAATAAACTCAACGACTTATAGAATTGTATCTTGGTTACAATTATTTAAATGCAAGTGCTGGTACTACTATTTGGAAAGCAATGTATAAAAATACTAGTGTTAAAATATTGGATTTATCACATAATAATATTGCATCTCTAGAATGTGCTTAATCAATTAATAAAGCTATATCTAGACCTTATAATGAATTATTGCATGTAGATCTTTCTTTTAATAAATTTACTTATCCACAAGCATAAATCATAGCAGAAGCACTTCAAAAGAATGAAACTATTTATGGTTTTCATTTTGAAGGTAATTAAACTGAATTATGTGTCAATCCAAATGGGTTTTTAATTAATAATATTGTATATCATTCATAATTAAAGGAGAAATTAACTTAACTTTATAAATAACCATAATATTTCAAATTGTTGGAAGAAGCTAAAGTTGAATAAACTCAAATAAGAAGAGAGGAATCACTTGTAATGCTTTATAGTAGATCAAGAAAAATTAGATCGACTAAATTGAATGTTTAGAAAGTGAATGAAATAAATAAATTGGATACTTGTTGGATATGTGAAGGATGGTAAGAAATTAAATTTGAATGGACAGCCCATAAATCTGGAAGTTTATATAATGAACCTATCTTTATTCATTTTGATTTTGAAGATTATAGACCATTATTAATGACATTTCTTAATAATGAATTCTTTTTTATTAAAATGTGTCCTCCAAATAAAGAGATACATTATTTCTTTACTAATCCAATACTTGGTGTTCAATAAACAGCTATGGATTAAAATATTAAGAATATGTAAATTTAATCTATTCCATTTTTGTACAATGATGAAATCTTAGTTGATGGGAATGTAATGGATTAAGTTAATATTTTAAGAACAACAAATAAATAATAATTATTTGATAAATATATGCCAATGGTATAATGTAAACCTAGAGAACCAATGGCTAAATTTGATTTTTCTCCTTATTTGAATATAAAAAAACATAGATGGTCAGTAGAGAGTTCAATATTTAAACATTTTTAACCAGATACACCATAATTAATTGATGAATGCTTTGAATTTGATTTTTAAAATTCAAAAGTTACTCGTTTAGTAAAAGATACAGAATTATTGGAAATTAAAGAAAATTTAAAGATTTTGTATCGTCAATTATTTCATATATATAAATATCATGCGTCGGGTTCATTAACAGCCCCAATTCCATGCATAATGATTTAAGACTATATCGACTTTTTAGTCTAGACTTCATTGATGGATGGATATAAAACAAATGATATTGATATAAGTTTCACATCAACAACGGCAGCAAAGGATGTTCAATTTCCATAAGCATTTGATAAAGGATTAGTACGTTGTTAATTATTGGAAATAATGATAAGAATGTGTAATGATAAATATATCAGACAAGGAATCTGTACTACAATGACTGAAGCTATAAATTTAGTCATAAAATAGGTTTAAGATTATTTTACAAAGTTTGATTAAAATTAGATGTGGAGAAAGAGTAGATTATGGAATTAAAAATGTGATATCATACTCAATGATAGATTGGCTATGTTAAAATCTCTATTTAAATATATATGTAAATTAAGTAAGAAAGATAAATAATTGTGTAAATATGATTATATATCTGTATAAGATTTTAAGGATTGGATTGTATAATCAAAATTAATTTGTGATGATTTAAGTGAAAGAGAATGTTATCTAATATATTTATAATCAATGATAACTTAGAAGGATGAACTTTATTCTAGTAAACATTACTAGATGAATTTTCATGAATTCATAGAGAGTATAGCCAGATTAGCTGAAAAGTTATCTATTATAAGAGGAGATAAAGCTATGGATATAGATGATAGAAGAGCTAAAGATTTAACACCAAAATTAGATGGATTTTTATTATATGTTTATTTGGTTATTGGAAATGAAATGAAATAATTATTGCCTCCAAATGATCCAGATATAAGAGGTTTAGACAAATGTATGATCAATGATTTCAAATCTTTGAAATAAAAATTAGAAGATTCATTTACTGATGGAGATGAACCACCTTATGATCCAAGAGTTGAATTACCACATCTATCTAGTTAAATAACAAATCTTTTAGGAAATACAATTGGTGGCAAAAAACAAACTTTACGATAATAATTAAAATAAGTCAAAAGAGAAGAATAAAAATTTTCTCTAATTAATTTTGTTTAATACTTTAAAAGTATTTAATAAGTTCATGTGGATCATGATGATTGATAAGTTATTCATATTCAGATCTTTTTTAAAAATTCTTTTTATTAATCTTTAATAACATTCTTCAATTATCTTAAACATAGATATTCTTATTAAGCTACTTATCTTTCTTTAAAAGTTGATAAAATGAGTTATTCAATAACATCTAATTAGACTCCAAGTTTCTATGGTAATTTTTATTTTAATTCATTTCTAATAATAATATTATAATTAATACTTATTAAGTGAAATCACTTATGATATATTTAAATTGATTTGTTATTGTAATGCATCTATACAATCTCTCTTTTCTTTAATTTGTTCTTCCTATATTATTATTAATTTATTTTCTTTACATTCTTTTATATACTCTATTATTAAACTTCTAATTTTTTAGATTTCTGTAATAATTGTGAATGTTTTTTATTTAAATCAATTTCCAAAAGGTCTAATTTATTATTTAGAATCTTCAATTCTTCATCTTTAATTTAGTAATCCTTCTTCATTTTTTAAAGAATCTCTCTTTCTCTATTTAAATCCTCTGAATTATCTTCTTCATTCTATTATTTCAATTATTCTAAACGTTCCTATATAATTTTAATTTAATTATACTTATAATCTCTGGTTCTCTTTCTATAAAATGTCTACTTCATAATCTTTAGCATCTTCAAAATCTAATTAATATGGAGATGGAGAATTTGATCCATTTTGAGTACTCATTTTAACACTACATTTTTTAGAATGATAACGAGATGTTCGTCTTTTTCTTGCTGAATCCTATATCATTAAATTCTTTTCAATTGCTTCTAACTTTTTTTGAACATCTTTTATTGAAATTGTCTCATTTTTTTAACCTAATGGTTGAGTATTTTATTGTATCACTCTTGCTTATCCTTATACTATTTTCTGTATATTCACATTTGAATTTTCTATCAATGTTTTTTAGAACAATTCGTATAGTTTGTCGTCCATCTTTAACGAATTAATATATATATATTTAATTATATACAAATAATTAATAACGGGAAAAATATAAAAATTAATAAATTAATTATGGGAAATTCAGGAATACGAAAATTATGGTTTTTGGATTCTCCTGTTGAAACTCCATTTAAATCCATTCATGAAATCAATGTCATCAATATAAATAAGTCTGAAGAATCACTCTCTCAATATAAGGGTTAAAAAGTTGTCATAGTTAATGTTGCCATCGATTCTCCTGAATTGAATGATCAATTAAACTATTTGAAATCTCTACCCTATTAAGTACTCCTCTTTCCTAAATGTGATCACACATACACTTATTAACAGATTGCAGATAAATTATAAGGATTTAAAGTCTTTTAGAAAGTGGAATTGAATGGTTAATTCACTCATCCATTATACAAATTTCTAAAGAGACAAACTCCTCAATTATATGATGAAAAGCTGGCTAATGGCAGACAAATCAAATAAGACTTCTGTAAATTCTTGATTTCAGAAGAAGGTTAACCAATTAAGTACTTCTTACAAAATGAGAAATTATGAATTATTTATGTATAGACATTTATATCGAAATCCAACCATCTTATCTAAAATTCTTATTAAAGAGTACACCAACTTAAAAAGTGAAGAGCTAGCCTTCCGATATGCTGCATTAGCTAAATTGCGCACTTAAGAATTAGAATTTGAAGCTCTACATCAATTGGATCCAATCGAACATTGGGATATTAGTAAAATTTCTTTATTACCACAAATTTTTACCTTACTCGCCAATCTACATAGAGCCACCCGTTCAGATAGCTTGATTTAATATCCATAAATAGAAGCAGTCAATCGTATTACAGCACTATTAGATCCTAATATGTTTCCTGTTTAAGATCTCTCTTTGAAATTACATACTTCTGATACTATGACAATTTGGGAGAAATCAAAGACACAAAGAGTGACTAAAAATTTAGGATTCAAACTCAATCTAAGAGAGAGTACTATTGATCATTCCGATGCAGGAGAAGGAGTCTTCTTAGAGACTTTACCAGCAAACAAAAGGCTGTTACTTATTTTATTTTAAGTGTTCCTGCAGGTACCCTTTTGGGCTTCGTACCAGGTTTGATCTATGATAACTATTAATCATACGGTGAGAAGACACCTCCAGATATGCATTTCTTTAGATTCGATGGGCCCATCTTTGATTTTACATCCAGGATATTCTACCCTTATGTTCCAGGATTTGGTTATGATGAATACGAATAAAAAATATAAGAAATAGATGATTTAGCTGCTCGATCTAATAGACCTTATAGAAATAAATCTAAAGGAGGTTATGAATTAGTAAAAGGAGAAGATATAAATCCATATGCTCTAGGTCATAAAATCAATCATACTCCAAGAAATAAATCAACTAATGTATGTTTAATAGATATATTTGTTCCTAAAAATTTCTTTCCTGAAGAATTGATGAAATTTTGGCCAACTTAGTATTTCTCCACAACTCAAGATTTTTTATTAAGCAAATCTATTCTTGATAATCATTACAAAAATCACATTAGAGGTCTAGGATTCATTAGTGTCACAGATATTAAAGATGGAGAGGAATTATATTTAGATTATTTAGAATCCTGTCTTTTCAACATGGAAATTGAGTCACCTGATTGGTTAATTAAACCACCTCCATTACATCCACAAATTTGCAAATGTAGTCTCAGATAAGAAAGTTTATTGATGATGCTTTTAGAGGATTATGCTTTTTAATAAACAAAAGATGGAAAAAACTTTGACAAATTTTATAAGAGTGTTTTAAGAGAAAATAACTAATATTTATGAATGATAAATAAATACAATTATAAAGTTATATGAAAACTAATCTCTATAAAAAAATGATGTTTTAATTTTACCTGATTTTATTCTTTTTTTTTATATTAACAATTTTTAATGAATATTCAACTTAAATTTCTTTAGTATCTAAATTATGTGTTTTTGAATAAAGCTCTAATTAAATAAAAGGGATGCATTTCTAAATGTAATTTCTTATTATCATCACTATTGAAAATTCTTAGTTAAGCTATTCATAGATCATCAAGTTACAAAACGATAAACCTGACCTTATCTAAAGATGAAATTTCTTGTGTAATATATATAGAATTAGAATTTTAGTACAAAATAATATAAATATGAACTCAATTCTCTCTTCAGATAGAATCATCGATTTCTTTTTCTTTTTATCGTTTAAATGAATTTAAAATTTGGAGATTCTGGAACAATAATATGAGTGTCATTATCTAATTATAATTGATAATCATCTTTCATGCACAATTCCTCTTATTATTTACAAAGTTCTTTATTCTTAACGAATTTATTGTTTTTGATTCCTAAAAAGTCCATGATTTTTTAATTAAAAAATTTATATGATACTCTATTAATTAAAGAAATATATAAATTGTATAAATTAATCATTCTGTTTATTTCATTTTGATTAACTTCTACTCCTACTCCTATTATTACTAATTTTTTTATTATGATTATCCTCTTATTCTTAAATCCCAATCCTCATTCTAAGAGAACATCCTTTTAATTCTAAATCAAGCATAATAGTACTCTAAGCTTCACTAACTGTACTATATTCAATAAATGCTCTTCTCTTAGTAAATTAAGATCCTTCATTTCGAGGAATTTCAATTGACACAATTGTTCCATATTATGAAAAGAAATCAGCAATCTCTTTATCACTTATTTTGAGTGCTTATACAAAAATAGTTTTATAATCATGATCAATTTCATTAACATCTCTTCAATTACTTCTTCTTCATCATCTATTTCATCAATTCCTTCAATATCAGAGTCTAACCATTCAATTTTTTTAAATTTCTCATTAGATTATTCATTTATCACTTTTTTTTCTTCTACAATATCAATCTCACTTCCTTCATTCTACTTTGTTTACTCTAATTATTATTCTTGTTAAACTTGTTATTCTTCATCTTCTGAATGTAGCAATTCAACTTTTTCTAGAACTACTTAATCATCTATGTCTTGAAATTCTTATTGCCATTCTTTATTTTTTTTTAAGAATTGAAATTATTTTTTTATTATAATAATAAAATATATCAGTGATTCATAAACTTAATCTAAACATAATACATAACCCCTCCAAACATACCTCCTCCTAATCCTGACATCATTAAGCCCTTCCATCCAACTGATTCAGCAGCTAGTACCATAGATGAAAACATGCAAGAAAGAAATGAATTTGTAGCATCATCTCTAATTCTTAATTTTTCTAATTAACATTCAAATATAGAATAAAAAGCACCAAAAATAGCAAAACCTTTTGCCATTCCAAACATTTTGTTTATATCTCTCTAATTTGGAATAATTATATACTCTCAAAACATATCTTGTTGATTATTTTGTTCTACCATAATCCATGTCTCTCATTTCTACTGCATTCATAAATAAAGCCATTAAAAAACCCATTGCACCTCCAGCTACAGTGACCATTCCTGCTTTTGCTGCACAGTTTGTGTCCATAAATGTCACATGCTCTTAATAATATTTGTATATAATTACTAAATGGATTAGGTTCTTATGCCATTATTTAATAATTAAATTATATGGCAATACCATTATAAGTATATAATTTAGGGAATTAAAGCAAATGGTTTCTGTTTTCAACAGAGGTAATAGGAATGCTTACACTTATAATATTTGAAAATGAATTAACTATATTTATTGTAATTAGATTACTCATTGAGACATTTGCTGCAGGATATTTTTATCTTTAATGTAGTGATTCGGCAGGTGAGCCAATTATTGTGTAAGAAGATAAAGAATTATCTGAATTATCATTTTCTAGTTTTAGAGGAGATAATGACTAATTTGAATCTCAGATACCTGATAGAAATGAATGTTAAGAATGTAAAATTATTTAACCTTACAGAACAAAACACTGTATTAAATGTTAGAAATGTATACCCAAATATGATCATCATTGTTTTTGGATTGGGGGATGTGTAGGTGAATTGAATCATAGAATGTATTGGTTATTTTTGTTCTTTTAATGTTCACTTTGTTTTGATGGATTATTTTAATTTAATAAACAATTTGTTTACTATTCCACTTATGATGAAGAATTTGGAAATGATTAATTCTAATATTAATATTTTTTTATTTTGCTAATTGCAGCAACATCTTTTGGGTTTGGAATATTTACAGGGGTGTTACTATTATATCACACTATGTTAATATTGACTGGTAAAACTACTTGGGAACACACCAAAAGAGATAAGATTTCATATCTCAATGTTTATCCAAAGTACTATCATCCTTACAATTATGGTATCATAGAAAATATCAAATTAACATTTTTTCATAATAGTATTCAATCTGATTGGATACCTCCCTCAAAAAATTAAATTAAAGATTAATGCAATATATTTGATAACAAATATTACTCTTGTTGTTGATACATTTACTATATTGTTCTTTAATATAGATTGTATTATTTTGATTTTGGATAAATGGAATTATAACAAGTATTAATTATCAGAAATAGTAAATTTAAATACTCTTGAAATTAAATTTAAGTTGCTTTGATCTTTTGTTTTCATTTTAAACAATCTATTTAGAATAAACTTCATAATTTAATATTAATAAAAATTTGATCAAAATTTAATCAATGATGGATGATTGTAAGTTCATTTTTTCCGATTATTTCTAAATTTGACTTAAGGAGTTAATATCGATCCATAAGTTTAGTAATAAGGCGAATTCTTATAATTTGATTTGCTGATTGTTCTATTTGATGGACTCTATGGTTAGTTATGGTAACTTTGATTTTCAGTTTTGATTCTACTACAACAGCATTGAGTAAGAATTGGTAATTGAATATGCTTTTGAGTCATTGGAATCAGACATCTCATTCTCTATTCCAATTTATTCAAACATTAAGGTCTACTGATTTTATTAATTTATTTAATCTATTATTCTCTTTTTCCAATGATATTATAGAGAAGAGAAGATTTAGACTGCAAATTGAAATTAAAATACTATGTCTTCTATTCATCTATTTTATCACCAGTAGTGCTGCTTTCAATAATCGTTTTTATCCTATCTGTTTTTTTTGTAGTTCTCTTTCTTTAAAAAAAAACTTCTTATTCTTTAGATATAAGAGTAAGTTTATACTTGTTAGCGTTAAAGTTAGGGTACTTTCTGTATTACCAACTTATCCTTTCTAATTGTTGCATAATTCCTTTCTTGTGTTCATATTTTCGAATTAGAACTTTCCCAAGCATCCACACTCAGTGCAATAACAGCTTTTTCTTCTAGTGTGGGTTTTCTAACAATCTTTAATAATCCCTTTGATATTTCTTAAATGTAAACTATTAGATCTTAGATTAGTTCTTAAAGTTTAGATTCTGATAGATGAATTAGATTGTTAAGCATTATAAAGAGACGATGAACAAATAAGAATATCCATATATCTAATAATTAAATTAAAGAGAATAATTTAAACTAAATATTATTACATAAGATAAAATAGGGCAAAGAAATAGTAGAAATGATAAATGAAAAATTCATTAGTCAATAATATTTGTAGTTCTGAGAGACTTATTTGTTTTAGCATCTAAGCTTTAATTGCTTTTCTTTTGCTGATATTATTATTGATTATTTAACTACTGCTATTATAGTAAAATTAGATTTTCTGATGGGAATTAACTATCCTATTTCTCATAATTTGTTTTCTCCATTTTATCTTTTAAATAAGGATGATCTAAAGCTTGTGCAGCAGTTATTCTTTTGTTTGGATCCACTTCTAACATTTTCTTCAAAAGATCTGCTGCTTCTTCATCAGCTACAAATTTTTATGCATTATACATTTTTGATTTTAACATTGGTTGATTAGTTATTCTAATAGTTATTTACAATACTTTACAAATTAAATAAAACAACTCCAACACTAAACATATCTGAATTAAAACTCGATTCCTTTTATCTCAATACTTCTGGAGCATAATATCCTGGAGTACCACACACACTACTAACTGATCCAAACTTAAGATTTGCAGCAAATCCAAAATCTATCACTTTTATAGAATTATCTTTCTATATAATAATATTCTCTGGTTTAATATCTCTATGTACAATTTTCTTAGATTGTAAATAGCTAATTGTTTTTAATAATCCCTATCTTTATTTTATTTAATCATACAATCATAATTGCCTTTATTTAATTGGTTGGAAGTTTTTGTTTTAAAATCTCGCTTAATGGAGTTCCTGCAACAAATTCTTAAACTATCCAAAAAGTTTGATCATTCTCATAAACTTCAAGTACTTTTATAATGTTTTCATGGTTTAATGACATTAGTATTGACACTTCAGTTTTGACTATATCCTAAAATATATATCAATTTAGTTTACTTACCAAGGCTTGATCTTCTCTTCCAAACTCTTATTTTATCATTTTCACAGCGACTTCTTTTTTACTCTTCTTATCAATACTTTAGAATACCTTAATTAATAAATTAATTACTTTTGCTGACAATCCTTCTCCTATAAATTCAACTGGTTAATAAAATGATGCCATGTTCCTATAAATCACTTTACCACCAAGAGCTATTTTTAAGGATTCGAGATGTATCTATTATGCTTCAAAATATTTAATTTTATTCTGGTAAATTATTCCAAATGCTTTTAATGATTGCTTTCCCATTTTCCATAAAATTTATGTCGTTAATTTAAGTTCTATTTGATATTTTGGATTCTAATAATTGTTAAACTGAATATATTAGAATCAAAAGATTACAGCTGATATACAAACTTCATCTTCCATCACTTTCAAGTAATATGTTTTAGAAAAAAAAGTATGTGGTCTAATACAAGTAAAACAGAGCTAATCCGTATTCATTATAATTTGTTTCTTCAACTAAATTGATTTATATTATTATTATTTTTATATTTCTATTCTCAAATATGTAACTCTCATTCTACTCTTATAAAATTAATTATTCAAATTTTATTCTTTCATTCATTATCAATTACTTACAAAATCATTAAATAAATCTAAGAAAATCATTGTATTTTTAATTTTATCAAAAAAATCATTAATTTTATACAAATTTCATCTATCCATATTAAATTTATATCAATATAATTAAAAATAAATCTATTTTAATTTGTTTTAATATTATTGAATTCTTTACACACTTGTTTATATATATGTTCTTATATTTATATAAATTTAATTATATATATAAATATTGTTAAATTAAACTAAATATTTATTGCACTATAAAATTTAAATTATTACTCATATTAGTATAGCATTTAAAATCAAAACTATAATCATAATTAAAACTTTAATTTAAAAATACTAATTTTTTAACAAGAAGAGTATTAAATTAGAGAAAGAACTTCTCTTTAACTATCAGTTAATGAAGAAAATTAGAGTTCTTCATTTAAAATAACTAAATTTTTACTGTTCATTCATTCTTAATATTGATATAACATTAGCATTTTTACATTTTTACATTTAATTTCAATAAATAAATATCTATAATTTTTGCTAAGTCAGCTAAATTATTTTTTATTTAAGGTAAGGTACAAAAATTAGATAAAATATCACTAATATTCATAAATAAAGGTATGACAAAAGATGTTATTAATATGATCTTGTTATTAGGAATGAATCATTATATTAAGCAATAAAAACTTTATGTATTTCCATTATTAATAAAGTTTATTCAATAATGAGGTTCTGTTCTTCCTACTTGAATTATTTGAAGGGCATTCTAAAAAAGGAATTAAAAAAAATATCTATCTATGCTATGCATTAAATTTCTTATGGAAATATAAGAATACTGTCATATCAAACCAAAGATAATTAAATTAACAATCATGTATTATCTAAATCAAAAATAGTTTTAAGCTTTATTATCTAAAAATGTAAGCATAAACTGTTATTTAAAATAGTTTTTATGAAAAATTACTAAAATTCTTATTTCATTTAACTTTTGAACTTTTTATGAGAAAATTTATTTGTATTTACAATTAGATTAAGTTATTAGAAGGAATAAATTGGACATTCTTAGTTTATTGAATAAGTTGCAGTGTTGAATAAATCTATAGAATAAATATATAATTTGTATTATTATTAATTTATTTTTTAATGATGAGAATTGAAATGTTATTATTATTCCTTTGGCAAGTCAATCTATGTTATTAAATCCCTTTTATCATTAAATAATGAAGGTTCTTGCTTAATAATTGTTGATGTTAATTTATAATTTTATTTGATAACCTGTATTTTCCTATAAATTTTATTAATATATTTGTAAATATGATAATGATTAATAATTTTTAAATAATTAAATTTCAACATAGTGAATCCATTATTAATATATAACAATCCTTTACATGAATTTTATATAATGTACTAATATTTAATAAATTATGACGCATCATAATATCTCTTTATATTCAAGACTAAAGTTGATAGGATCAAAATTATTATTTATAATGAACATTTTTAGTTGTCCTAATGAAAAGGAATACTCAAATGATATTAGTTCTGAAATTGAGAAATCGTAGGTAAAAAAGGAACTTAGACCTCGAAATAATTTATGCCCAGGTGTCTTTTAAGAATATAAACGAACTTACGTTAAAGTACCATCTAATTCAAAGGAATAACTTGCTTAGTTGGTATTCATGGAAGGGTTTAAAATCAAAGATGTATAATACTGAATTAAGTATTAAATAGGCTGCTAAACAATTGAATATCAAATACGCAACTGCTAAGACCATAATATTTCATATGCGTAAAGAAAACATAAAAAAAATGAATATAAATTCAAAAAACTGCAGATATACCTCAATATTGGAAAATAGACTCTTAAAATACAAAATTATTTCAACTCTTTCAAGTAGGATCGTATCATCATAGGAATTTATTGGTTATTTTTAAGAAAATGGTTAAGATCAAGAATTTAAAATGATATGAAGTCCTTTGATGATAGTATTTATAAAATTTGTGTTATATTTCTTAACAAATTATTTTTAATTCGTTAGATATTTAATGAATAATACATTCAAGTTATACTTAGAATTATGAATTAACATACATTATCTAATGTATATCTTTTTGATAAGTTAGAAAACATGGATATCATATGATTAATGATACTAAAAACTTACTTTATTTATTTAAATCTGCAGAGTTGCATCTTGAAAAAATTAATTATGATTAGATATATCGATTAAAACGATAATATTTAAGAAAAAGGAATATAATCTACAAAATGGTTTGAAAAAATATAGAAAAATAAATGATGTTATTAATATTGTATTTATAATGTAAATATTGTTTAATAAAATATCAGATGAACATATGAGGAATGTATAGTTGATAGAAAATTTGAAACATATTAAAAATTACACTACATTAAAATTTAATAAGTTCAATTTAAAGTCATGTTTATTTTTTGAAAAATTAATATAAATATTTTAATGAATTTGTATTTAGAATCAGCTGCTGAAGAGTTTGAATAAGCTATTTCAGATGCTGATCAATTATTGGCATTAACAAAAGCTACACTTCAAAAATTTACAAATTATCTAAAAAGGAAATAATAAGAAAAAATGGAGCGAAGATATCATTTGAATAATATTACTGAAGACTCTAATAGTATGAAACAATTAGATAAATAATCATATAATTAATTGAAGATATTGGAATATTTTAATAAGTTTCATAAGGAAGTGGATAAATAATTAAGAGATTTGAAAGAAATGGTTCCCTCTAATCCTCAAACATATGTAATTGAGGAATTAAATCAATAAGAAAATATAAACAAATAAATAGAATAAAAGGTCCCTCAAAAAGTTATATAATAAGAACAAAAATATTATCCATTATTCAAATAAGCAAAAAATCCAGGTTAATCAATTCAAAATTCTTATAACCAAAGTTAATTGATTTTAGGATAACATTAAACACATTCTTAATTACAAGTCTAATAATTATAATCATAGAACTCAACATAATTTTAAACATAATAAAATTAAAATAATACATAAAAAGAAAATAATTAATAAAGGATTACAACAACTTAAAATTAAAATTTATCTGAATAGTAGACAGAAACAATTAAACCAATATTGAAATAAAGATAAGAAATAAAAGAATCATTAATAACATTTGGAAGATTATAGAAATTTTAATATTAGAAATTAATATATCCAAATTAAAATGAGGGAAATTGTGTATTTTGTGGTTTGGAAGGAAATGATTAAAATTTAGGACCTCTTTTATTAATACCATCAAATAATAATTAAAATTAGAAATATTAATTACATGAGATGTGTGGTTTATGGAGTTAGAATTTAGTATTTTTTAATGGAATAGAATAATGTGATCCAAAGAATATAGATGAAGAAGTTGAGAAATCTAAAAAAACTGTAAGAAATATGATTTATTTTAGAGATGTTTTTTATGTAGTAGATCAGGAGCAACAATTTGTTGTGCAGTGTGTCCTTAATCATTTCATTTTACCTGTCTAATGAAGAGTTCACAAACAGGTAAAGCAAAATATGTTATGATAAGGCAAGTTGATAGAGAATCAATTTAAGTTTTTTTGTGATAAACATAAATATAAGGCTAGATTGGAAATGTAGAATTCAAGTGATGAAGAATAATTACCAAAAAAGAAAAAAAAGGTTTAATAAAAATTGAATACATCAAAATAGATGATTAAAAAAAGTCCAAAAAGAGGGAAATCTCCAGCATCATAATAAGCTATATTATAATAATGTTTAAAGAATAAGGATGAAGATTTAAAACGTCAATGGATCACTTCTGATCTTATTTATTTTAATTTACCCTAATGGGCATCTATTGAATAAAAATTTAGTGATCTTGATCAATCATTAATATAGAATAAACAATATGATCCTTAAAATAATTTTTAATCAGATATCAAATAGGAATAAATCAATTGACTTTTGATCATTTATATATATAATTAAATTAATATTGATTTTAAAAGATGGAAGGCAAATATTTACAAGTAGGTAAACCTTCAGGGGATGATTTTGATGATGGAATGATAGATAAAATAAGTAGAATCAAAATTTAATATAATAAACAAAATATTGTTGCAATAGGAATATTTTATGAATAAAGATAAATCTATAAATTTCATAACTTTTGTGTAAATAGTCTAAGCAAGTTTTATTTCTATGTTTGGGAAGAAGAGTTTATAATAGAAAAAGATGATTGTAAATATAATTTTATTATTTAGATTTATAGTAAGTAAGTGGTACTTATGATGGAACATACATCACATCAATATAATTTCTTACATATAATGGTTAATCTATGCATTTTAAAGCATCTTGTTTGGGAGATTAATTCTTTATAGAAAATTAAGGTATATTAATTCAAATTATTTTAGGTGATACATTTTCTAGTTGTAGTGGTTCATTTGATAGAAATGGTTTAACATCATTAGTCTTTAAACAAATGCCTCTAAATTGGAATGATTTTGAGAGGGTACAAAATAAAATTCTCTTATTATCTTATGGTCATCATTATCCTTAGAAATATGTTCCTCAATTTTCATAATATTTAAACTATCCATAAAATTGAGAGTTATTCATTATTTTTACTAAAATAATTTTTCAAATTTTTTAAACTAATAATTAAGTTTTTAATAAGATGAATACAAATGGACCATAATAAGGATTATTTGGTAATAAACCTCCTTAAACAAATACTATATTCTCTACTACACCTGCTGTACCATAATAAAATAACCTCTTTGCTAATACATAACCAACACAATAAAATAATATGTTGTTTGGATAAACAAATAATTAACCTTAAACAATGACAGGTATTTCTAAATATAATAATAAATAGGTGGATTTGGTTAAACACCATTATTGGGATAACCAGTTCAAAATTAGGGTATCTTTGGTTAACAATAACCAACAACTTCTAATCTTTTTGGAAATACATAACCTGGTTTTGGATAATAAACTAATTTATTTGCTACCACACCTTAATAATAATAACCAGGTATAATGTAAAATGGACTATAATATCCTTAATAAAATTAAATTCAAGCTTTTATTAATGATTCAAATGCCTTTAAAGAAAAATATAATGCATTGACTCTAAAGATTGGTGAAACAGAAAAAAGCTTTGCTAATCAACCTGGTTAAAATTAATAATGGTAATAAACAATCTAACCAATTTCACAAATAGTCTTTCAAATGGATACCAAATCTGTTCTAGATACTTCTGAATAAATATTAGCTGGTTAAAAAGATTTGTCTAAAAATCTAAATGAATATATTTCTACTGTTGGATTGGTATAGAAAATTACAGAAGATGGACTTGAAGTTTTAAAAAAAGAAGAGGCTTAATGTAATGATTATTAAAAAGCTTAATAAACAATGAAAGAATCATATGATTAATTATCTGGAACTATTAGAATAAATTAATAATTTTCTGTTCCCTAAAAATATTAAGAACAATTAATTCTTCAATAATATGAATAATTAGAGCTGTTGACTAATACTGTCAATAATATGATAAAGTATTATGAAAAATAACCAAATATGGATGTTGATGAAGCCTTATAATATAAATTAATGCATCTATAAACGTTGTCAAATTATTAATGTATGCTTTCATCAAGGATTAGAAATATTTAAGAAAAAAGTATTAATCTTTCTAAAATTAGTATCTACATTTTAAACTAAAACATATTCATAAATTATGCCAGATAAGAAAATTGATGAATTTTATACCATAGATACACACAAAGACCTTCTAGATCAAATTATTGCAGAAAAAATTTGATTTTGATTATTTTTTATTAATTTTATAAAACAATCAAAGATCATTAAATATTTTAAGATTATAATTCTAATTATATCATCAAAATTTATCATTATGAGATCTAATATCAAATATCTAATCTAATGTTAGTGATTCATTAATTTTATATATTTAAAGTTTCTATATGACATTCTTAAATTTAAAATTCTTTTCCCAGAATAATAATTAAATAGTAGGTTATTGATATATCTTATTTTTTGTTTCAATATAATTAATTAAATGATTTCAAGATTCATAAAATCATTTAAGTATTTTTTTAATTTAAAAAAATTTTATTTATCAAATATTAATTAATTATGAAACTAATAATAATAAAAAGAGTTTGATCCTGCGGATACTAACCGTTACTTTCAGATCTGTGATCTATTGCACTCCTTGTGCGAGAATCAATAATTGTATATTATCTTTATATTGAAAAGGATAACCTATATTATTATTTCTTATGCTTTGTTTATATTTTTTGGTTTTATCAAAAAAGATATTTTTTATGGAAATCTTCAGTCCTTCAAATCCTGTGTTAATTTACTTATATAATTAAATTGATCAAATAAGATTTATAAATTTGAGTAGATTTATGTATAAGTACTTAATTTTTGATCAATAATTTTGAAATTTCAAGTTCATAATTTCAAAAATGATATTGTTTCCAGAAGAAGGGTATAGAATCAGATAAAACAGCAAGATATTTTATCATAAGTAAATTTTAAGTCATAAATTTAGATTGATTTTTAGAGTACTTCTGTTTATTTTATCCAAACCATTAATAATAAGTGTGGGTATTAAGTGATTAAATGATATTATTCAGATGAAATTGATATATCAAATTACTTTAATTCATTGCTTAATAGACTAATCAAATTATTATCATTTAAATTAATTCATTTTTGATTTAATTTCTATATTCTGGTAAAAAGAATTTAGTATATGAGAATTATGTCTTATATTGAACAATCATATATAAAATAAATTTAATATTTCATATTTTATACACAATATAATATTAATCATTGTTTTTATAATGTTGATTAAACTATTTCTTATTCCCACAATTAAGCCATTTAAATTCTCATATTTTGTAATAAATGATTTAATTAATCTTCTGATTTTATTTATGGATTTAAAATGATATTTCCATATAATTTGGCCATCATCTAAAAAAATACTTCTACAGGTTATTAATAATTATCTTTCCAATTATTTCCTAATAAAGATTTTGCTCTATCAATAAGATCAAAGTATTGAGGTTAAACACCTGCATTTGCTAATGTCCAAATTGATAATAAATTATCATACATCAAAGAAGATGGTTACATGATTCTAATTTTAATTTATTAATTTGAAATCTAGAATTTACTCAATACTTCATGATTTAATTCAATGATATTTACAATAAATGATTTAGCTACTTGACAATTTTTGTAAGTTTTTTAAATGAATTAACTAACATAAATGTAAGCATTTTCAATCAATTCAAGAGGTAAAGAATCTTCTGTAAGTTTAGAGATTTGTTTCCAAGTTGGTTATTAGTATTATGGATATTCCAATCTTTAAGGTTAAGTTTATTCTTCTTTTCTGAAATAATTGATTATCCTTTCACTTACAATTACTAATGGTTTGAGAATATTAGACATTGGTTTAATTTCTTCTTATTTTATTTGATCTAAAGATTTGAAAGATTCTTGTGAAGGTGGTCTACTCAATCTCATCTTTTACCATAATTATTAAGCAGAATAAAAGAAACCATCAAATACAGGTCTAAAATAAACAACATCTAATTTAAATTTATTTTATTGATACCTATATTGTAAGGACTTATACGCTATATTGATTATTCATAAAATTCTGTATACTATGAGTCTTCATTCTCTAACCAAGCAAAAAGTAATTTTTCAAAACAAAATTGCCATGCAAAATGATTGATTTATCCATCTAATTCTATAGTGATTGCTCGTCCTGCATAAATACGCCATTCTTCTCCTAATGTTTGTAATAATGATTTAACAAACTTATCTCTCTTCAATAATTGAGATGTGCTTTCAAATAAATTGAAATTGCTATAATAGCAATATTGAGTTTCTAATTATTGCATAAGAGTTTAATTAAATAATATTTTTTTAAAGTTTTTCTTTAACATTAAATTTCCATTATTGAAATCAAATTTAATATAGAATTGCATTCATAATTAAGAAAAATAAATGAATAATCTTAAAGATATATCTAAATATAAATCATAAAAATTAATCTTTCAATTATAAGACTTACTTTTTCTAATTCAAAACATCTTATTTAAATTTTCGTAGATATTGTTATTCTGATTATAATATTGATCTTTCTTTTAGAATGTATTAAATCAAGAATTCAATAGCATCAAATTATATGGTCAATTAATTTTCGACTTTATTTTTTGAATTTACTAAATTTAATAATTGGCTAACGTATTCATTAAGTTTTATTTACAATCCTTCCATATGTTCTCTCCTTTCATTTAATAATTCATCCTAAAATTAATAATAAATTTTATTACATTTTTTTATTGTTCTTATTCATTGTCTTATATAGATAATATCTAATATTGCATTTATTTTTCTTATTTTTCTAAAATCATTTGTTTTTACAATAGAGTTTATGATCTTTAATTAAGCTTTTATTATTTTTGATTTAGGTTTGTATTGTTCTCTAATAATTACTCCTTCTCTTATTGGATTTATTTAATTTGATTGCAATTTTATAAGTATTGTTCTCTTTATTTAAATTCCAAAGAGGCTATTAGAGTTTATAATTATTTATTTTATAATTTTAGTACTGATTGATCTCTCTGATCATCATTATTATTATTAATTATGATTTTTTATGAATTTTCATGTTATGAGACAGTTTTGAAAATATTATCATTTTTTGATTATCTTTTACTTCTAAAGCTATCTTTATTAAGAATCTTTTTATCTAAGGTATCTAATTTTTATTATATTGATGATTTCTAAAGTACAATAGTTGGAGTGACATTCTCTTTTTTTAATTGTATAATCTTAGTTTGACTGGCTAAGATTGTTTATAAATGATCATTGGTATTAGAGTCTAAGGTTTTATCAAACAGATGGAGAAGAATTTCTTCTAAAGACATTGATTAATTTAACGTATATATAATTGATTATATATTTGATGAATAACTCATTATTAAATTAATAATAGAATAATTATATTTGATATTAACATATACATATTATATAGAGTATTTATATAGTTTATGAATGTGAAAGAATGTTAGAATTTAAAGATTTTAGAAAAAATAGCTTTTAAGTAGTGTTAAGATTTGATTATTATAAAAAAGATTATATTTTAACATTTTCTATGCAAAAATGGAAAACTGTTTAAAATAATATTGTTTTTTTATTAAATTTAAGAATGAGTAATAGTCATAGTCATAGTGGGATGTATATTTAATCATCTAATGATTTGGCAAAGGATGAAGATTAATTTGTACCTAAGGATAATGATTAAAGTGGGGACATTAAATAGGAATTCTAACGAGCACAAACTCAAAGTTAATTGTCATCTGCTGAATAAATAGAGGATATTCCAGTACCTAGATTAACACTATTTGTGTATAGATTAGCATGATTTGAATAGTTCATAAATGTCTATAGATGATTACCAAAATTAATATAAGAAACAGATGTCAATAGAATCAATGAGTCCAATTAAATATTCACCTTAAAAGAAATAGGAAATGAAAGTTGAATAAAGTGTATAAGATATAAAATAGTTGGAAATATAGGAAGTATAAACTATTTAATAGATTCAAACAAGAAGAAAGGCAAATAAAACAAATTATAATGTTGATGATTCTCCTATAGAATAAGATGAAATGAAACCTTGTCATTGTACAAAAACTCATTGTTTATAATTATATTGTTCTTGTTTTCATAATAGACGTCAATGTATGAGTGAATGTAAATGCAATGATTGTTATAATGATGGAAAACATGAAGAAGATGTATTAAAAGCAGTTGAATAAATTAAAATAAAAGAATAAAGAGCATCACATCATGATTTAGATTCTTTTGATACAAAATAAGTATGGGGTTGTAAATGTAAAAAAACTAAATGTGTAAAAGGTTATTGTGAATGTTTTATTAGGGGAAAAAAATGTACATCTCATTGTTAATGTACAGAATGTGAAAATAGAAGATAACCTTAAAAGAAATAAAAAAATAATTAATAAAATACATAAATAAATAAAAAGATAAAGAAAAAATCTTAAGTTTGATTAATTTTGCCATTTTCGATTTTATCATTGAAATTGAAAATTTTATAACTGCTCAAATATAAAACACATAAACCAATTGCATTCCTTATAAAATATTAAATAATTTTAATCAATAAATATTTATTATAATTCTTTATAGTGTTTTTCAATTAATTCAAAAATATTGATATATTCATATTAAAGTGTAATATTTTATTAATTTCATTAGTATATATAGTTTTTAATGATTCTTTATAATAAAAAGTAATTGTATTGAATAAATATAACCAATTGTTATTGATTGATTGGACACATTTATATAATTAAATTATAATAATTAATGAAAGAACATTAAGGGTTAATGACAAGTGAATTTAAACCAATCAAATAGAAGTACTTCTTACATGAGAAAGAACAATTGAAATAGGATCCATTTGTACAAAGTTTATAGGAGTATTTCTAGATATTCCGTAGACGAATAATTTTGCATTTATTACTGTGTATATTGAAATCATAATAGCTCATAGCATTTTTCTTTTTGGCCCTTATGATTCCATCTATCATATTATAAGCAGATTATATTGAATTAGATGTCTCTGAAAAAGGTGGAATATTTACTATGGAATAAACATGGGATCCTCCTATTAGTATACAAATGTTTTCAAAAACTGATATTCTGCTACTTGATGTGTAATTGTCTTTAAATGGCAAGGAGATTGAAGAGTTCACAATTTATGAACGATTGTATATGAATACTCAATACAACTTGACTAGTAATACAAATTACAGTTTTAGTAAACTAATTTAATTAATGAGGCAGCAGTTAGATTGATGGCACAGTTTGATTTTGTACCCACGTCTTACTTGATTATCATAGTTGTAATGCTTGTCATCTCCCTTTTGTACTCTATCCTTACATACACTCGTTACAAAAAACTTTGATCTTTTATTGTGTTTAGTTTCTACTTTTGTTTCAAGTGAATCATAACTCATTTTATTCTATTTATTTAATTTTATTTCATCAAATTACTATCAGACACTCTCTCCTCTATCTTTTTTAATTTAATTATCTAAATCTACATATCATAAATTCAAAATAAAATAGACAACTACTCATACTATTTTAACAATTAAATGTCATAATCATTATTAATAATAATGACTATCCCTATCTAACATAAATAATAAATATATGTAATAACCAACAGAAGAATTAGATTAATTTATACAAACCTTAAATAATTAATCAACCATTCCCTACCTATAATAAGCCTTAACTTAGGATTAATTGTTAGCATAAAATGCTCGTCTACTCTAACAATTACATGAATAGTAGAGAATGCTTAATTTTCAAAGTCTATTCACTTAGAGTGTACTATAGAATCCCTTTATAAATTAATAAATTACTCATGAGAGTAAAAAGATTAAGAAGACTAAATCAACATTACAGAGAATATAATCTAATGCTAGTATAAAAGAATAAACCCCATAAATATAGGAAATCAAAGGTAACGTCAAAAATGCATACATTAAAAAAATTACATCTTTACTTAGTGTAGAAGGTGAAAAACTCTTAGATGAAGAATTGTAGGAAGATTTACAAGGAGACAGTTCATCAGAAGAAGTATCAAAAGAATAGAAATTTGGTTTGGCTGGACTCTTAGGATCTACTATTGATTTATTAAGTGCTGAGTCAAAGAATAAGCGATTAAGATAGAGTGCCAAGAATTCACGTTTAAGAAAGAAGGTTTATTTGAAATTATTAGAGAAAAAAGTAATATTTATAATTAACAAATTAGGTTTCTGATTTAGATTAGAAAATATAGGAATATAAAAAAACAACAAAATAATCATTTGAGTATTTGACTTAATTACTTATATCTCATCCAATTCTAAATAGTATGATTATTGGTAATTCAAATGCAATTGATTAAATTATATAATGCAAACAATCTGATTAAGCTTAACTTATATTAGATTCATATTTAGTATTTATAATAATTAATAATTAGATGAGATATGGTACATGTGGAATTAAAAGAAGAGATTATCTTAAATATGCAGTTAAAAATATTCAAAGAAATTTTTTAAAAGGAAATTATGGTTTATAATTGATTAGTGTAAATAAGGATGTTAATAATTGTATTATAGTATCTTATATCATTTTAGATGATGATGAATTCAATAATTATGTTGAAATTGTTAAAAAATATACTAAATTAGATGATGAGAATTTAATATATAAGGTACTTCCTATAATTGACAAATTATTAAATCATAGAAAAACATCATAATAGTATTTTTATTTTTTATAATTAGATTATTATTAAAGTTTAATACAGAAATGAAAAAGTTAAAATTAATACAATAAGAAGTGGAAGAGAATGTCAATTAATTCACTTAATAATTAACACCACTTCAGTAGATTGAATTAATAAAAAGTGTAGAGAAATCAGCAACTTTCAATAGATCACTTAAGTGAATAGTTTATCATATGTATATAAAATGATTATTTTTTTTATAATAATATATAATATTATTAGTAAATAACAATAAAAAAAATGGAATTATTAAACAATTAAGAGAAAGAATTATTAAGTAGATATAATAAATATATTTAAAATACAAAGACTTAAGAAACAATGAAATATTCTGATATATTTGTTGGAAAACATGAAATTGATGTTGGATAATTAAAAGATTAGATGAAATTTCAAAATACAAAAATGAGTGTTAAATCTTCTTCAGCTACTAAAAGAGATGAATTTAAAAATATAATGTCAGAACTAAGAAATAATTAGATTTAAAAAAGAGAAAGTGAGAATAGAAATAAGAATAGTTAATTAATTGTATAGAATTCAAAATAGAAATAATTTGAATAGAATTAGAAATTATTAATAAAAAAAGAATGTTTATTAGATAAACCTGAGAAATAAGTAAGATAGAAATCTACTTTATCATAAGATTATCCAGAATAAAAAAAAAGATCATAGAGAATAAGTAGTAAATAAACTACAATAGATATTTAAAAATAATTTAATGAGTATTAATAACAAATTAAACAGTTAGAAAACTATTGTAATAACTTGAAAGATTGATATAAATGAAAAAGATAGATAATAAATTCTTCTTTTGTTTAATCAAAAAACATATTGAAGAATGTCCTTAATTTGGTAAAAGAGTCAAAGAAGAAATAAAGCAACTTTTAAATTAATTATTATGATGATTCTAATATTATTAACTTATATGTAAAATTCTGTATAAATTTAATATTATCACATATTAATTTATTAATGTGGAAATTACTATTAATTGCCTTGACTATTATACAACTTAGAGCCCAAGAAGATGAATTGAGTGAAGAAGATTAAGAATCTTAATTTTCATAATAGGATTGTATTAATAAATGATTAATTGATAGCATAACAAAATTATTATTAACAATAACAATATGGATGCATTATTTTAACAAAATATCATCTTTAGGAAAGAAGTCAAGAATTAATGTAGTTATTTAAATCGATTTCAAATGATTTAGACAAAAGAAATGCATATGAAAAATTATAAGTTTAATTAGTCATGTAATGCATCTCAAAAATCTAATATTAATAATTGGCTGATCTCTTTAATTAATTGAGACAATAAACTTTTAAATATTAAGATTTTTAAGATGTTTTTATGATGGCTGATCTGAATTTGGAAGATGATTATACATTAACAGATTAAGAGAAGATATTATCAAAAGAAATAGAAGTATTCATTATTATTATTCATCTAGTAATTTGATAAAAATATGTAAGAATAATAAAAAAAATATAAATAAGAATAAGGTTATGATGATGATGATGATGATGAAGAAGTTGATCCAAGAAGAAGATAATAACCATAAGGTTATAAATTATTTGGAGTTGATTTATCAAAGCTATCAAATACAACATAAATGATTATCTTTGTTGGTCTGATATCACTCTTTAGTGTCATTTTATTTTTAGGTATATTTTATTATTTATTTTTATAGGATTAAGATTTGTTTAATAACATACATAAGGCCCAGTGAAGAGAGTGAAAAAAGACAAAAAAGTTAAATAAAAATGAGGTTATAATTATCAAAATTTATTCTAATCAATTTTTGTTTTAGGTAATGTATTTTTGTTTGATTATATAAAATCTTCTGTAAATTAATGAGGTACTGCTATTTCATAGAGTCATTCTTGTTTGATTACATATACATTCTTTTGTAGTTAAAACTAATTCAGAATTAATTACCCTTTCTGGTTTTTCTTAATATAATAAAGAAGAAGGATGAATTTCTATTTCATGACTATTCTTGAGTGTTCTATTAGTGCCACTCTTTTATTTTTTTGCTGAATTATAATTGAATCCAGAAGTAATACATTTACTGATATTGAAACTAATATCTTTATAAATAGACATAGATTCATCCTTAACATCAATTTCTATTCTCTCACTTAATGAAGTCAATTATTCTTTAATATCTTATGCCCTTTTCATCGCTTTTTATTTAATAAAGCTTTTATCATCATGTACTTATTTTTTTTAGGTTCTAAAAGATTGTATTTCCAACAGATAATATGGCAGAAATAGTGATAATCTAATCTATAAATTTTAAATATTCAGATATAAGAACAAACCATTTTTGAAAGCATATAATCTAATTGAAATTCAGCCATTCTTCTTCTTAATTTAGTTAACTCTCCATCATTATTCAATGCTCCTAATGAGTATAAATATTTCAATGCTCTTAATAACATATAATGAGAAGGAGAATCCATATAATCAAAATTAACCAAATTATTAATACACATTGTTTTGAGTAATAAAACAACATTACAAAGATTTTTTCTTTGAATTAAAGGGATTGATAAAAATCTGGTCATTTATAATATTCAACTACAATATCATTATCTTTTTGAATTTCTGCAGTCTTCAATATTGTTTTATTTTATTCTTTCTCTTCTTTCTCTTTTATGGTCAATTCTTCTTCATCAAATGTTTTAATTTCAATTATTTCAATTCTATTTTCTTCAAATACTTCATCCTCGACTCTTCCTTAGCTTTCTCTAATTCAATCTTTTTATATAATTCTTCTAATTATTTATCTAATGGCTTCTTAGTCTATAATTTTTTATGTAATTCCTCCTTTGCCTTTTTATCATCTTACTTATTCTAATTAAGATTATGAACTTAAAGTTATTAAGACTTATTAACTTCTACTAATTCGTATTCCTTCTACTTTTTATCCTATTAATCCTTTTCCCATAAATCCTATTCGGAAGGATAAAGAGGTTTAATTCCAGCAAATCTGGTTCATCATTCTTAAAAAATTCATCATCTTCAGGAAAACTTGAATCAATCAATTTCTTTTACAAATCTGTATATTAGTTGAATATTTTCCCATTCTTTAATAAAATCATGTATGATATTATCATACAGACCTAAGAGATCGTACATCTTGCCTCTTAACTAAAAATCATCCAATATTGACATTAATCAATAGTAAAGGCTTTTTATATAATATTTAAAATTCGAATAAAAAAATGAATAAAATAAAAATAAAATATACTTCTAATCCTTTTTACTTTTTTTGATAAAGACAAAAACACAGCTTACTCCTATTTTTGATAATGTCCATTTAAATAATCATTTATAACATCCATCCATTCCTATGTATGAATTAACCTTTTAATATCATATTTTAAATCTTGAAAATAAATTACTTATATTCTATTCATTTATTACTAATTTATTACTTAAATTAATTTATAACCTAAAGAGAATAGATCTATTTGTAAAGAATACATATAATATTTGTTAATTAAAAGAATTAGTTTATCTACAAAATGCAATAATTTGATAAAATATCAATAGTCATAATTATTTTTGAAACTTAATAAAAAGAAATTAAAAAAAATTAATAAAATTCAGCAATATAAAAATAAATTAAATAATCATTTATAGAGTCATAAAAATTATAATAATTTAAATATATCTTGTTTAATGAAATTTTAATTAATTATATTAATAATTGTTAACTAAAATATTGATTGATTCAATGAAGGGATTTTTAATTGTGTTCTTCGATGTTTATATCAATTGTTTATTTTGGCTATTGTTCTGCCAATAATTCTAAATCAAGTGCTTTTTAGATAGGTAGCCAACTTATATCATTTTGTAAGAATTTACTATAGACATATGATTCTGTGCCTGTGTGTTCAGTTTTCTGTTTCACTTTTAAGTATAATAAATAAGCCAAATAATTCCAAGGGTTATGATATTTTTAAACATGATTGTCAAATGATATACCTTCTTTTTCAAATATAGTTCTTGTTAAGTCACAAATATAACATCTATTTTGAGAATCGAAATCTTTAATAATATATTATTATTACCTTTTTGATTCTTTTAATCTCTCAATTCAGCAAAGGTATCAATAATGATACCAAAGATAATGTTCAGCCATATAATATTAATGAGAATAAAAAAGCTTACATCATAAAGAACTCTCTATGAATAATAATTTAAATTTGAATGTGTTGGAGGTGCTTCAAGAACATCACCTATTCCTCCACCTGCTCGTAAACCTTAGTGAATTACAAACACAAGACATTAAAATGCAGAATAACAGACTGTCTAATCATAAGAATCAGAACTTTCATCTATTCCATTATTATCACCTTCTTTTAATTATTATTTAAAATCAGTACTTTAATAAGCTACCAAAGAGTATAAATACCTTAATTTATATTTTATATTAAATACATAATTAAAACTCCCAATAAGGCTGTCATTAAGAGTTGTTTGTAATTGAGTGAAATACTTTTAATAACATTTCTTAAAACTTACGAATGATCTATAATATCCAATAGTAAAAATCCATAAAATAATTTATTATACAGAAGACCCAACAAATTGATTACAAGTAATAAAAACCAATAAAAAGTATAACTACTAAATAACATTCTTTTAATTATTAAGAATGCTTGTAATAATGTAATTTAAAAAGGATATATAACTGTTTATGGATTGAGTTATTAAGCTTATCCTTAATTTGATTTCTTATTATAATTTAATTAGATTAAATCTGACACTTGTTTATAGATTCTATCATATTCCAATTACATTCTAATAAATACCCAGGTGAGCATAATCAATCCATACAAAATACAATCTACTATAGCTATAGCTTTAGCAAGATTTGCAAGTTTTTCTTCAGTATCATTTATTGTAATTAGAATATTCAATAAGAGTGCTAAAATAATACAAACATTTCTTAAATAAACAATAAAATTATTATTAAATCTAATTCCAATTTTTCTTAATTTCATAAAATGAACCATTTCCATATAAAAATTATCCATATTATCTAATAATCCATTAATTTTATCATTAATAGAATCTCTTTCTACTTCTTCCATAAATTATCTTTTAGTTTCCTCTGTTAAATATTTCATTAAAGTTGGTACTTAAAAATATATTTTCTCTAATTTGCCATTCATATTAACAATTTCAATAGATGCAGTCTCATTTTTATAATAATTAAGAGCTCTTCTTAATTTAGGATTGTTTTCACCATCAGTTAAATTTTTGATTTGAGGAATATAATTACTGAGTTTTTTGAGTAATAAATACATCATAAAAGTTTCACCAACCATTTCTTCCATCTCTTCTTCTTAAATAGCATTTACTTAAGTTTATTATGAATTTCTTTAAAGAGACTGAGAACGAGGATTATGAAAATTCTCTGAGAAGAATTCCATAAATAAATTTTAATTTGGCAAAGTCTCTTTAGTATCCTTAGTTTATATAATACCATGTAGATTTACTGTATCTTCTGCCTCTGTTTTAACTCGATCCAATACTTTCAATTCTAAATTTATTTGCATTTAAGTATTTCTTATCTTTTTAATAATTTTCCAGTAAACTAATTATATTCTTTCAAAAAGAATCTAAGGATTGAAATATTGAGATATCTTATTTGCAATTTCTTAATCACTATTACCTTCCATTAATGATAATTGAAGTAAAAACACTTTACTTCTTAAACTTGAAAATACTATGTCTCTTCTTTAAAACTTTTCTTTATCTACTCTTTATTGAAATATAATTTATTCAAGAACCTCCAATATTTTAGTAGATTAACATAATTCAGTTTAGTTCTCTAGACAAGGACCTTAAACACATTCAATTAGAAAATCGAGAATTTTTTAACCTAATGCAGCATTATGTTCATTCATTTTTTCAACATATTTCTCAAATAATTCAGCTGTAAACATAATAAAATTAATTGGTTATTTACTATTAGGTTGAATTCTTAAAAAGTTTTACATATCACTAAAATGATCTTCACAACCTAAACGAAACATTTCAAATATTAAAATACATCCATTAATCTTATTATTTAATATTTTATTGATATTTCTATTATTTCTTTCTATTTTTGATATCTCTGCCATTCTAACATCTTAAAACATATCTGTTATAAAGTTTTACATATTTCTAATAAAAGTATTTTATAGATCTCTTTATAAATATAATAAAAAGGAATTCTAAATTTCCCTTGAAGAATCATCTATATAATCTACAAATGCTTTAATATATTCTAATTTTTATTCTGAATCTACTTCTTATTTTATTAAATCACATAAAAAATCTGTAAATCCAAGTTCTCCCAAATCTTTAAGTATCTATTTAGTTATTTAAAAGTCTTCTTTATAATTAGATAGTTTTCTTACAATATTGATAGATTTTAATTTGATAGATGGAGAAACTGAAGTTTCAGATAACATTTAAATAAGTGCAGTTACCATTCTCTTAAATTTAGTTGTATCATCTCTTTTTAAAGTAATAATTAAATTTACTAATTATTAAATTTCATTTTCTCTTTCTGAAGCTACAAGATGTTCATCTACTAATTTTGTTCTTTAAGATTTTATAGAATTTGTCCATTTATCTAAAATTCCTTATTCTCCTTATTATAAATCATTTCTTAATAATTAAAATGCAATTTCTGATTTCTAAACAGATATTATTGTTTATACTATAAGAATAATATTAATTTTATCAACTTCATTATCTTCTTTAGCTAAAATACTTAATTCTTAATTCTATTCATCTTAATTACTAGATAATAATTTATGTGTTAAATTAAATAATTTAGTTGTTTTTTATCCACTTCTTCTTTTATAATTTGAATTTTTCATTTTACCACCTGTACCACCATTAGGAACATTATTAATAAACTCTTTAACTTTTTAAACTGTTTCAGATATAGCTTATGCCATAAAAATAATTTCATTTTAAACATCTTCAAAATGTTCTTATTCATTACTATCAAAATATTTTGGAAAAACTTTCTTTACAAAATTCATTGTTACTTCCAAAACTCCAAAAATCAAATAATTAAAACTAGCTTTCTCAAGTGATATTGACATAATGAATTCTTAATTTGTGTAATAATTTCTTATACCAAATATATTGAATACAACACTATTTACTAATTTTGCATTTGCCATTTTCTTAAGATTTTAATTATCTATAAAACTTACAGTCATTTATTTAAATATTACTTCAGTAATAGTTTTAACAACTTCTTATTTTTCTTCAAAAGTTAAAAATAATAAATTATCTAAAAATACACTTTAAAAATAGAGTATAAGTTCTGATTTTAAAGGATACCATTCATCCAATTATTTCAACATTTCAGCTACTCTTGTAACTGGTAATATTTTATTAACAAATTCATTAATAAGAATTGATCTTTTGGAACAAATTATTTTCATTAATCTTAATAATTCTGTCATGAATAATACTTCTAATGGCATTTCAATAAATCCATTAAATTATGTATGTTTTTATTAATAATGAGATGTTTAAGGAGCAGGTGCATGATTACCAGTAAAGAATTATTCTAATCTAAATAAATAAATAGTATGAATAAGAGTTCCAATATCTTTAGCAAATGTAGCTAATTATTTAGTAGATTAAAATAATTATACAATTACATAATTATTTTATACAACTTCACTTTCTTTTACTTTCAATAAGATTTATAAAAATTAAAGAAAATAAATTGCAGCTTCATAATTTTTATGAGCAAAATTATTACCAAAAATAGAGAACAATTTAGCCAATATTGAATTTTCATCATTATATTTATCTAATGAGAATAAAATATTATAATTATCTCTAAAAAGTTCAGCAAATAATATATAAATTAATGTTTATAATTATTTTCTCTTTACATTAGACATTTCATGAAGAAATGAATCTTTTTTCTTACTTAAATTCAATATCATTTCTTAATTTTCTTCATTTCTTATAACAAAATAAATCAAAAATAAAATACTCTTTTCTAAAATATCACTTTTTATTTCCCATCCTTTTTTATTTGCATTACTTACAAGTACATCCTTTTCTCTAAATAGAGTACTTGTTTCTTATATTAAATTTTCAATCAATTTTTACATCAAATCAT